GGCGGGCATGAGTCTATCGCGAGAAGTTGCCATTAGGATAGGAAAACCTTCGAGCCCCTGGATGCGCGAGTAGGGGAGGTGGTCTGCACGGAGCGTAGAATGGCTCGTGCCTGTTTGATCGTCCCATCTGAAACGATCTAGAAATTCTAGTCTAGATCCTTGTCGAGGCCGTGGGGTCTTTTCGGTTTTTAGTGTCGGCTTAAGTGGCTGGGAAACCACTTGTAATCAATGCAGCAACCCCAAACAGGAAAGTCGATATAGAAGTGGACTACCCAGCAGAACTGGTCGTTGCCATCCCTGTTCAGTGACTTACAATCCCTGTTCGAATGACGATCTTCTCCCCTCTTGCAAAGTGATTAAATCTGAGCGGGAAGTGCGGGTTGTCAAGTTTTATTGTTAGGGCACAAGCATTGGCCGTTAATGATCAGGGCAGAATCTCGGGATCTTCCAGATCGACAACGGGAGAGTATTCTGGAAACCCCAAGTTCATGAATTTAAGGCATGTTGACTGTTAACCTGCAGGTCTTTCCACAAAATGTGGCGCGGATAGTTCGGGCTAGTGGACACAGAGCAACGTTCTAAACCTCATTCTGGAAAACCTCCGTTCAACTCCTGAATTATTGCCTTTTAGTCCCAAAGTATATTGCGCCCTATGGGGTGTTCCATGGTTTTCTGTCATTTAACCCGACAATAGCTTTTGTTTGACCCATAGGCTCCGCCACTCCACCAGGAGATCTAGGTTCAATGGGTTTCTTCAGTTCACCCTTGAACATGGCGCACTAATGCAACAGCATGTCTCAGATCCACTCCAGAAAACTCAACGCGAAAGATCTTTTCCGAGCCTCATGATGGTATCAATCGATCGTTGGGATCGAATCAGAACCGATCCAGTGAATTCTTGACATCACCGGAGGTATATTCACATGCGTCGAACGACCGATTGGGTGCCCGGTGGAACGTATGGATTTGGAAGAGATTTCACCACGAGGCGTGTATAGAGTTCAATCGTGCGGCATTTTCTTTATTTTCGGCTCTGCACATGGCCAGATAGATTATGTACATTCTAAAACAAGGAACTCAGACCGAGTCTATGCTCTTCCTCCGCTTTTCCAACATAGCCTCTTTCATGAACGGACTCCGAGCTCGGATCCCCTTACCATACACCACAAACAGGATCGGAGCGAGAGATAGGGCTAGTGAGATGAATGCCAATAAGGTGCTGGCCCACTGGAATCCAAGGTGCGAGTACATGCTCATTGCCGCCAGTGGTAGGAAGGCAGAGAAGATATTCTCTCCGGTAACGATAATCCCCACCGCACTACCCGCATATTTGGCGTAGGAATCGACAACGTAATCTGAAATCCCAGTCACCACAATAACGCTCCCTGCTCCCACCATGGCGAGGCCGACAGCCGGTGCAATCCACGGAAGAAAAGGGTAAGAAGTCCAGGCATAGACGAACATCCCACCGGAAAGGCCAACAATACCAGAGACAATAGCGAGGTACAGCCGTGCCTCGGGGATAGGCTCACCAGGCACTTCAGTGTTTCTGGAAGCCGAGTTGAAATACAGTCTCCCCGAGAAGAGAGTCCCTATCCAACCAATACACTCTCCAATAACGATCGCAGCTTGCACATACCCAGCCTGTGAGGGAGTCCATCCATAAAGCCCGGAAAAGACCTGCTCGACTGACTGTGTGAATAAATAAAGCGTGCCAACCGTGAAAGCAGACCACATTCCCGAGAAAAAGACAACAGACTCCGTGAAATACATAATCAGCGGCCGTGTCGCACTCTTTGCCACGATCCTCAGCAGAGATGTGCCTGCACTATCAATCTCATGCTGGGTGTATGCCACTCGACCCTCCCGACGCAACGCCTTTGCACGCTGACCCAGAATGGCAATCCCGCGACACTCCTTGAACATAAAGAAGTATACCGGGAACAAGGCTCCATACCAGATCAGCTGGAGATAACCAATCCATCTCCAGGAGAGGAACTGGAAGATCGGAGCTCCGATGACAGGACCGATACTAGCCCCGACAAGGTACGTCACAATATACAGACTGACGGGAATATTTCGTGACCTCTCAGTATCCCAGAGGTTCCCGATAACAGTCGCTGATGTATTCGCCAGGATAGCAACACAGCCACCAGCGAAGAACCTCGTCACGATCAACGTTGCAAAGTTCTGAGCCACTGCTTGGGGAATAACGAAGCAGATGAAAGTTGCCCATGTGGATAGGAATACCCATCTCACGCCGAAGTCCTCCATGAGCGGGAGGACAAGAAGGGAAAAGCATCCTCCGCCGACGGCCCACGAGGTGACAGGCCAGTATGAATTGGGGAATGAGGCGTCTGAGATCCCAAATTCCTCGTTGATAGCTGCATGGGCAACGGTGATGATTGTACCGTTCATCATCGTGATAAATGTTGTGAAGCTTGCCAGGTACGTCAACGTCCATTTCTGACGGGGAGACCAGTTATACGGGTTCCCAGGATCCTCGGGGCCATCCCAGGTAACCACCTCGATATTGGTGGCAGGCTCGTTATGATCTAAGATGCACAGGTTAGTTTCCCGAACACTTGATGCCAGAAAAATAAAGCCAAGACAAAGGTGAACAATACCTATCGTCTGCTCCAACTCGCCAGAAACATCTCCACGAGTGAAGACCATATCAATCGGACAAGGATTAGGGTCACTCCCTACTACCTTGTCTTCATAAAAAACCCCCTGCTGCCTCAATAATATGGTGTATATTATTTCGCCACGGGTCCCCGTTCCGGTGGTTCGGAGATGACTTCACTTTCCCGTTCCGAAAAGCACAATAACTTCGCCGAGATATAGATCACCAAACACGACGGAGACACGTCACAAGGATACGTGCAACATTCAGCGGAGCAGTTATTCAAATATGAAAAAGGACGAGGCAAAAGAAAAATTTTCGTTCAGCTTGCACCAGGAAGACATCGTGTTTCCTGGATGCGAATCCACTCTCTCCAGACAATAACCATTTTGGGATTAGTGCGGATGGGTCTGAATGGCACTTTACCCAAAGTCTGGTTCGTTCTGGTTCGTCAATGCACCTGACGGCTCATTCTCATTAGACGAATGCATTTGCTAACCTGATATGTACCCCGCAACTGGGCATCTGCAATTGTGCACGAACTCTTGATCGTTGACATTCTGTCCAATCTTTGGCGTGGAATTTGCATTTTGGCCTTTTCTAGTGCATTGGAGGTTCTATATCCATAAAAAGAATTTATCTATTGTGTTTTCAAGAAAGTTTCGAATTGACTGTTGGATCTAGAGCTTATCTACTGTTTTGTTTTCTATTGTTCCGTTCGACGCATGCTGTTCGGCTTCTCTGCCGAGGGTCATTTTGCAAGGCCTTGGCGCTTGTTGCGTAGGAAGAGAACCTCATTCTGTTTTAGGAAAAATAATCCGAGTAGATTATTGCATCAATCTCCCAGCAGGAAGACTTTAGATGTCGGATGCAACTTCCACACGTAGCGCACACCGCTATTTTTGTCATCTGTGTCACATGGATCCCCTTCGTATCTTCACACTGTATATCGTTAAGATATGGATATAACATACGTAATATTGCGATATACTATATACATCTCCGGGGCCCAATGTTCTACATAAATCTTTCAAGGTTGGACCTTGAACCATTCTAGCTGGACAAGGTTGCACACGTGTTTAATTCATTGCGAACATGATCGCAATATATAGTCTAGGCCCACTGTGCTAGTTACTTTGATGCGACGCGACGATTGCGTTCTCAACCTGCATCGATCTCAGCTAATGACAATAGTGGCGTTTGGGATTTTATTTTTGCCCTCATACCCTGCTGCAAAATAATAATAATGAGATGAGCCCTGCTAGAGAAGTTGGCTGTACTCTATCGGCCGCGAACAATAGTCATCGAACTCAAATGCGGGTACTTCCAAGTACCGATGCCTGCAGGTACATGATCAACCTTAGAATATCCCCGCTCCAGGGTTATGTCATCTACGTTAGAGCCGGAATAATTCTCGTCAGCTGAATCATCACGCCATGCAGGTGGAGATTGTTTAACCTGGGAGCTGAGCCAACAAGGTTCCAGCCTATCATTGGTCTTCTACGCACGCAGATGGCGATTCCAGTCAGAATCAAATGCGGAAAAGCTGAAAACTAAGCGAGAAAGCGCGGTAAATCAGATGACAAGAAAATACTAGTTATTGGATTGCTGTGTTTTCATTCCCTTGATAGAACCTAAAATACTGCCATTCATTTGGAGCTCGCTATTAACCAAGCGGAAAGTGTTGCCGCACGCCACATTTCGTGCGTTGAATGTTGTTTCTATTATGAGTTTACCTCTCACCTGAAATTACGCACTTACTCGTTGGAAAAAGTGGAATGATCTCGAGTGCAATCAATATCTCTTCTGAGGTTTTCCACTGCCTCTTCGGACTGAAACGTACACTATACGGCTACAACCTCAGCATGATTTAGACCTACTATGTATTGGAGCTTCGGACCAAGTTTAAAACATGACTTTTATGACTAGTCTATACCTTCAATTGGCCTGGAGTTTGATTTCATCATTCAACTCTGATGTAAAATTGAAAACAGAACTAACGCCATCGATGGCAAGTCACATAGCCACCACGAAGAAATTATGAGAGAAGGTCAAATCAATAGCTTGATATCATTTCAACTTTGAATTTACGCCTAGTCAGCGTGAATGATGGTAGATATAATTCCACGCGTCTTAGAATAGCCAATAACTGTTCCGGTGCGTCTGATAGCATCGATAGTGTTTATATCATAGTCGCCACCTACGAGCCGAACGTTCCACAAAGCTTGTCTCCCCGCACTGAATCCTGGTATTAATATCTGTCACTTCTTTATGAAACTTTTTTTCTTCAAACACCTTGTGAGAATCGAAGTCAATCAATCAAAGTTGAATTCATCAAATCCACCAACTGGAAGTTCTTCAAAACAACTACAATATGGTCACCTCATCTATCGACGCCAACCCTCTTGATCCAGAAACTAAGTTTAAATATGGAGAGAACGGTCAAAAAGCTTCCCACCAGAGTGACCTTGACGTGATCATGGATCGAAATGTCGCACCGTATGGAGACAAGCTGTACTGAGAATTGCAACCTCTTCTAACATTTCCTAACAGCTCCCCCCGAGAAGTGTGCGCTGATCTCGCTCAGCAACACGCTCTTGAAGATCTTCATGATGTGACAGAGCATAGCTCCGAACAGCATGCGTCAATGAACTGCGGTATGAGTTCCATTCTTTCCCGTAATTACCTGTGTCTCGCCTCAAATCAAGTGCATGAAAAGTAACTGAACCGAGATGACAGATCTGAGCTCTTCCCGTCGCTCTTCGGATCGGGGCACTCAGTATGATGAGCCTCGCAAACCGGAGGAATAATGATGTTTGTATGAACTAGCAGTAGACCAACCAATTTAGCGTGATGGTGACTATGTGACTTTATTGGGCCACTCTGAATTACAATGTGAATAATTCAAAATGTACTTGAGAATATTCTGTACAGTCTAATGTCCAAACAATTGTATTCAGTAGGTGATGATGGTGATGTCATGGTAATGGCCACCCCGCGTTTGCATTTGGGCTGACTTCATATGTGGCCTGGAGAATGAGGCATACATGCAGTCAAAGTATAATCACTAGCTGGCGAAGAAGAGGGGTAAATGTGACGGAGTAGATCTTAGAATGAATACTGCGTGTTTCCGTGCATTAGTTTTAGGCTGGCAGAGAGCACATATTTTCTCTATAATTATTGATTGAGTTTTGAGATAACGGCATTGCAGGTATTATGAGAGGTTGAACCACTGTAGTATTTGGATCTACATTCTTTCTTAATATAAAGACCAACCTATTTTCTGTTTATACCTTCGCATCCAGCTTCGAATCATAAATCTTCTTACCCAAATACCAAGTCTGTGACACCTTCGCCTCAAGAAGTGTCTCAGGATTCCACTGCATATCAACCACAAGGAAATCCGCTTTCATTCCCTCCTTCAGACTCCCAGTCCAAGAGTCTGCAAAGCGCGCATAAGCCGCACCGGTCGTAGCAGCGGTAGCCGCCTGAGCCAAAGTGATACCAAAATGCGGATTGACGGTATCAGTAGACTCCGGCTCAAGCGCTGACCGTCTAGTGGTGGCATTATAAAGATTGGGAAAAGGCAAGTGTCGAGCGGTAGGAGCATCAGTCCCAATAGCAATAGGAGCACCACCATCTAGAAAATCCTTATAGGCAAACGCTCGCTTGCATCGATGCGGACCGACAAGACTGGGCCAGGCCTTGAAGAGGGTTGGATCGGAGTGGACCGGTTGGATAGATGCAGTGATACCCAATTGACCAAGTCGCTTCGCGTCCTCGGATGTGCTTAGCTCGAGATGTTCGATTCTGTGTCTCCGACCTGGAGTGCCAACTTCCGATAGGACATTGATTGCTTGGCGGATGGCCTTGTCACCAATTGCGTGGATGGCGCATTGGAGACCAGCAGAATCGGCACGTTGAACGACACCTTGAAGCATATCCGCTGGCCAGATTGGGTCCACTGGATCTGACTTGCCGGTGTACGGCTGCAGGAGGGCAGCGGTGCACCCGTCAACGACGCCGTCGCAGATCAGCTTGATTCCGAGGACAGTAAAGGAGGGATCGGAGAACTGCTTGCGCAATTCAATCGCCCGGTCCACAAAGGTAAAATTGATTTCCTGATCATCGGTGAAAGGAACGAGCCAATGAGCGCCGATGTGAAATGGAATAGTTTTATCGCGTCGATATTCTTGCAAGAGCTCCCATGTAGCATCGTCCATAGCCATATCAACAATACCCGTATATCCAGCAGCAGTGTATGTGGAAATGGCCAAGTCCAGCGCGCTCAACTTGTCCTCCTTCGAATAAAGGCTTTCCAAATGTGGCCAGGCCAGATTTATCACGGCAGACTCATCCAGTAGGCCTGAAGCCTTTCCATTCTCATCGCGATGGATAGTTCCACCTGGAAGGTCCGGAGCGGTATGAGCATTCATCTCCTCGAGTCCAGCAGAATTACACCACATAGAATGAAGGTCGAAGGCGTCGATATAGATAGGCCGAGGATCCAAATCATCCAGCATACTAGCTAACGCAACTCCGTTGGTCGAAGATTGGATCCATCCACGGCAAAGAATCCGGGGAATAGATGGGTTAGACTCGGCGTATGACTTGATGGCATTCCGGATCTGGTCCAGTGAAGTGCAGGCAATGAGATCCACTTTACGCAAGGATTGACCATACTGCAGAATGTGCACGTGGCTGTCGATAAAGCTGGGAACCACAACGCGGTCCTCTAGATCAATCACCGTTGCGTCCGCGGGTACTTGGGCGTTCTCTAGAGAACCGACGTAGGAAATACGGTCGTTCTCGATGATCAATGTATTAGCGAATTCATTGTCTGTGCTAGATGAGGGCACGAAAATACGGCCATTGCGAAAGACGGACGTCATGATGTGAATTTGTCGAAGCTGGTGTGATTTAGGGACGAACTGATAATCATTCGGTGCCCTCGACGGTATTTAAAGAAAGGCGTGGAGTAGGATCGGAAACAACCGAAATGCCGAGTCTCCAGAAGTTTCCTATTGCGAGTTTTGAGGACGGGAGAGGAATTCATTCAGAAGGCAGCACTTCTCGACTGCGAGGTCAGAAGATTGGACCGGCGGTTTTGCAAGAGGACGATTGGCGACGCCGCCGATAGGTGGTGTCTCATGATCTTGGCAGCGCAATTTGACGCCATTGGTCAGGTCTGGGTGGAAGTCTCCGGGGAAGTGGAGCCCAGAGATAACTGCGATCCGAATACTTTTACGCGCAATGAATGTTATCAGTGACCCAAATCAATTGCGTGATGATGCAGTGAAGCTGAGTACTTCCTTTGGGCTGTCTTGAGAGACTGGGTGAGTTGCTGTTGTTTTTGATTGATCAACGCGTGAACTCTGAGTCTCTGACAGCCGCATTCCGATCTACACTGGATCACTTCGGTACATGACAAACTGCTCAGTACCGCCAATCAAGCGCATGATACGCGAAAAACATCATCGTCCCGACTTCGCTTATCAAAAGTCAATTTCCCCGCATATCGGGTCTTTCAAAGCCTGATAAGCTTAGATGTGGGCTGTTGCTTCATTGGCTATTGCTTCAAACTTCCCTTTTGAGTCAAGCCGGCTTCCCCTTTACATCCTCAGTATCATTGTGAATGGCTGCTATCTACGTACATCATCCGCAGCCGATGATAAGATGCACACTCACCGACCTCCTGGGCTGATATCGACCGAGTGCCAGTGAATGGCATAAAATAAAGGTGCCCCCCCCCCAGCTCAGGCGCACTGACTTTCACCTCCTCATCTTATGACCCCCGATTGCTGCAATAAGCTGTAGTCTTTCACAGCACAAATCAATGTCTCCCGACCATCAAACAATAGACCCTGAATGGCCACCAGGAACTGTGCGGATAGAAGGTAAGTAGAAATACCTCATGTTCATAACACGAGCCCCAGAAGCTGACAGCCGCCAATCTATAACAGACTTCTCGCAATCGAGCCAACCTTCAGGTGTCGTCTTGGAGCCAAAGCCCAGCAACGATCCCAATGACCCTCTGGTTGGTGCTCCAAATTTGACTATTGTTCAACCAGCATAACTGATACCACGTGGAAGAATTGGTCGCAATGGAGGAAGTATCTAAATTTTGGTTTGGTCTCCTACTATGTGATGATGGTCCTCGCACTGTGAGTTCTATTGGAAACCATAGCTCGACAATCTACTGAAGTATACAGAATCGATGTGGCAACGGTGACGTGGGGACCAGTCAACCTAGAACTTGGTTTCAGCTTTGCCTTGCTGAATGACAGCTATGCTGCCGGATGTGGAGCATTGTGTATAGGTGGAGTGATCCTTATCCCATTTGCTCTGAAATTTGGGCGACGACCAGTCTATGTCTTTAGTACTGCCATCCAGTGCGGAATCAGTGTTTGGTCTGCGAAGATGCAGACTGTGGCAGACTTGATGCTGGTCAACGTTCTGAGCTGTATAGTCGGGGCTTTGGCAGAGGTCTTGGTGCAGATGACTGTGGCCGACGTTTTCTTCGTCCACGAAAGAGGTCTCATGAATACAATTTACTACTGGTTTATGACGGTCGGAACTACATTGGCGCCGCTTGCCGGTGGATTCATCACTCTCTCACAAGGTTGGCGCTGGGTTTGGTGGTGGATGGCTATTCTCCTTGGTGCTGGACTCGTCGGCTTTCTTTTCTTCTACGAGGAAACGATGTTTGGCGATCTACCTATCAACGGTGTGCCCGTTTCCGACATACAGCCCCCCGAAGCAATGGTGGACAAAAAGGAAAGTATCGAGGCAGCCGCAATCGAAGGAAACTATGCTCCACAGGCCGTCGCAGTTCAGGCTGAAGCCTTTGAGATCGACCACTCGATACCAGAAAAGACTTACCTGCAAAAACTGGCATTGTGGTCCCAGTCGCCAATACCCTTTGGTCAATTACTAAAGCACAGCTACCAACCTTTCTTAATTCTGTTTAGCATCCCAGCGGTATTCTTCATGTCCGTCCAATATGGAATCATGACTGCCTGCACGACAGTTCCGGTCACCACTCTTTCATCCGTTATGACCCTCCCACCTTACAATTTTGGCTCCGCCCAGATTGGGCTAATGGGCATTCCACCGTTTCTCGGTACCAGTATCGGGACGCTGGTCTGCGGACCACTGAGCGACTATATCGCTCTATACCTGGCCAGAAGAAACAACGGAATCTTCGAGCCAGAGATGCGTCTTTGGCTCTCATTGGTCTTCACCCCCTTCGTCCCGGCGGGCCTTTTCATGTTTGGAATCGGGTTAAACAATGGATCGCATTGGCTGTTACCAGCCTTTGGGCTTGGAATCTGTGGATTTGGTGTTGTGCCGGCCAGCAGTGCCGCGTTGACATACCTGACTGATGCATACACCGACGTAAGACCCCCTCTCTTTTGTTTAAATGGTCTGTCGCTGAACATGATGTTAGATAATTGCGGATTCAATTGTTGGCGTGACCTTTATTCGCAACCTTATCTCTACCCTGTTCGTTTTTGCACTTTCTCCCTGGGTCGACCAAGTCGGGTTGACGTGGTTCTACGTCACCTTTGGGCTTATTTCTACGGTGATACTTCTTGGAAACTTTATATTCATCTACTTCGGCAAGAAATTCCGAGTGATGACGGCGGGGAGATACCGCGAATTTAGTCAAGAGAAATTTGTATTGAGTGAGCATTGACTGGGGACAGAGATGTCTGCATCCATCATTATAGACCTCGGGAGAGACCGGACACATTCCGAAACTCCACGTTCTGAGCTATAACCGAACTTATGTCTTTCCATACCTGATTGTTGAAACTAAGATTTCATCAATGTCCATTTTGTAGCGCTTTGAATTGATCTGCATCCTGGTCACACGCAGTCTCGTGATAGCATAATTTTATTATGGTACGCAATCTAGACCGACGGATGCGAGTATCTCACTGGAGGTTTGATTAGCACATGACCTAATCATGCAGAGTACCCTGCACCCCAAACATTCTCGTTGCTCCGCATATCGCATAGACTGCTGCCTAGGGTGGCCACTTTCAAGAAGACCCAGCGAGCTTACGCAAGCTACGTGGAAGATTTGGTGCTGGATGCTAGCTATTGGCGGAGTGGTGTGTTGTAAAGTCAATTTTGGCAATTTGCATTTTTCAGGAACTCTTTCAAAAGGGTAACATTGGACAACACAGAAAACCTACCAAGTGCATACGCGTCATAATGGGAAATTCCTGAATAGCAAACCAACAGGAAAAGGCAAGAGTATCATTTACCTAATGAAATATTGGCCGATTCGACGAGGGTTAAACTTGCCTTCGCCCGGCAAAATCCATTACGGTCTGCAGGGAAACCTATTGCAACGTAATCAGGATCGCAAGGCTGTGCACTCAGCAAATGATAAGAGAGTATCTACGCAACAATCAACAGCGCTAGCGTGGGGGACAATTTTCCTGTCTCTACCCCAGGAAATGATGTCATTAAAAATCATGCAGGGTCCTCGCCAATAGCAGTGATCTCTTTAAGACACATGAAAAAAAAAGCGTAATTCGAGGCTTAGGGCTTTTGTAGGTTTACCGGCAAAGTCGACAATTCCGCTTCGGGTCGAAGTCCAAACCAGTTTGTAAATGGGAGCAAAGCATATGTTTGGGACGAAATTATTTTTGGATCTAATTTATGGAGCAAAGGATGGTGGAGAAAACTAGGTAATTTGCCAGAGGCCAGGATCAGGCTAGCACAGGGACAATAAGCACCAAAGCTACAAATGGTTTGGTTTGGCCTTGGCCTTGCCCTGCGCCTATCCCCTTTCAGCCCTGGTAGTGGGTCAACTAGTTCAGAGTGCGCCCTTCATTGGCCACGCTGGTCCGCGTGGGCGATGAGCCCTTTTTCTTTCTGGTCATGTTCAGCCTGATGCCCCACTGTGATGATCTTGGATTGGGGCCGAGCCTCAAGCAAGATTATGATTTATGTTCAGGCGGTAACATAGCCCTCGCAAGCCTGCTAAAGAGGCGTATATAAACTCTCCCACCCTACCCTGTCACTGATTTTCCCTTTATTATCAACCAGGAAAAAAAAATCTATCTTCATACCACTGTTCACCATGCAGTACAAGACTCTTGCTACCCTTCTTTTCGCTACCGCGGCTATTGCTGCTCCCAAGCCGGAAGACCCTACCGTTACCGAACTCGATTCCGACCAGATCCCCTCTGCAATTGAATCACTCCTCATGACTGCCGTTCCCTCAACCTGGATCAACGAGTTCTACACCAATGCGGATTTCCGAATGTCCGAGATCAGCGCAATGCAAAAAGGCGACTATCCTGAATGGGTTACCAGCCTCCCCTCGTCTGCGGAGGCATATGTCACCTCTGAAATCCAAGTAGAGATCTCCGAGTACACCAGCATGACGGCTGCTATGTCCACCGATAATATCTTCACTTTCTCCGGTAGCTCTTCCGGGTCCTCTACTCCCGTCACCATGACCACCAGCGGTACACAGACTACAAGCGGTGCAAGCTCCACCGGATCCTCCTCGGATACCACTTCATCTGGAGCCTCTTCCACGGATGCTGCCTCGTCTGGAGCCTCGTCCTCGGGTGCGTCTTCCTCGGGCGCCGCGACCAGTACCTCCACCGCCGGTGCTGCCGCGGCTACTGGTAATCTGGCCATGAGCTTTGCCGGCGCGGCAGGCATTCTGGGTGTTGCCCTTGCTCTGTGAGATGGATGCGTGGTACGATTTAATGTAAACACTTCGTATTCCCTCTTTCATCTGGTTGAATGACGGATTTTGTTCCGATGTTACGATGTTAATCAATACCTACTACCCACATAACGACTATCGTTGATGCGTGGAAATAATGGCCTGAAATGTATCTCACATATATTTTGGAAAATATCTTCAATCCCTGTAATTAAAGTGCTGCCCATATTCCGTTTTGGCTTAGTGGCTTGAGTGTAAGCCTGCGGGGCCTAGGCCCGTGTCTGTCTCAGCTTATACCAACGTAAATAACCTGAGACCGGAGCAATTTCCTCCGCTTCCATGCTCATTTTTCGGACTGTTCTATCGAAGCAACGACATTTTGCCAATTTCTATGACTTATCTTGGAGGGTTGATCAATGCTGCTAGACGTTGGATTGCTCTAACGCTTTCTGGATTTTTTTCGGGACTAATGTGATAGCACATGCAGCTATCCGGGTGTGGCGTTTTTGCTACTTCTCCCGTACTGTTTGCCTGCAGCATTTTGTATACCCTTAGGTATGTACTATATCGTCCGCATCAAACCCCTGATGGGGTGGCCACCAGCTCGGTCTACTACCTTATTGGACATCTCCAATTTTTTCACTAGAAACGATTCCTCCAATGAATCGAATCCAAAAACACATAAAGTCGTTGGGCTATCTAGTACAGACGTGTGAATAATCCGGTTCAAGCTTGATCCGCCCACAAAGTTAGTAGTCTTGAAAACGATGTTCTCCACCTGGGCATCGCATTTCATATAGGCAGTGTTCATTTTCAAAAGAGAAGCTCACTAGTTGCTGTTTTATCTAGTGAGAGATGAATGAATGTCTGAGATCGTCATCACTATCACTGTTCTGCCAATAAGTTTGCATAATCACTATCTGAGAGAGATGAGGAAAGATGATGAGTATGATACCAGGAAGGACTGGCTATATACACTGAAGGAATCATCCGAGAGCTCACCTGCATCACATTTAAACGGAATCGTGGTCAGCAGGAGGTCTGGGGAATGCAGACGGCAAGCTTATGTCTGTCTTCGACACGTGGATAAACGCTTAAGCAATCACTAATGCTGCTATTTATAGTGTAGATACAAATGCTAGTCAGCCATTTCATTGTATACAGCCATTATGAACGTTAAAGATGGTATTAATATTCTTCTTAGTTGGATCTTGTGAAGCTGGCTAGGTTTCCATAGCTTGATTATAATAATGATGGGGTGCCAGATGACACCGATGCCAACGATTATGATTACCTACAGCAGTCTCAACGGAAGAGGAATAAATCATGCACTACTTGAAAATGTGGCCCATAAAGTTCCCTTGAGGAGAAATACCTCTCACGGACGCTGCAACGACCAGTGACTCAACAACGGCCAGTAAAGCGGAGTTCCCGAACATGGGGTTGGACATTTATTCATTCCGTCGCGTAACCGAGACAAGGATTAGCCGATAAGGTCGGGTGATGAAGTTTTCCGGCGCAAACTCAAAACGAAAGCCGAGAACAAAGCCTCTCCAAGACCGGGAAACACAAAGCACTAGGAGCGAAAAGGACAAAGGGACAGGGGACTAGGAAAATCCAGTACGTAAAAATGACGCTGATTGGTCCAAGACCTTAATCTGCGGGCCGCAAGTGGAGCCCGGGTTGTATGGTGACATGCGCTAGGATAGCTATCATCTCAAGCGTGCAAGCACGCCATTTCTCAAGAGCCTGAGGAACGGCAAGAAGAGGTTAAGATTTTCAGGTGTAGAAAAGTTTAAAGTCCGGCAGACCCTGCCGGACTGACCTCAAGACCTCAACATCCTTTTCGACTTCATCCGAGTCGGCACGTTTGGATTCCTCGCAATGGCGGAACCGATCTCGGTCTCGGCATCCTCCGATGAAGCTCCGGTCCAACATGAGAAACGAGTATGGTACCGGACGACTCTTTTCAATGCGTTTGTTATTGGAGGTGTAGGATTTTTGGCGCCGGGGTTATGGAATGCCATGAATTCACTCGGTGCAGGTGGTGCCGAATCACCATTTCTGATTAATGCAGCCAATGCACTGGTTTTCGGTCTTAGTACGTGCAGTTTTGAACATGGAACTTTTGACAAATATTAATGATTGCGTTCTAGTGGGCATTCTCTGTGTCTTTGGTGGGCCAATTGCGAATCGCATTGGAATGAACTGGACTTTGCTCCTTGGTGCAGTTGGATATCCTATTTATTCGTACGTGACTATCAAAGATGACTTACCAGAGAAACGATCTGACTTCTCCAACAGGGCTGCGCTGTATACAAATAACCGTTATGTGAATACATTTTTGCTCTTTTTATGGTTATAGACAGGCACTAACGATATATCACAGGGCAATGTTTGGTTTGTGTTGGTTGGTGCAGTCGCCTGCGGCTTATCGTAAGTTCCAAGGTTGTTCGATTGAGAAGGAAAAGCCGTTACTGACAGTTATAGAGCGGGTTTGTTTTGGGCTTCTGAGGGTGCGGTTGCACTTGGATATCCGGAGCCTTCCAAGAGAGGCCAATATATGAAGTCAGTTCGATGCTCCGGAAAAAAATGAGCAGCCCGAGGAAAGTAACATCTAACGTCGAATAGCATTTGGCTTTGGTTCCGAACTGGTGGCCCCCTAGTTGGCAGTGCAATTGTTCTTGGACTTAATCAGTAGGTCAAATAGGGCAAGATGGCATCCGTGACAGTCATTGATGAGATTTTAGTTCTGCTGATGCAAAGAGCAAGGGAAAAGTCGGATCTGGTAAGTTGCTCCAGTCGTTGATGTTCAGGATTATTCCTAACAGTGAATGCAGAAACGTACCTCATCTTTGTCGCCTTGCAATGTCTTGCGGTCCCTTTTGCTATTTTTCTCACTCGTCCTGAAAAGGTCCAGCGCAGCGATGGAAGTGTCGTGAAAGTCGTTAAGCAGGAGTCGTGGCGTGCTGAAATGGTTGAGCTCTGGAAAGTTACTCGCCGGAAGGATGTGAGTTCTTGATCGACTCAACTAGTTATAGTAAGCTAACCTTCTATTTAGATTCTGCTCTTGTTGCCAGTATTCTGGGCTGCTTATTTCAACCAGTACACCGGCAGTGAGTTTTTGCAATTCCATTTAATCTGTGATTGAAGCTCATTCAAACAACTAGATTTTGAGACTTACTACTTTGGAGTCCGAGCCCGCGCTCTGATTGGACTAGTCAGTATGTGCTACAGTATCCATGCCAACAAGATATTGCAGAACGGGGACTAATATTTTATCCAGCTTACCTTGCAGGTCTTCTCTCATCCTGGATCATCAGTCGATTCTTGGATTACCAGAAGCTACCTGTCAAGAGCAGAATCATCTACAGGTAAAGCAAACGTTGGATCATGCAAAAAATCAAATGCTGACGATATTCAAGTTTTTATTATGTTATTGTGCTTCACATCACGGCCTGGATTTATGGCTGGGTCGTGCAAGAGCAGTATACCGCCAATGCACCTTCCCTCGACTGGTCCGACAAAGGCTACACGAAAGGAATGTTCGTGATCCTTCTTTGGCGTGAGTTCTTCCTTGTTTTTCACTTTTGATCCACTGCCCCTGACATTGTGAATTCAGAATTCTCTCAGCAGGCTTTGCAGAACTGGCTCTACTACCTGCTCTCAACAATGACCGATAACATCTCGGAACTCTGTAAGTAACATCCCGAAGTATTCGACAGCATGTATCAACTAACGAAATTCAGCTCGTCTATCTGGTATCCTTCGTGGCCAGGAGAGTTTTGCCCAAGCAGTGTCGTACGGAATCAATACTCGCGATTGGTATGGTGGCCGGGTTCCTCTCGCAGTGAACACAATTCTTCTAGGTTCGTAAATCTCCTTGAATTCCCATGCATCTACTTCCAAGCTGACTTTGTTATAGGCATTGCGGTTGTTCCAACTTGGATGGTTATCAAGAGCCATTCCCCAATTGAAAACAGCAAAAACGTGGAAGTGAACAATGAAAGCAAGGATGAAGAAAAGGGTACGCCCAATAACGGCAGTTTGAAGAGCAAGGAAGTCATTGTGACTGGAGAAGAGGTGAAGGCTGAATGAATATTCAGTTCGTAAATAATCTAGAAGGGCTACTATCCGTGAACCGTTCATGGGTACGCATAGCCAAGAATATCTTTTTACTGAAGCCAAACTTATTAGATAAGAGAATTGAATGTAGAAGATTGATATAATATAATGAATACTTCAGGTTTTTAAGAGGAAGATCATGCCACACCTTTGACAAAGCTCAACCAAAAATAATGTTTGATCTGCACCCACCAAATAAAGCTACATATGACATAGCAAAAGGCACAAGTAGGAATAAGGAAGAAGGCCATATCTAGTGGCACCACCTCATTCTCTCATCCATTCCGTCACTTCGCTAAACGCAAGGTGTAGCAGATGAGACAGATTCATCGACCCATCCGGCTGTATCTCCGCGAGTTTGTCGTGTTTCATGACATCCCAGCGTTGGATTGGGATCAGGCGTTCTTCAGCTCTGGCCGGCGCATGCCAGATCTCACATAGTCTGTAATGAACATCCAGAAAACTTGGAGAAGGGCGGGCTTTGTTTTCATGCCCAGGTGCTTTAACAAGCTTGATTATAGTGCCGTTAGGCATATGTAGCGCAAAAACCTTGTCAAACCCTTCGTAAAACTTCACGCGATATTCGTTTGCTTTTTCCTTGATGAACTTCAGTCAGCGTATCAATTACACCGATAAGATACTAAAAGACTCACTGTTGGCGCCAAAGCCACCCGGAAATCGTCGTGAAGGAGGTTATGCAAAGTAATCACATTGTGGAGGTAATTAATCGCCTCAACCTGTACTTTTGCCCGAATTGCAGGGAACATCGTGTAGATCGTTGCGCATTTTGCTGCAGCATCGTGGTAATCCTGGCAAACTTAGTGTGTTATCATGTACAGTCAACTCCCGCTTATAGTATACCCCACCATCCAAAGAAAATTGTGTACAACGAGTGAGAGGTACAATAACTATGTGAGAGGATGACATAATACTCAGAGGTTTCATCTTTGGATATAATATCTTCCTCGAATATAGTCTAAAGATTGATCAAATTATATAATATTATCATTACGAACGTTGTCAATTAGGTACTTCATTATATAGAGCTTTGGTGGCGGTGCTTGGGTGGCCGGCTTGATGCACTTTGGCAGGGGAGTTGTAGAGTATTCAGGCATTGTGATTGGTTGATAGAGCTGACTAGGCGGATGACACAACAAAAATGGGAGTGTACAAAGGTGAGTGTTCTATAAGTGAGTGTTCTATAAGTGAGTGTTCTATAAGTGAGTGTTCTATAAGTGAGTGTTCTATAAGTGAGTGTTCTATAAGTGAGTGTTCTATAAGTGAGTGTTCTATAAGTGAGTGTTCTATAAGTGAGTGTTCTATAAGTGAGTGTTCTATAAGTGAGTGTTCTATAAGCGAGAGTTCTATAACCCGTCGTACCATAAGTGGGAGTTGACTGTAGTAGGATCAAGGTGTATTACATTTGTACCAAGCCCAGCGAGGGAGAATGGATTAATGTGCTGTATTTCAAGGTCTCCATTGAGCCTATCAAATACTCTGAAAGGCTTTGCTGGCGCTGGCGAGCGCGAGAGATCCAACCGTAGCTTGATCCTGAAACCTTTGCAAGACTCCAGCTTGCTGCTGATGCTTTGTGGATTAAAGAAGGCTAGGAAATCCTTGACCGAGCTAGATCTGCGCAAGGCTCTACTACTGCGAAACCTTTAGCAGGCCACGAGTCTTCTTTTTTGTTTTTTGTTTTCAATGTTGAAAGTCAAGGATTGAGTAATAAATGTAAATGAGTATCAATTATAAGTTAATAGAAACTAACATTCATCCACTGATCAAACTCGGTCGTGTTCGTGAGTAATGGATCTGCCGAAGTAACAACAGCCGTATTTGAAAATGACTGGAGACCACCCGGGTACCTTAGATCCGAGCTATTGGAAAATTCGGACATAGACGAAAGGTTCAAAATGGAACCTATACAGGAGAAACGGTCAGCTTCAATGTAAGCCAATGTGGAAGAGAGAAGGAAAGAAACCGGGATTCTATTGGCATTCTTATTACTATTTACCTTCGCACGGTTCCCACGCGGGCTGATCCAAGGAAAACATATCCTCAACGACGGGAATAAATGGATAGACCGAGTTAGGCGTAGCGATTGGAGTCTGATCATTTCCTTGTTCGCCCATCTCCAGAAGCGAGTGCAAGAGCTGAACCACTCGTTGTGCCTCAGGAGACATAGCACTCAAGCGTAGCCAAAGAGGAAAAACGTTCTGTAGCAGGTCATGTATGCTTTTGTCCGTCTTACCACCCAAGGAAACTTCTGGATGGGATTTTATCAACTGAAAATAGTAGCAGAGAATACTGACTCCCAATAGAAAGACAGCCTTTAGACGTGATGACGTGAACATCCAGCGCACTGGGTATAAAAGTCCGTCTCTCTGAGTCTCCTCATCAACTATCTGTTGGAATTCAAGTATTCTAAATGCGGCGTTAATGCATGTCTTTCGTGAATACTCGAATTGTGCTGGGTTGTAACAAGGTGTAAGATACTTCCGATGAAGCCAAATGGTCACACGCTGAATTGCAAGCTGAAGTAGCACTCGATGCATGACAATCTGTGGCAAAAGCATAAATGATTGACTAAGTGGCTGCCAACAGAAAACTGGCGACAGAGAAGCTTCGGCCTCCTTCAATTTCGAGTCGAGGTCTAGGATCTCCGCATAAGGGTGCTCTCGTGTGTCGTTGACAAGATCACTGACAAGCCCGTTCATCTGGTCTATCCTGGTTCTTGCTAGACTGTACAAGACAGGTGTGACCTCAGTTTCGGGGCGCGATTCAGGCAGCTCAGCGGTATTCTCATCGAAATCAGTATCGAATAGATTTCGAGGCTCGGTGGTATCATATTGCTGCAGCTTGAGAAGACGTGGCAGTGCCATCTGGCTAGACAATCGCAAGTCCATCTGCACTATCACTGCCCATACCCGTCGTCGCATCTCTCCAGCAAATGGAGAGATACTGGAGAAGTTTTGTGGATCTCGATGATACCCGAGACTTAGAGCAAGCTGTACAAGTATCCCGTGTACCAACCACAGACCAATCTCTGACTCCCTGGAAAGAAACAGCTCACTAGTTAGATAGTTGATCAATGTTTCTAGCACATAATCTCCACCCCTAGTCCACTGACAGAGCACAAGGGAATGAATGACATTCTCTCGAAACATGTACACGCGCACCCGTGTCTCCGGATCCTCGGAGCCCTCTATTGATTGTTGATACTTCATCGAGAGGGACATGACGCTGAATAAGAGGCCTATCCAAGCTATTGACACTGTGTTTGGCTCCTGCCAAAACTTTTCATACTGGAGAAAAGGGCAAATCAACCATCACATTAGCAAATAAACATAAGGGGCAATTAAACGGGAAAGTTACTGTGGGTGTGAAGTAATTCTCGACATCAATGTCAAAAAGATTGGGGTTGTATGATCCGCACCTCTTTGAGAAAATGCCCGCTATGAATAATTTCCGGAACAACACCTTGGGCGTTGAAGTATCGAGCAACCATACGATCCACTGCAGGCCGAGGGGGTATAGCAGCCATGAGATCGGCCCTTGTTGTCTGAACAGGCTCATAAAGAAGCCGGGGGCCAGGACTCTCCTGTAGCACATAATCATCCGTAGCCAGCAGTCTGGCCTCCTCCTCTTCGTAATGATCCCTCAGCTCTGAGATGCTGTCAAGAACGGCAGCCCAGTGAAAGCTTCCAACATAGTTTGCGCCATGTGAATGGAGACGCATGCTACCATGCTCTGAGGGTGCAGGGGACGTAGCATAGTCTCTATTAGACGCCAAGGAAGCATGTCGTATAGCTGGTACGATATTATCTTCATCGACCGAGGTTAATGGTTTTGTTATCGATACACCTTGTAGCGATGTGTCTGGTGTACCCTGGAAGGAATATGCCAGATCACCTTCTGGGCCATTTGAGCATGTAATCTGTGCTGGTGGGTTGTGCTGTTGTTGTGGGCTCTGCTGTTGCTGTTGCTGCTGAGCTAGAGAGCGCACCAATGACTCGAGCTGCTGGATGCGGTCGCCGACGCTTACTTGGCTCTTATCACGGGGCGCGCCGGAGCGATAAGTGCATGTTGAGCCTATTCCTCGTCCAAGACAGGTCCTGCATGGTAGTTGACGATCACATCGAACTCTGTAAGATGAACAGATGGACTTTGATGAGTTTCAATTTTCTCGGTGATAACTTGGAAAAGCGGCAACTTTAACACGGGGAGTGGACAAGAAAAACCAAGTACTTACTTGCGACTCCGGCAGAAAGTACATGATAGAAGCGGCTTTTCTCGACGGCGATCCCGTAATTGGGGTAGAGAATCTGGTATAGAGGTCCCATTAGGAGGCGTTGAAGATTTGGGGGCTTGAGGATCCATCAACGTCAAGTCGGGCCTTTATTTTCGATCTTGATGATTCAAGAGTGCACAAGTTGAGCTTGGAGAGAAAGAAAGTAAAATGGTTAATCCCCGTGCAAGGGGAAAGCGACGGGGCAATGTCTAACAGAGGTTGCGGAGGAATCGACGGGGCAATGGACGGAGCTAAGCTTCGGGTGGAGATGAGATTCTATGCCAAAGTGGAGCCCGCACCACAAACCACAAACGGAGCAAACCCGGGGCAATATACGATTTTGTTGAAGGTTCGGAATGCCACAATGCTGTTCTTTCTTTTGATATATCCCGAGAAGCCGCACAGCAATTGGAAAATGAAAACAATTGAATCAGCTCGCAAAATACACTACAGTTGAGCCTGCTCGCCTCCCTATTGCAACGACTAGACCACATTGAGATCGCCTGATTATATCAGGCCAGAATCTTGAAACCCTACCAAGAAATTCCTTTAAGCTCGGCTGAGACTGATCGAACCGTCTGCAGTGACGGAATTAATATGGCGGCCACCCAGCCTGGTGCTATCGAAGGGTACCCGGGGCAAAAGGCCCTGACTACTACCAGCAGTAGCTCCGAAAACGATCAAATGTCAGATTCTGCAAAAGATATTGAGAAATGGAACCCAGCAAGCATTTATGCCTCTACTGTGGATCCAAACCTCGTCGACTGGGATGGACCGGATGACCCTGCTAATCCACGAAACTGGTCTCGGGCATTCAAAATGGCCAATATTGTGCTTGTCAGTCTGTCCGTGCTATATTGCAATCTTGCAACCACGATGTTCTCTCCGGCCGCCAAACTCATGCAGAGCGAGTTTGGCTTCAAGAGCGACACAGTTGAAATTCTGACAATCACCATCGCCTCACTTGGCTTTGCGGTGGGTCAGTTCTTTGTGCCACCCCTCTCTGAGGTTTTTGGACGTGTGCCTGTTTATCGCGTGAGCTCAGTGTTGTATCTTGGGTTTACTGCTGGCTGTGCACGGAGTACTCATGTCGCAGAGTTTCTTGTCTTCCGTCTGTGCACTGGCCTCTCTGCTGCGTCGTACATGTCAACAGGAGGCGGTACCGTCGCAGACTTGCTGTCAAAGGAGGAGAGAGGAGGAGCAATGGCTCTATTCACCGCGGGGCCGCTCCTTGGGCCGGTATGTTCTTCATCCAAGACGGTCAAAAAGCACCTTTGATTCAATAGACTAAAACAGCTACTAGGTTCTTGGTCCTATTGTTGGAGGATTTGTGACTGAGAATCTGAGCTGGAGATGGACATTTTATCTCATTCTGATGCTTGTAAGTCATGGAATGCCTCGTCCAGCTTTCCTGTACAAAGGGTAACGATTGGTTCCAGGGCGGTACCGTCACGGTTGCCTCTTTCATATTAATGCGTGAGACAAGCGCCGTCGCCATTCTCAAGGAAAAAGCTACTCGCTTGCACAAAGAGACAAAGAATCCAAAATTGCGTGCAAAGGGCAACAAGCAGATCCCAATCAGCCAACTTATTGCTCACGCCGTGACTCGTCCAGCCACTTTCCTTGTCTTCTCTCCTGTTCTCTTTCTGATCTCTCTTTACATCGCGTTCAATTTCGGTGTGACCATGTTATTGTTTGCGACCTTTCCAACCGTCTTTGAAACCTACTATGGCTGGAGCGTTGGTGTCTCCGGCTTGGCATATGTTGGTGTCGGCATCGGCTGTGCCGTTGGTATATTGATCTTCGCCAATCTCAGTGATCGCTTGCTGCATGCTGAAGGTGGTAATTTCCACGCTGAGCGACGTCTGATCTTGATGATGTGGGTCTCTCCTCTTTTCCCCATCGGCTTATTTCTCTATGGGTGGACAGTCCAGTACCGAGTGCACTGGGTTGTTCCCATCATTGGAACGGCCATTTGTGGACCTGGCGCCGTGGTCATCAATTCCTCCGCGCAAACATATATCATTGATATATTTGGGCCCCAGACGGCCGCATCGGCCATGGGCGCCCTCACGATTCTTCGTAACCTGACGGGAGCATTCCTTCCTCTTGCCGCTCCATCGCTCTATGCCCATCTAGATATGGGTTGGGGAAACAGCGTGCTCGCATTCATTACGATTTGTTTCATCCCAATCCCATTCTTGTTTTACTGGAAGGGAGAGTTTCTGCGTGAGAGGTTTCCAGTCAAGGTCTAAAGAGGAAACGTACTCCAGGGACATGGACCATCTACCAACGTTGGACGTTTTTTTTTTACCTCATCGTACGAGCGTTCATACAGTAGGTATATCGCGGAGTACATCTTCAAGGCCATCCTGTAGCAAGAACCAATACCATTAGCCGATAGCACGAAGATCTAATATAAAATCCCTGACCCTTTTTTATATGCCTATCTGCTCAGTTCGGGCGGTGGCCGGGGCGTAGTGACCAGAGGGAAGGGCAACGTCTGAGCGTGGTATGCTTCCAAACTGGCTGGATGTCTACGATATGTTATCTAAACATGAAACAACGTAGCAGTGCAAAAGGTGAATTAGTGCTTCTTGACCGCTAATCTAGTTGATCTTGAGGAGCTCAACCTCGCTAGCGAATTGTTAATTTCCAAAAACCATCTTTACATCTGAAAAACTTACAAGATGAGGGTGGATCCGGCGGGAATCTTGCCAGCAGCCCTGTAGGAAGAAATATTAGAACGTCATCGTTGATGGACCTCATATGCTTTAGCTCACTTGTCGCCGTATCCATAGTCGCTAATGAGCATGTCAGTAATGGTCCATCTTCAATTTGTCGTTGTTTAATAGGAGTACTCACGGAGTAATAGTCAAGGTGGACTTCTCGCCCACGCTCATCTCCATAACGCCTTCGTCCCAGCCTATGTAAAAAAGGTTAGTGGAGAATTTCTACATACAGGAAGCTCACACAATTTGACCAGTCTACGAGGGTAGACAGGGTTCTACCCCACACCAAACAAAGAGAAAAGCTTACCCTTGATAACCTGTCCGACACCAATCTGAACATTGAGGGGACCACGGCCAGGAGTTCTGGAGCTATCAAACCTATTGGCAATCTTAGCAATCAAACGACTTTACCATAAGCTAAATGACAGTGAGGGTGGCAGCTTACTGCTTGCCCTGGAAACCCTTGCCGGCCTTCTTAGCATCATAGAGCCAGCCGGTGTAGTGGATGGAAACCTTGTCGCCTGAAGCAGGCGAGGGGCCGCTACCGCGGGTGATGATCTTTCTCTGGACACCCATTATGGCTTATAGGTAATAAAAGAACTGAAGGATGGAGGGGTGAAGTTCGGAAGATCAGAATCAACGCTGATTCGTATTTTTTCTCAAAGTGGGGCGGGATCGGGAGGCGACCCACCACTTTTAGGCCCGCCATCAAGTAGAGTACAGTGGGAGATGTTTGGGGGCGCATTGCTCACTGGTCCCGCGCTAAATGGGTTCTTGAGGTCATAGCTGAGCTTTCGACGTGTATAAGGCATCTCGATTGACCCCAACGCTGTTTTTATCTTTCTCTTCGTCAATCCCCCGCATAATTCCTAAGCACATCTCCGTATAACCAACTCTAGCTCATTATGCGGGCGTTTACCTTCGCTGCCACAGCAATTGCTGTTGTCGGCGCACTCTCATCTGCCAGCACTCTCCCCTCAGAGATCGCTGTCATTGGTGAGCCTTCACAAATTCTGAATGTGACCTTCAAAACCTCCTCCCAGCTCGTCGAGGTACAACCCGGTCTTCTGTTGACCGCAAATCGTAACACGCATCTTTTGTCGCACTCTGGCAAGAACACTACTTACATAAAGGATAGAAACCACGAACCCACCTCAGCCAAATTTGAAAAAGTCAGGCTCGGTGATCAAGAAAGGCCAGAAATATGTATTTATGATGGTCGATCCAGACACAAACACCACCGACCCCACCTCCGTCGCCCTCCACACCATTGTGACAAACCTCACTGTTGCCAACGCATCATCTGGAAATATTCTGGCCAAGTACGTTGCGCCCGAGCCCTCCGGCACCGCACCGCACAACTACACGTTCCTCCTCTTCAAACAACCAAGCAACTTCACGGTTGCATCAATCTACGATCCCTACTTTCCCCTAAATTTGTCGGATGTTTGGAACCGCGTCAACTTTCCCCTCCCCCAGTTTCTTAATACCACCGGGCTGGATAAGCCCGTGGCTGCGAACTGGTTTCGAGAGAAATCAGAGAACACCTCTGTAACTACTACGGCCTCTGGTACCGCGACAGCTACTAGTACTAGTGCACAGACTGCTACAAGCAGCTCCGCAGCCAGCGCAGAGCTCTCAAACTGGCAGATTCTGGCACTAGGTACTGTGTTGGGTGGTATTTGGATAGGAATATAATTGCGAACTGAACACTGTTGGCCACGGTGTCAGCTTAACTATTGCTCCCCTGGCAGAGTCGCTTTTTATAGTTGTGAATAACGGGAGACCGAGCGTGCACTCCGGCAATCTCGCTACGGGGGAAGTTAGTTGTTGCCCCCTGTATACAGGTCTGCCCTAGGAACATATGATTGAATTCTAGGCCCCATTTGAACCAAGTTTTCTGTCTTCGTATATGCACGGGCTAAGCTTGTGCCTATGTAGAAGCTCACGCAGCTCATTCATACCAAATGAGCTAGCCAAAGTGCAATTGGATGTCTATATACCCAGAGGTCAGAGACTCTTGTTTCCTGCAAGGTCGTACTGAGAACACACACGTTAATATTCGTTTATAATGCGTGGTTGTGATCTGGATCATGACTTAGCATCCGAGCTGGTGGCGGCCATCGATCGTCGGAGCTGCGCGCTAGCAACATTGAGATTGTAAATTTGTGCCGTTCGTAAGTATCCAAGGGTCTGAGTAGGATAGAACATATCTCGAGGGATTTTTAGGGTTCCGTACTCTTGATTGCATATTTTCACTAGAACAGTATTTCTACCATGCTACCTAAGAATTATGGCTTTGTAGGAAGATATTGCGTCAGAACAGCTCTGAAGGTGCAAGAAGGAACACAACAGATTAGTCACTTCCAAATCTATACTAGGACAAGAAATAGGTAGTTTTAACAGTTAGTTGAAATCCATTGACATCACAAAGAACCCAATCAAGAAAGCAAGCAGGGTCCACGAGTCATCTGGAATTTGTGTTGCAGGCCCTACTGTCTCTATATCATAATTGGAGTATATGATAATAACTGCTATTCTCAATGAATGTTGGAAGGATACAAACCCGGTGCTCGCTATGCGGATGGAAAGATGCCAGGGGGTTAGATGCAATACACACAACCACCGCGTGATTTACAATTACAAGCAACGCAACCCTTTGCCAATATACTTGAGGCCATTATCACTGAGGACTCTTAAAATTGTGACTCTCTGTCTGGATGGTTAGGCAGTAAATTCGAATCATTCGTTTAGTTGAGCCCCGGTAGAAGAAGCACGGAAACACGGAATCTTTCCGACATAAAACTTCGCTAACCTCCTTTAGGTGAAAAAAAGCGACAAACATGCAACCGATTGCCTCCATTTCTATAAAACTTGCGAGCTATTTCTGGTTTGCAATTTCCATCACAATTTTATGATGTGTATAAGATAAATGAGGGATCCATGCCTTCACATCCCAAGTTTAAGAAGCTATCAATTTATCCACCATGCCCCAATCAAAGGAAGGCTTTCTATGGTCCCCGCACAAGACTGTAGATGGCTTAGAAACAGATGCCGTCACTCAAAGCTCCCCGAATATCAAATCTGTCTACGACGCTATAGTAATCGGAACCGGGTTCGCAGGTCTAATCGCAGCCCGCAATCTCTCCCAAGACCCTCATACCAGTGTCCTGCTAGTCGAAGCACGAGACCGAATCGGTGGTCGAACATGGACAGCAAAGGCATTCGGTGAAGAGTTCGAAATGGGTGGAACCTGGGTACACTGGAGCCAGCCCCATCTCTACCATGAGCTACACCGATACGGTCTGCACCATTATCTAAAGACATCGGCCGGAAGCTCGGCGGCGGAGAAACAGTATTTCAATTCTGGTGTTGAAGGGATCAGAGAGATCAATCCAGAGGAAGGTGCTGCGATTTTGGAGAGAGTTGCAGCAGAGTTCTTCAATATCGATGGACTGAGTAGTCGAGAACTTATGCCATTTCCGCATGAGCCTTTTCGGAAACCGGGGCTTTGGTCGAACTATGATTATTTGACTGTTAAGCAGCGGCTGGATCAGTTGACTGAATTCTCGTCATTTGAGAAGGACTTGTTCGAGTCCAATGTGAGTACTTTTGGCAGTGCGCCCGGTGCTGAGACAGGATTCACTGAGGCTCTTCGATGGTATGCGCTTGGCGGTCACAGTATGGCTGGCGTGTATGAGCGAGCGGGGATATATAAGATTGGGCATGGGGGTATGACGTCTTTTGCTCGAGCTGTTTTGGACGAGTTTAAGGGCGACATAGTCATGAATACCGTTGTGGAGCAGGTTGATGAAGGGCGGAATGGGGTGACGCTTCATGTAAGCGGTGGCAGGAAACTCCATGGAAAAGCTATCATATCGACTATTCCACTGTAAGTAGCAAGATTTTGCTATTGAGTGGGCGAATGCTGATGGTACATAGGAATTGTTTGAAAAATATCACGTTCAATCCACCTCTTAGTCCCCTTCGACGTGAGGCCATTGCCTCCGGACATATCAACAAAGGTGCTAAGATTCATTTTCGACTTGGTGCGACAGAATCGGGCTGGTTTGCAACAAGTCATGCCTCTGGAGGGTCACCTTTTCTTTTCGCTTTTTCGGATCACAATGGGAACCAGCCCTCTGGCCCTGAAGGGACATGGTGTATTGGCTTTGGGTACAATGGCCACCTGACAGATAAAAGAGAAAGCAGCCATATCATCAAAGAGTTCCAGGAAAATATCAAACCACAAGCGACGATTCAGGCATACCTCACTCATGATTGGATGAATGATCCTTTTGCGAAGGGTACATGGTGTTGCTGGGGCCCGAATCATTTCAGCAAGTATGTGCAGGAATTGCAGAAGCCGCATGGAAAGGTCGTCTTTGCGAGTGCAGATTGGGCAGATGGGTGGAGGGGATTTGTGGATGGTGCAATTGAGAGTGGGCAGAAGTCTGCAAATGATGTCAAGGCACTGATTGCTAGTGCCAGTCCCATAATTAAACTTTAAACTTTCGAAATCACATCAATCACTTGTCAAGTTTTATCAGATTTAAATAAAGAAATCGAAACCGAGGTTGATTGCATAAGCATGTATTCATCAGCACCACCGAGTCTACTTGAGTACTAAAACAGTTACGGCCATGGCAAGGTAGATGCAAAAGAAGGGTATTGACAAGAAATATATGAAAGATAGGCCGCATAAATCACGTGGACTAGTCCAAAGCCTAAGAAGTTTCTTGAACTTCAGGCCCCGACGCGGTATTTCCCTCATCCACGGCCTTGCCCCAGGCCCTGTCGAAGGCAGATTCAGACGTAGGCTCTTTAGATGGTACTGGTGTCGTCTCCTCGGCCACTGGGGCTTCATTAGTCTCCTCAGCGATCTCAATAACCCGCTCTTCCTGATCAATCAGAACGGGAGCGCTCTGGGCCAGATCGACAGATCCAGCCTCGGTCTCATCCACTACCACTTCTGAGAACATGGCAGAAGAATTCGGGTCCATAGAATCCATACCCTTAGAAGCCCCTGGTTGCCGACTAGCACCGGGAAGCTCGAGGTCGAAATTCGAGCTATATATGACAGCGGAAAAGGCCTCGAGCTCTCGAACGTTCTTGTCCATTACGTCGAGATAATCGTTAGGGCCCATGGGTCCCTGACCAATCACATGAGCTTGACGGGCCATCACGGCGAGCAAGTTGGCAAGTTTGGTCTTGCGCTCGGAAACGACGGGGGGGATGACGGTGGCCATGGAGTCAAAGGATTGTGGCGCAGTCTCTGGTGCCGGAGTCGAAGCCTTGAAAGCCTCGTTGGCACATTTCACGTCAACTAGGGTGGAGAATCCTTCATTCAGAAGGAGAGTCAGGACAAAGGAGAAGGACGGAGAGTCGATGAGGTCGGCTGTCTCATCCAAAAGAAGGCGCAGCTTTGAAGCAGTCTCCGAGGAGGATGGGTCAGCCACTCCCTCGACACCGGATTCACGAAGTACGTAATCTTCGTCCTCCGTTGGCGGCAGCAAGCAGGATAACCATTTCTTGGATCTAAGTTTGGCATGTCAGTAACGCAATCATAATTGAGACAATGAGGAAATATCCATTACCGACGGTCTTCCTCCGTATTCCCTTCAATCTTTCTCCGGATCTGCAGAGTCAATTCTGACAGTTTGGACAAACTGATATCCTCACGCGGGTTCAGAGGACCGAATGCCTCCTCCACAGCGGGCTGGACCCGCTCCATAAGCGTCTTCCATCCACGGTGGAGCAGCCACCAACTGAACGCAAGATAGCGTCGGTTGGTCGCAATATCATCTCCAAGGGTTTGTGTGAGATCATAGTCATGGTCTTCAAGGCTGATCGTCGAGTCGGCAGGGGGGTTGGCCAGAGAAATGACGCTTGAGAGATAGTTGCGGCGGCCGAGGAGATTGAGCTGGATGCGAGTGAAGATGTTGAGAAGGGAGAGGATATAGATCATTGTAAAGGATCGAGTCACAGCTGCAGTAAAAGAAGAGTTAGCCAGATGAATACCATTGTATAGGGCCCTGGGTCGAAAATACATGTGATCTTGACCTCATTCCATAGCTGTGTCTTGTTCCGTTTCACGCGGGGTTGTCCATCCGAGTCGGCCGGCTCTCCGAGCTGACTCGTATGCACATAGCCCTCGCTCTGGAAACTCGAAAGACTCTTTGTATCATCTCCTGGCAGGCTTGGTGAAACCGAGCTCATGTCCGAGCCCGTAGCTTCCCCCGCATTGAGTCGTGCTAGCCTCTCCGCCCGCTTCTTCTGTAGCTCCTTGGTCAGTTCCTCCACAGGCAATGCATCGACAATATTCTCTGTAGCTGTTGGCAGCAATGCAATGACGGTATAGGCGCAATCGGTTTGATTCTGTTCAAATCGCCGGCGTAGGCTAAAGTGGAGACTGTTAGCCAGCGGGCATCGGGAACAGGATGGATCCAGTCACAAGCTCGCGTGTCCGGGCGACAGGGCAAGCAGAATTGGGAACCTAGACCAGGACTCACTTTTCTTTGGCAATCCTATCACTGCTCATACGCTCTCGCGCCTCTGAGATCTTGGAAATAACATATTGGCCGGCCAGGTAACCAGCACCCAGCACTCCAGCCCCGATCGCGAGACCTTTGCGATTGCGCTTTAACCAGCGCCTCGCGCCACCGATCATGTTGTAGATGTTCGGAGATACTCTCTCTTTTCCGTCTGTCGTGGATTTTGTGGATTTTGAGATGATCTCTGTTGTGTAGAAGTTGAGGTTGGGCAGATCCAAGTGGGAGGTTGACCTTCGGGCGCTGATCGCGGTGGCCGGGGACCATCCCCAGCCGGCCTCGGCTAGTGTGCCAGGTTCTGTGGGGAGACCCCAACTATGATACTAGAGCACATCAAGTTATGATGATGACACGATACTCCTTTTCATCTGGAATCAACTGAAGAGAATAAATTCATCCTCCAAATCATCTTCAACGTAATATGTTTGGAGGATGACTTTAGCTTCCCCGGATTCGGTATGGCCGCACCATAACATGTGTTCCTCCTTCATTTCTGCCAAGACATCTAAGCCGTTGCTAACTTGCATGGCTAGATCTTGTGTTTACCTTCACGTGTCATATCCTACAATATCACAAAAACCTCAGGAACAACAATTGGATCATTTCCGAGTTTAAATAATGGGGGTCATGAACATATCAGAGCCCCAGCACTGCAGGCATCTACTTCTCACACTTTTCCAAAATCCACTGCCGGGCTTCATGTCAACCTCTTTAATACGTACATAATTGTAGACCGGGATGCAGAAGAACCATGAGCGTTATGTCTATCAATCTTGAAGGCCGCATCGAAAACGAAGAGGGCATGGTACGACCTCGGGAGTAGAGAGTATCAAGCTTTAGTCTCAGAAACATCTCCGAGGACAACAACCGCAAACTTTGGTCGGTCCAAAAACAGCTCTTCATCCGCCTTAATCTGAGACGCAGCCTCAGGCTCACGAACCTTCTGAGCAAAGACACGGAAAGCATCCTCATTAGTGAACGTCAGCTCCGCATACGCATCAAAGTCGAATTCCGATTGCTGGCCAACGAGTACAACAGCCGGGGTGGTGGCATTGGAAGAGGTAGCGCCCTCAGGTGCCACTTCGACAGTTTGGCGAAACGTATAGGTGCGTTTATGGGAGAGCGGGAAGTCATCGCCAGTAAGGCGCTTGAGAAGGTCGACATGGGCCTCGTAGTGCTTCTTGAAGTCCTCGGTAGACATACCGGGCTTGCGGTAGGCGTGAGCTAGTATCCTGAAGGGCATTGTGAAGGGTTTAGGCAGAGAGTGGCTATTGAGTCTTCGCTTTTAATGGTCTTGGGGATGTGACGGGATCAACAAGGCGCTGCTTACGTTCCCCTCACTTTATATAGTGAGCTAGTTGACTACTTGGGTTAGTAAACTACTTCAATGGCGTTATGTAATCCAGGTTTTGGGGGCTAAAGCGTTGCCTAAAGAAAAGGCGAGATTGATAATATGAGAGGCTGGTACACTAGAACAGCCTTGTGGCATATTTCACAACTTTTATTGGCTTTGTAGCTGTTGTCACTTGAAGCAGGGATATGTTCAAAGCTGCCCAATTCGAGCTGTCACAGTCAACCAGTAGGAAAAGCTGCCGTTAATAATAGTTGATCAAGGTAGTGGTTCAAGGGGAGCGGTGCTTCCATACGGAAATACAAGCTTCCATCATCCATTCTTCTGAGCGGCAAAAACCGCGCTTGTAGAGACTACACTTCGGATCATCTGAGCTAGGGACTCGGGAGACTTAAGTGTTAGTATTTATGATGCCGAAGACGAAACTGTTGGTTTGGTGAAGGAGGCCCTGTATTGGGAATAAGAAAGATTGGGAACGTGAGGGATTGGGATGAGGGCTTCTTTAGCACGGGGGTAGGAATGTTATTCTTGGAGACGATAACGGGAATCAGGAACAAAAATCGGAAGGGCTCCACTCGAAACGCCTTCCTGATTCGGAGATATCGTGCCATCCACATTATTGTTGTGAAATAAATCTGGTTGATGTGTAGCCAGTGAACATGGTGCCATTTGCCTCTAAATGGCACATATGGGAGAACTCAACATCTTGGTGAATGAAGCGACTTACAAATTTGTACCATTCGGTGTCAAAGTATTCTCTTGTTATCAGTGAATGGTAAGCAAGATCCATCTCAAGGATTGCTGACTGGTATATAACAACTACTGCTCGTTTACTCTTTTGGGGAAGTATCTTCAGTATACTGAGGGAGGACGCCGAAGAATTAAATAACGAAACAACTTGGATCATGAGGATGTGAAGAATAATGAGAACATTTCTAACTATAGAGCTCACTTGCACTTTTCTACGAACAGTTCCTATCAGTGATGATGAAGGTGCGTGGTACGCACGATCTGGATGGGGTACTGGATAGTCCATACGATGCCCACAGTACTGCGATTAAAGACCTGCTAGGCTTCAAGTACCATGTAGTCAGCAATATAACCAGTGAGGTGATTCAACACAGGAGATATTTTTAGAACCTTATAGGGGATCTTGGATCCAGGCAAGTTGATGTGTTTGGCATCTAGTGGAATTCAAAACTCCATACGAAGAGCGCCAAGACGGGAAGAATGGTTCCAAAGATACCTTGAAACCATCATATTCAAGAAATATCCAGTACAAAGGAAATAAACGTGGAGCACAACACAGTCGCAAGCAGCGAATGACCCACTTTCCTGATGAACCATCGTTATTACGCAACCGACAAAGGGCCGCCCGCCCAGGGACCAATGATAAGCTTGATAAGCGTCATTCGGCCCAGTCCGATGGAAACCGCCCCGATCCTCACTGTCACCAGCATCACCCCAAACCAAGACCTAAACCCCTCCATGACACTCACCAAATCCTCAAAGGCTCCCAAAGCAGTACAATAAATCGTGCGCCCACGTACTCCACCCAAATCACCTCGCGTTCCGGCACAAAACCCCAAACAGCAGCTCTGGGTCCGTTCCACCGCGGGCGGGGATGGAGCCCCGCAAAACCCCTCCAGAGTACTTCCTGGAGATATTCGCCGACACCACAACAGTGCGCGATGTGCTAAAAGGTATGTGGCTACACAGTTATCCACGGGAATCCCCAATGGCTATTGCGGAAATTTCCTGCTCGTTCTCAAGGTCGCCACTGACTTTTGCCCCTCGCTCAGGCGTCCTGAACCTCATCTTCTTCCACCGCTACTTCCCGTCTATTCGACCCGTGACCTTCGATGTACTGGACTTTACACTACCTGCGATCAATGATGCGGACTTGGAGACGTTGATTGAATCTCGCGTTAGTGCCCTTGTGCGGCAGCACCTGTCCTCCGCTGCAGGCGGAGAAGATGGGAAAGTAGGCGCCGGAGGGGGTGTACGTGGTCGGATAGCGGTGGAATTTTATGAGAAGAAGAGGCGCCGGTCAGGGCTTTGGTTTGGTGGGTTAGCTGGGAAGGGAGAGGAGGAGGTATGTTGGGAGATTTGGACGTTGGATGTGACGATTGCAACGCCGCGGACGGATTCCGGTGAGTTTTTTACCAGTAGCAGAGAGTGTTTAGAGTTGCTGCGATGGCATTTGGATGCGCGGGCTCTGTCGGAACGCAGTTGGGGATGATCGCTTGCTAATCTGTTCTTTTTTGGGGGGCATTTAGAACGAGCCAAGGTCCGGAAGGCCATGGGCAATATGCTTCAGAAAGCTGCGTTGAAGATCCTTGCTGTTGTGAATCGGGACAAGGACCATATTCCGCCCATCACGACTAGTGATTCCAATCCCTTCCCTTATCGCATTGTTGTTAACCCGCGGACCGATGGTTGGGGTAACCGCATTGGGTTGTATTAACATGGCCGAACTGGGAGGGAGATTAGCGACGCCATCGGAGCTGCACACTTGTGTTTGGTCCAGGGCGATATGATTTCACGTTAGAAGAGGTGTTCGGCGTTTGGCGGGCAAGTCCCTTGCGGGAAGTCACTTTTTGGACTGGCGTCTTGGAATTTTGTGTTTCTTTCCAGTGGAATTATTCGATCAGAGCAAGGCAATTGAAAGCCCGCTCCATATGGAAAATGTAGAGGTGGAAAAAATCAGTGTAAGAAATGCATATCATGCTGTTTCCGTATACCTGGAAGCGAGCGGGGCGACAGAGTCAAAACGCTACAGACAAGCTCTACCATTCAAGATATGTAATTCAAATCAACACAAAACCAACACAGTATCCCAATTCCCCGCTAGCCCCCAATACATCCCCGGGCTCGGCTCCTTCCCTCCTTTCACCTTGACTCTATTGTCATCAGGACTCAAATTGCAATTCATTCGCATCGAGACTTCATCCTCGAGCATCACGTCGTTAACAATACCCGACCGGTCAGGGAGAATCGACAAACCCGCGGCCTATATCCAAGCTACAGCCTCGGGTGTACATGATATCGAGACGATTCTCAGCATGGATTCGTTATGGAATCTTTTAGGACGAGTGGGTCTTGGAAGCAGCCTCGGCCTGGGCACGGAGGTTGGCGGAGGTGCCATTGCTGGAGAAGAAGCGGCCAACCAGAGGCTGAAGGACAGAGTGGAAGACAACTTGGGCACCGCTGTAGAATTGGTTAGTTCACTTGAATTTGAAGTTTAGTATGTGATTTTCATTTCGAAGACTTACTTGGTCTGGGGAAGAGCCATCCACAGCACAAGGACGAACTTGAAGATGTAGTAGAAGGCTAGTTCGAAATCAGTATAGCTCAACTTGTGCGATAACTTGTTTGCACGTACGGAACCAGTAAGCGGCGCTAATAGCACTCTCGAGGGTGGTCAGGAAAGCAAAGACGACCCAGTACTATCGAGGGACATGTTAGATTATTGGTCTTGCGGAATATCACGTGGCACTCGACAAGGACAGAAGATGCTGTCTCGTGCCAGGAACACTATGGCAATATGATAGCGAGTTGGGGTCATGGGAACATACAGTCAACCACTATAGAAAATCGAAAGTTAGCGAGACAATTCATAGGAAAATAGGCAGGAGATGAGAGGAAAGCTTACCTGAGTGTCATCCGCGGTACCCGAGGTGAACAGGGCCTGGAGGGAGTAGTAACCAGGCAGGACGAAACCAGCAACGTTGACGAGGAACTCGCCAGCGATGTTGAAGAACACAAGGAAGAAGTAGACACCGACCAGACCCAGGATGGCATAGACCTTAGGGACGGAAGTCTGTCTCTCCAGGTTGTTCAGGACAGGGTACTTGGACAGCTATCAAAGACGTCAGCCAAGGGGACATAGCTCCAGAAAAAAAAAATAAGACAATGATGGAAGGTAGCACAAGTAGATGTGTGCTGTGCTGTTAGATCCCGTTGCCCTCCCGATCGCACTATCGTGAGGGCACAGAAATCATGCAGCCAAAAATGGGGCTAGAGCTGGCGAGGCACCAACGAAACACACAATGAGCTAGAAACGCACCTCCTTGTCGAGCTGGGCGATAGCGTGCTGGGCACGGTCTTGGAAGGAAGCCATTTTGTGAGATGAGCTTAAAATTTCAGAATATGTTTTTCGAGAAGCAGAGAGATTGCAATGGGAGCGAGGGATGAGTGAGAATGCATTTGGTCGAGCTGGCGCTTCCCGCTGCTGTGACCGTGCGGTAATCACGTGATTTCATGACGTACTCGGTCCGCGATCAGATGCGAGCGCCATGTGAATCAACTGCAGTGGAGTGATCCGTCCTGTGGGTATTTACCCCTCGCATGATAGAATGCCATCGATAGGAACAAAAGTCCCGACTTGTCTAATTTGGTAGGATTTCATGCGAGCTATCTGTAGAGCACTGTATTCACAAAACCCCCTAGAATAACCCTATCATCAAACGATAAGCCCTCTTGCATGTTAGGTCATTCAGACTAAATCAAGTACGGTTACTAAAGATACAGGTTTTTTTTTCCCGGTCTCTAAGAGCACAAAATCATTACCCGTTATCGTAAACCTAGCACGATGACGACGGTTTGATGATATGATCTTGTGCGTCCTTACTAGAAATGTGAAACCAACCCCGGACAGCCAAGCTCCGGGAAATTATTCTTATCCACATCCATAGATACATCCGTGAACCTATTCCACCCAGTCCATTACTCATCGATGGATCAATCTAGCCCAAGCTAATACAGAGTATAATTTGGCTATAGCATGAATCTAACGGTTCTTTATCCGTCATACAGTCTTTGGAGCTCGCAAAATAATTCGAGCCTATCATGTTCAAGGAATCTCATGCCAATGGCACAAAGTACATCATCACGTAATCCATGTATAGGGCACGTTGATACATAACTACGGATAAATGCTCGCTAATGCGCACCCTATATATCGCCTTAGCCTCACAATAGCCTAATAACCAGGAATCGACCAGGAGTGATATCTATAGATTGAATTCATTGGATCTACCTCCTGTAGGGGCTCAGGTATTCAAGTCGCCCCAAATTCCACTGTCTGGAGCCCAGCCACCCCCCAATTAGGCTATTTGCTATTCTGCTGTCCTTAGTGTAGTCCAATTTTGAAGAATTCGTAGTATATAAGTCGCCATAAAATTAGGTGAAGAGCATTGTGGAGTTGACGGTCTGGACTCACCGCCAGGAACAGATGATGTGATTCGAGACAAACCAGGGGGTTCAACAAGCACCGATTGGACTCGACATGCATATTCATGTTCATACCACATTGCTTTTTTAAGTCCTTACTAACATCTGTGAAGAATTAGATATCATTTTCCGGTTCCTTATTTGGCTTGCAGAACGGTAAGAGAGAAAAAAAGCCCCTAAACTCCGCGGCCCGCACACAACACCCACTTTCCCAAACAACCTCGTCCCCCCATTTTTGAACCGCTCAGCCTCAATCAATCCTCCACCACACTGACCTCTGGTGGAAAGAACCGATACCGAATCCCATCGAACGGCCCGTGCGTCAATACCACTCCTTGATCCATTGGGACTCCGATGTAACCGATTCCCTCTGCTCTTCCCTATCGGCCCCCAAGGGAGCTGGACACCATCGTGCCATATTTAAGGGGTACCACGGCTTTTGGCGGTTACAGAGGGGGATAACATACACGGAACATTCTCCCCGACACCGCGACGAAAGAAACTAGGATCTCGATCCATCCCCCCGCGTGGTACAAGCAACGCAGCACGAGATCAACTGTGATCACAAATTAGTCTCTTGCCATTGGCCTCCATTCTCGCTCCTTTTTCCTTCCTCACAATACATTATTATACCAGGTGATCCTGGGATCTCTATCAATGCGGCCGCAGTAAGTTGTGGGATCTCGCCCTCGCCAATGCCGGTGGCTAATTGCAATGACGTGTCACAACAGGCGGGAATACCATATTGTTGTTCTGGGAGCTGGAGGTGTCGGGAAAAGTTGCTTGACTGGTACATATCTCCCTGATTGCCCACCGTCGTTTGCAGTGCCATTGCGCCCGTCACAAAGCAGTAGCTCATGAATTCGCAGCTCAATTCGTTCAAAATGTCTGGATTGAAAGCTATGACCCGACCATTGAGGACTCATACCGTAAGCAAATTGAGGTAGATGTAAGTGGATCTTATTCACCTTGATAAGAGATGCTCGTTATTGACGTATCAATGCTAGGGTCGACAATGCATTCTCGAAATGTAGGTACCTCGGTGCGGATACAATGAGTGAGAAGCCGAATGCTGACAAGAGGTTGTGTTATACAGTCTTGATACCGCAGGGACAGAACAATTCAGTGAGTGCAGCCAGCCTTGTGCATGTGATTGATTTTACTAACCGGGCGTATAGCTGCCATGAGGTACAATACAACTCGATACCTATCTCCGCGTTCCAGCGCATGCTAACCTGTGTTCCATTTTAGAGAACTCTATATGAAACAGGGTCAAGGTTTCTTACTGGTGTTCTCCATCACTAGCATGTCATCTTTGAATGAACTTTCCGAGCTCCGCGAACAGATCATCCGAATCAAAGACGACGAAAAGGTCCCGCTCGTCATTGTTGGCAACAAATCAGATCTCGAAGATGACCGAGCTGTGCCCCGAGCACGCGCTTTCGGCCTTTCCCAGAGTTGGGGAAATGCTCCATACTACGAAACCTCTGCCCGCCGCCGCGCAAACGTGAACGAGGTTTTCGTTGACCTCTGCCGCCAAATCATTCGCAAGGACCTGCAAGGTTCAGGCTCCAGCAGCGATTCATCTCGCAAGCGCGAAAACTCAAACCGCAACGACCGCAAACGAGATAATAGATCAACGCGCCGCAAGTCTCCATGTGTTATCCTGTAAATTGGATGAATCACATCTTATGACACTTTGGACTCTGTTGCACCGCTTATGCTCAGCAAGAGATCCATGGGCTTTTGCAAGTCACGCCTGTCTCCGCTTCCACGTATGCTTTTTGACGTGCCACATGATGTTTTCTACGCTTTTATGCATCTGCGCCCCCTGATAGACTGACGCTTCGCCGCCATTTCTTCCTTTCTCATCTATTATACCATCTATTCTTCGATTCTGAGATACACTTCTGAGTACCGAACTCTGTTTTTCTTTTCCTTCCGCAATTTTATACATTGAGAGGTTTGGTTGTTGGACCCCCTAAAAGTCGATTTTGGTGAATAGCCATATCTGTGATATCTAAAGGCAATTGTTTCAGTTCGCATATTTCTCTTCGACCTCGTTTATGCTTCGAGTATTTTGCCAATTTTATTGAAAGAAAAATATCATGTTTGATTGGATGACTTCGTCGTGTCTACATTATATTGACGATTCTTTCGACATCTGTTTACATCCGGAATACTCCAAATCTGGTCTGAACATCTGGCTCTGGGTTTCCACTGACGGCAGCTGCCAATCCCAGACCCAACATCCTCCTTGTCTGTGCTGGTGGAATGACGCCGTCGTCCCATAGACGGGCGGAAGCAAAGATAGCTTCAGACTCGTGATCAATCCGATTTTTGAGATCTGGATCCACAGTCTTCCCAACAGCTTCCATGACAGCAGAAAGTTGTTCAGAACCCATGACGCCGATCTTCGAATTCGGCCACATGAACATTAACCGAGGGGAGTAGGCACGGCCACTAGCAACATACGTGAGACAGTATACTTGGTGATCAGACTGGGAATATAACTTACCACATGCCGTAGTTTCCAGCACCAGCACTTGAACCAAAGACAACTGTAAACTTCGGAACATCTGCACATGCAACGGCGGTTACAAGCTTGGCACCGTTCTTCGCAATGCCGCCCTTCTCGGCATCTGCACCCACCATAAAACCGGATATGTTTTGCAAGAACACGAGGGGAATTCGTCGCTGAGCACACAGCTCAATGAAGTGAGCGCCCTTGAGAGACGATTCGGAGAACAAGATGCCATTATTGGCGACGATACCGACTCGGTGGCCATGAATCCGTGCGAAGCCCGTCACGAGCGTTGTACCATAGTCGCGCTTGAACTCAGAGAACTCGCTTCCATCGACAATTCGGGCAATAACTTCATGGGCGGGAATTTGCCGTCTAAGGTTGACGCCGACAATCCCGTTCAACTCATTGGGGTCATAGATTGGCTCCTTCACCACATCCCCAAGCTCGAGGGGCGCTTTGGTCTTAGGGTAGTTGAGGTTGGAAACCGAACGTCTAGCCAGAATGAGCGCATGGGCATCGTCAACAGCCAGATAATCTGTCACGCCCGAGATGGTAGAATGCAGTAGACCACCACCCAAATCCTCGGCCGAAACAACCTCGCCCGTAGCAGCCTTGACAAGTGGTGGACCAGCCAGAAAGATAGTACCTTGGTTTTCGACGATAATTGTCTCGTCACTCATAGCAGGGACATAAGCACCACCGGCCGTGCAAGGGCCCATAACAACCGAAAGCTGTGGAATGCCGAGAGAGCTCATTCGAGCCTGGTTATAGAAAATGCGACCGAAGTGGTCCCGGTCAGGGAACACATCCGCCTGATGCGGAAGGTTCGCACCACCAGAGTCAACTAGATAAATACAAGGCAATCTGTTCTCTTGGGCGATTGCCTGTGCGCGAAGGTGTTTTTTCACCGTGATAGGATAGTAGGTGCCGCCCTTGACGGTACTGTCATTCGCAACAATCATGCAGTTGACTCCCTCAACCGTACCTATACCAGTGATGATTCCGCCAGCGGGTACATCCTCACCCTCGTATACCCCGTGTCCTGCAAGTGGGGAGAGCTCCAGAAACGATGTTCCAGGGTCAATCAGTGCTGAGACACGGTCTCGGGGGAGCATTTTACCGCGTGCGACATGCTTGTCTCGTGATTTCTGAGGACCGCCTTTGGAGATATCTGTGTGCAGGCGATTCATCCGGGACAGGAGCTCTTGCATCTGTTGGCTGTTCTCTTTGAATTCAGCCGACGAGGTATCGACTGCTGTCGGGATAACAGAGAGTGCTGAGGCATGGTGAGGGTGTGTGTAGTTAGCGATTGAGCGTGATGTAGTTCGAGTCGCGGTGTTAGATCTGAAGTGTGTTGGGCGACAGGTGCGCAGACCGGCTCGTGAGCCCAGGCTCCGCAGGACGAGCGGGGATGGGGCACGCATTGCGGGGACGTGGTAAGACTAATCAGACGCCGTGTCCAAGGGAAAATCCAGATTTAGATAAAAGGTGTTTCTAAAGTTGAGAATGAGAAGAGCATATCATGTCATCCCGAGGCATGAAATATGTAGTTGAAGGGAAAGGGAGAAAGGCACAGCTCCAATTCCCCAGATTGTGCGGAGTTGCGATGATTGCCGCGTCTACCCGAGACTCAGCATCAACGCCAGTGATGGAACAACAATGGCAACTACTAACCACATACAATGTGGGAATAGACAGGGAGGTATGAGTATATGAAGAGTACGTAGTATAAAATCTCAATCAATAGTTGAATCCGCAGCCAAAGCTCAGCAACAATTGTCAAGTAAAAATGATTTAACCCCATATTTGTATACACCGTCACAAGGCGGTTTCTCCGCGCCGAGGACTGCCGCTCCTTGCTCTCTATTCCTCTTCTCAATCTTAAAAGGCTTTTCATTCTCACATATCCCTCAGAGGCATTACCGAGCTCATACTCATTGCTCTCAACCCTCACAATGGCTTCGCTCACCCTCCCATCCCTATTGCGCACATCTACCCGCTCGTTGCGGCGAACTGCCATCCCCGCACTTGCCCAGGGATTCGCCCGCAGCGTGTCGACTAAACACCCAGCGGGCTTTACACCTCCGACTGAAGATGAGCTGGTAGAGCTCCGGGAGCGAGTCCAAGACTTCACACGTGAGCCTTTTCGCTCCCATGCTCGTATTTCTTTTTGTTTGAAGTAAACTGACACCGACGCAGGGCGAGAGATTCCAGCCGAGGTTGCGGCGCGGACGGATGAACAGAATAATTTCCCCGCCGAGATGTGGAAGAAACTTGGTGATGCTGGGTAATTTTGCTCCTTGTTCCAGGATTAAGTATCGAGCATACTAATGAAGGGCATTAGGTTCTTGGGTATTACAGCTGATGAAGCGTATGGTGGATTGGGAATGGGCTACCAAGCGCATTGTGTAGTGATGGAAGAGATTAGTAGGGCATCTGGTGAGTGATATATCAATCTCATGAACAACTTGTTCTCTAAGACTGGTCTAACTTATGTTTCATGCAGGAAGTATTGGTCTCTCCTATGCCGCTCACTCTCAGCTGTGCGTCAACCAACTGTCGCTTAATGGAAATGAAAAACAAAAAGAACGATTCTTGCCTGGGTTACTCGCTGGTGAGAAAGTCGGTGCATTGGCTATGTCGGAACACTCTGCTGGCTCCGATGTTGTCAGCATGAAGACCAATGCGAAGGAGGTGGACGGTGGCTGGGTGTTGAATGGAACGAAAATGTGGATCACCAATGTAAGCCCGGGAATATCCCACCCAAGCTATGAGTGCCGCAACTGATAATTCCGCTTCCAGGGTCCTGAGGCCGACTTCGTGGTTGTGTACGCAAAGACACAGCCTGATAAGGGCTCCAAGGGAATCACCGCCTTTGTTGTTGAGAAGGGCTTCGAGGGCTTCTCCTGTGCCCAGAAGCTGGACAAGCTCGGCATGCGTGGCTCCAACACTGGTGAACTTGTCTTCGACAATGTCTTTGTTCCCCGTGAGAATGTATTGGGAGAGCTAAACCGCGGTGTCCGAGTTCTGATGGAAGGCCTCGATTTGGAGAGACTCGTCCTAAGCGCAGGACCCCTTGGGTATGACATTCTGAAATATCATGGCGTATTTTATACTGACTTTGCTTAGAATCATGCAAGCTGCTTTGGACCTCGTCCTTCCTTACACACACACCCGAAAGCAGTTTGGTACTCCGATTGCTCACAATCAGCTGATTCAGGGCAAGCTTGCTGATATGTACACCAAGCTTGCCGCTTCAAGGGCATACACCTACACCACGGCACGCCAAGTAGACAATGGTGCCGCTGCGTCTGATCCACTGGTCATTCGTACCCAGGACTGTGCGGGCGCGATCCTGTATGCTGCTGAACGCGCAACTGAATGCGCCTTAGATGCCATCCAGCTAATGGGCGGAAATGGATATATCAACGAGATCTCTGCTGGACGGTTACTTCGTGATGCAAAGTTGTACGAGATTGGAGCTGGCACAAGCGAGATCCGAAGAATGGTCATCGGCCGTGCGTTCAACAAAGAGTATGCTTAGAATAGTGGCGCATGAACAAGAATACATAGATATTTGTATTAAGCTCCATTGGACTCCTTCGAACTCTGTTGAGTTGAGATGCATTCCTTCGTTCGTATCATTCATTACATGTCGTGAGTCAGGATGTTTCACAGATACAAGAAACCAAGAAAATCCACATCCTATCAACACTATTTCTTCTGTCTGGCAGAACGGCGAACCGGACCAGACGAACTCGCCTCCTCTTCACTCTTGTCCAAAGCAACCCGTTTTGATCGACTCCTCGTCGAGTTATCATTCGGATTACTCTTCGTTTCCTTCACCGGAGTCGGAGCCTCAGCCTTACGCTTCCGGCCCCGTTTGACTGGAATCTCAACCGCAATTCGAGGATTCTCCTTCGGCGACTGACCAGGCTCAGGCGTCGTATTCGAACCCTCCCCGAGTTCCACGCTTCCATCCTGATCCAGCGACTCAACATCAGACATGGGATCCTCGTCACTGTACTCCTCATCTGCATCATTCAGAATTTCGTCATCCCCAGACGTATCCGACGCTTGAGGCTCAGGCGCGCGTCTTTTCCTCAACCGCGACTTATCCAGCGCAGGCTGCGCAGACTTGAAGACCTCTCTCCAGTCCTGCAGGAACGCGACCTTGTCCAGCTGCCCCGGTTCGTAGATCTGCACCGAAACATCCTTATCCCGCTCCAAGCTGTCCGTTTTCCACACGACGCCCTGGAAGGAGGCGATGTCGAGTTTCAAGGGATGGTGTGGTCGGGCGGCGGCATGGGTGCGACCCTTCTTCGTCTTGGTTACTGCAGGCTCGATTTTCGTAGGTGGCCTGCTCTGCGCTACGGTCGGATCGTCGTCGTGGTAGTCATCTGAGTAGTAGTCCCAGTCGCTGAAGTAGTCTTCGACTTCAATGCCTGGGTCTTCGTACAGAGCCGCTTCGTACCAGGAGGATGCGGCAAGTTCGTCCTACAGGGGAAGAAGAGGGTTGTCAGTCGCTGATCCTCTTCATGGGACGAAGATGCATTGGTGTGATGCATAGTGTATAAACAAGGGGCTGAAATTCACTCACGACAAGGTCAGGCACTGCGTCCTCGTAGATATATTCCTCTTCAAAGTCATAATAATCCTCGTCGTCGGACATGTTTGTCGATGAAGCCGGTGTGGCGATTAAATGATAAAGCGAAGGAGATGCAGGAGCGAAGATAGGTAGTGAAGACAGAGAGATTGGAAAAATTGCTTATATAGCACTGGCCATGCAACAGTCGAAACGAAGGTGCAGCTGAGAATGGAAGTTCGGGGCTGATCTTTTACAGGAAAGAGGAGCCTGGCTAATGTAAGCCTTGGCATTTTTTCTGCGCTGGTTCCACATTTCCACATTTCTCTATCTGGACCCCATCACTATGGCCCCTACGTTTCAGGGGGGCTAGACTGGAATGAGATTACGTCTGGTATCTGTTGCCAAAGAGGACATGATGTGCTATTTATATAGTCATTGCAAAGGGCTGAAAATGGGGGAATATTATGTTTGGCGTAGGATTGGATAAGGGATTATCTGACCACGGGATTTGATTGGCTCACAGAACTATACGAACTACCAGACTGGGTTTCATCGGTTGATTGCAAGTGTCATATGCCTCGCTAGTGTTTCTGAATGTATATGAAGCCAATGTGAAAACACCAAGATGCATACTTAAAAATGATTTTTTAGTTAACTAATGGAGTGGTCAATTTACGTAAGCATGTTGTCCATCTCCAACGCTTTCTTCGACTTTGATCATAACTTAGCCTTTGCTGAAACCTTCCCCCTTCGGTGCCTGTATACCGGAAGGACCCCCCTTTGAAGGAATTGAGTGAAGAGCAGCTCATAATGAAGCGAAATATGGGACTGAAGTAGCGTAATGTTTGTTTTAGTAATTAAAAATATGATGCTATCCATAGAAGAGAGGGGGGGAAGGATGGTAAAGGATATCAACTGCGTGAGTACTGGTCCCAAACCTACGTCCCTTCCTCTATATCCATAGAAAGAATTAATAGAATTGATACCGGTATTTGTTCCAAGGTTGTAGATATCAAAGGATATCAAACTTGCCGTAGAGAGAATTGGATGACCAGAATAGCAACATCTTCGATATATCGCGGGGGAAAAAAAGGACCAAAGACGCGATCAAAGACCGGGTCCAAGATCGAAGATGAATTGTAAGCACAGAGTCATGGAGAATGACGGACCTCGTTCGAGGAAATAGTAGAAGAATATCTTTCTCGTAACAGTGTTGGTGGTAGGCACAGCTTGACCCTACAAAGCTTGAGAGTGATGTGATTGTGTAATACTCGGTACATATGAGATGCTATAACACCCATACGTATATGCATCCCATCTGTAGCTACGGCGTCGACAGCAAATACACGTTTTGATCTACATGCTGTATGTGTGTGACATGATAAGCAAGGAGCAATCGATCCAAAAAAAAAGCAAATAAAGGTACATTTCAGCTGGGGCTTAGCGAAGATAATATTTCCGCCCGTGCTTTAGAAGAGATAAAAGCTTCATTACGGACAGAACCTTGAAGTCGTGGACTCGGACCATATACATAGGGATTTAAACAGATGATGTGGATTAATCCCTCCGCTCAATGAGCTCTTATGTTGGATTTCACCGCCCCTTTGCAAACGATTGAACCTTATAGGAAGACCTGGAGGCGATCCTAGGGTAGCTGCAGCAGGAGATACAGTATATAGTGCATGGCCACAAAATTTGGCAAAGATAATCACGAATTCTTCCCGTCGTAGTCAGAGACGTAGGCACCGAGGCTACGACTGGTATATCATAGTACATAGTTAGACTTCCGTACCTTGAATCTCTCATCTTTCATTAGTCTAATCATCGTAAGCAGCACCAGAGTGGAGCCACTGATCTTGTGGAACACAAATATGTGATTCATAAATTTCGTGGCCATTCGCTGTACAAAGCTTATTCGTGGCGGCTGTATACGACTCGTGGGGTACTCGGGTTACACGTAAAGAAAAAGCCTATATGGATGCATATTCCCAGCATGTGGGATGCTGGGACCCCAGCCCTTCTACTCATGATTTGGCGATCTGATCTCTTTACGTGTCAATCCCATAATCTATTCACAGAATAGTTTTTTGGTGGCTTCATCAATCTGGTTTTGTCCTGTGTGTAAGCTGTCGAGCGTAATGGGAGATAATGGGAGCGAGGCTTTGAAAAGATATAGTCTCTTTTGCTTGTAGGAACAAGGACTAATGATAGGCATCAGATTATGGAGTGGCTTAGCGCCAGTCGTAGCTGTCAATCAGTATGCCTTGATGCGCTGCCGAATGAGAATTAGACCCTAAAGTGAGCATCAAGCGTGAATTATGAGATACGGATTCTTAAGACGAGCCATATAATGTGGTATCTATCACTTCTCCACAGATACAAACGCAATTATTGCAAACAGCAAACCTAGTCAAGGCCAAGTTGGTGCAGTAAGCATAAACTAGCTCCAATCCGGAAGTTGCCGCGCAGATGCGCCATATAGCTAGCACAACAGCGTCTCTAGACGAGATTTGAAGCCTGAGAGCATAAAATTGCGTTAGCTCAGGTTGTACAGCTCCACACTAGGTCACACTGGATCTACGGTGTAGGAGATAGCTTTCAGGTGCACCTAGTATATTCGAGCTCAGGCACCTGGTATGTCAATTGCGGCAGGACTTTGTGGAGAATCTACCAACCACGCGAGAGCCGCTACGAGGTACAACATCACGCACCCAGTGATAATGCTGTGGGATAATCAAATGTAACACTAGCTCTCGTGTAGAAGGACAAGCCTCTCCGATGAGCACTTTTTCTCGTCAATTACTTCCTTTTTGGTTCATAGCACCGTTCAAGCTCAGCGGTCATTCAGAGACAGAAAAGCTATAAATAAGAGGTGCTAGCCCAGAGAAAAAAGGGCAACCAACCTTCAGAGCGATTAACAGATCACTCGCCATCTTCCTACCTCCAGCCCACCATCTTGCTTATAGAACTTTATCGATACACCTTAATTGAATATATTCGAGATGCCTTACGTCGCTAGGGGAGCAGAGCTTCCCGAGGCGGCCGTCCGAGGCGGCCTCGTTGACCCTCGGGCTGATCACCAACATTCGTTCAACAAGCGGATCTCCTGCCGTGATGTGACCGACTTCATTTCCAACACTGCCGAGGTCTCACCCTTGGAATTGCGTGACAAAAAGGCTGCTGCCAAGCACACCAGTGACTCCCGGGCCCGGCTTTACAAGATCCTTGCCCGTACCAACGAGCTTAGCCGCCCTTTGGCAGTTAAGTGCTCGGATCAGCCCATTTCCGACCTCCTCCCAGGTCTGGTCGTCAGCGGTGGCCTGAGTCGCTCACCTGCTTTTGATTGCCTGCCTGTCGTGTCCCACTGGGGTGATCGTACCGATGACTTTTCGGCAGAGGACCCTAGTGCCACCGTTCGTCTTACTTCGACCTGGTCCACCGTCCATGTTCGCGGAGAAGGTGCCACAAGAGACTCCCCCCATGGAGCTCCATGCTGGTCCCTGAAGACTCACGGTCTTGGACCAGTCGAGGCTGGATCGGGTAAATTCTCCCAGCAGTACGATTCCGAATCCGACACTTTGACTACGACGGTCAACCTGCCACGTCGTTCTGACACTGTTCACACCAAGGGCGTCCTCGGCGCTGCTACAAGCATTGCCTGGATGCGTAATGCACGTGTTGCAGACGCAGTCGACTGTGCTGTTGGTCTGTTGGCGGATGCCTCCGTGCTATTAGAGGCTCGTGATAAGGTGATCACGGGTGGAAAGTCGGAGATCCTCGAATTTGCAGAGGTGCGCGAAGCTGTGCTCCCTACTTGGTGCAATGCCCGCAAGCCCCTACCCCCAAAGCTGAGCGGCGTGGCCGACTCGCCAGACGAGTATACCGACGCTCTGTTCGCAGCAGAGATGTGTGAAGGCCCTCTGATCAACACTAGTATCTTCTCTATGTCAATTGGCTACAACCGTGGTGTTTACGGTGGCTCGATCTCTGGTCTGTGGGCTGTTATGGACTCAGCCTTTGTCCTAGATTACTCCATCGGAACTGATAGCTCTGCCATGGCGGACCGACTGTCTTTCGCTTTCGCTGAAGTTACTGCTTCTGCTGAAGCATCAGCCTTCGCCGGCCCTCACATCGACGACATCCGTATCGTCAAGGGCTGCAACTACGGATGCTTGCGCCAGAAGACCATCCTCGAGGATAATGATCCTGTCGAATCCAGCCCGTGCATGGTTGTCTGGAATGACCTCGATCGTCTTGCTCGTTACAAGCTTGCCGACGCTGTCTTCTGCCATGTCTACTATGACTCTGGTGGTGGTGAGCAAATGGCCGCTATTGCCGGTCTTGGGTGCGTTGCGCACGATTGGATCGATCTCGGAGCTGATGTGTTGTGCGGCGAGGTCTCCAATATCATCCCATCTCTGACTCGGGGATCTTTGGAAGAGGAGCCTTTAGCCGAGGTCTACTCGCGCTTGATTGGTGCTATGATCTGGTACCGCAACAATGACCCCTACAACCCGGCTGCTCTGTGCCTTCTGTTCACCCACTGGTGGCAGCTTTCCAATTGCCGACACAGACCCGTCAGCCTCCTCGGCCGAACTGACATCGGTGTTGAGGCAGCTATCGCCCCCACAATGCCAGATGGACGGCCTGAGCTTGAGCACTTCCGTGCCAACGGCACCCGAGTCGAGCGCGGTCAGGGTCCCCTCTCCAGCGCCGAGGCACGTCTTGCAGCTCTCGTCTCTGGTGATATTCTCCCAGAAACTCGTGCCGTTATTGAACACCTGATTAACCCCGTTATGGCTTACGTGAAGGGTGGTGATTCTCTCCCCGCTGAGAGCGAATTCGTGGGAACTGTCCTCGCTGCTGAGGTGGCTTACCCCCACGGACAGAAGATCATGGAGCTGTGGGATCTTGCCATCGTTATGTGGGAGTGTGGAGCTATGTGGGCAGCTGGTGTTGCTGGTCTTTGCTACACTCACACTGGAAAGGCCAACTGTGATCGGGCTCGTCACGATTTGGCCGATCACACCTGGACTTAAACGTTGCAAATGAGTCTTATGGAAGCAATCACCCAACAATGGTGGAGTAAGAGAATTTAGCTTCAGCATTGGCATTGATTGGGCTGGTCTTCCAACAGCTACGCTTAAGCCAATATAGGCGGGGAACCTTTTAGAGTAGTTCCCGGTGCTTGCTAGATATTGTGAGGGCCAACACTACTTATTAGCACTGTCGTTATTCAATTCAAACTCACGATTATGATTACGATTAATTACGAATTGAATGTGTGCTTCCAGCATTCTAAAGTTGATGCATTTCATGTCCTCGTTAAGGTATCCTGTCCCTATATAAGTCTGGTGCAATTCTTCGTTGTGGTGCTTTTTCCACATCTGTTTAGGCTGGGATTTTGAATTTTCTTACTAATTAAAACTAGGGAGTTGAAATCATCCACATGTCCCCTAGATCCATGACTAAGTGGAACAACCACCGGGGGTTTGACGTACGTAGGATGGCAGTGGTGTTTCACTCTCATCAACCACACGATTCTCGCTTGTTGACCAGGGTGGAACATCACCCCTCTCACTCATGGATCTCATCATACGTCTCCCTCTGCGGAACTCACCTGGCCTAACATAACCGACAAAAGACCATTTAGGCGGGGTCAGTCTCATAACTGTTTCCCATTCATGCTCCACTACCGCATGGTCCAGGTTTTCTAGTTCGGGCGCCGTTAATTCCGCAACCCTTATTCTCGCACCCTTGTCAGCAAGAAGGGTAGCCGAACAAAAGTCCTGGTCCCGCAGTGCCCCATGCAGAGCCGAACCCCCTCCGGCTCGCCTCGGGTCAGCTCCGTACTCGAAAAGTAGTTGAAACAGTTCCATGCGTCGGTCCCTCTGCTCTTGGGATGAAATTTGGGATCTGTTAAGGATATCATAGTTGTCCACCACACAAGCCAAGGGGCCCCATTTATCATCCTGGTCAATATTCGGGTCGGCTCCTGCTTCTAGAAGAAGCCTGACCGATCCTGGATGATTTAAACAGCATAATGGTCGCCACATTGCCTCTCCATTAGTGCCCAGCCTTGCACGACTGGCATCTATACCATTCACGTTTATGCCCGCCGCGAGCAACAGCCTCATAATGTGTTCTCTATTCTTTCCGCAAACCAGCGCCGAATAAGCATCATCCCACTCTGCAATAGGAGGCAAAGTGCTACGCTGCGTGAAATCCGAGAGTATTAGTTCAAAAATCTCGGGGTTTTTTGCTTGAGCGGCCGTGCTCAGAAGCTTATTGACACTAGCTCCATCGCACCACGGATCAACACCCCTTGAGAGGAGCATTCGGACAACGCGTGTTTTGTTTTTGGATACGGCTTCCGCAACAAGCCGGGCGTAATCTGACTCCCTCAGCTGGGAACCATTACCCTCAATTGCTGACATGACCTCTTCTAGCAGCAACTCGAATCGGGTGGGGCGGAAGTGGCCCAGTTCTGCACCAAAGGCTTTTGTTGAAGAAATCCAAATCCGCACCCGCGTCGAGAAGCCTGTGTAAGAGACCTGGGTCATCATGCTTGACTGCCCAACTCAAGGCCGGAATATCGATCCCGGCCCTAAGATGATGGGGTGGACGTATAATGTGATACCAGTAAAGAAAAGGGTTGAATTGGACGAAGAAAGCGCGGCTGGTGCGTGCTAGCGCGTTGATGGAACTTTCGGAGTCAATAAATTCGACTATTATTTGTAGTAATTCGTTTGGCAGCTGACAAAGCGCCATGGTTGAAGTTGAACAGACAAGGTGGGACTTTCCTTGTGGCGGGAAAGCATGCATCACCCTTGAGGCGCTATATTTAGCGATCACCAAGCACTACGGCACTGGTGGACTAGTCCTTCAAGTGTCAACGCCGGTTCTCTGCACGGTTCCAAGGTTCAAGGCGGTAGAGAGATCTGGGCGGACATCAAGGCGACCAATCATATTTGTATTTTTATTCATACTCTGTTACTAACTGTCCTTAGGCCTAAAAGTTATTTCATATCTCTAAATCAATATTATAAAAACAATGCTCGTTCTCAAGCATGTCTTCACCACCAGGGCTGGGTTTTGAGTACCCTTCTCTAAGAGAATATTGCCGCTATTTACGGCGCAGCCTTGCGAACTATTTCCGAAGGAACACTAATCTCGATAAAATCTAGACTGTAAGCAGGGCCAGTTATATCAAACCACAGACACTCCGGAGTCTGCAGTCGCGGTTAACATTCCTGAGCTTGATTTGAGTGCAATACGGCGCCCTCTTGCAAGCTAGTTTCGACGTTGTTGAAACTAAGATTACTCAGTGAACCTGACTCCGTAAAAGCGGCGGCAGCTTGGAAAGGCCTCATTTTGGAGAAATTGCACTATGCAGACTTCGCTAGGTAGGTAAGAATACTTGGAATTGATACAGAGAAACGCTGAATTTAACACACTTTGCATAGTATATCTAGGCTATAAAATCTATTTTCAAAGAAGGGACCAAAAGTACAAGATGGGCTTGCCACCTAAATTGGAACCTGCATATTCTGACCTGTCAAGTTCAGATAGTTCTCCGTGTTGCCAGCGGCATTGCCCTGAGTGGGAATACCAGCAGCCTTGCATACATCATACTGCTGCTGGGGAATAGAAACCCGCTCCTGAATTTGCAGAGGAGCTTCGACGAAAGCCATTGCCAGTCCCTGCATCAAGTGCCAATCAATGTGGCAATGGAAGAACCACACACCCGGGTTATCGGCGACAAACCGAACAACGAAATAACCCTGTGGTGGAACCACGAAGGTATCTCTGCGTGCAGGGACCTTGGGGAAGGCAGTATGATTCAATGGGTCGTAGGTAACACGGTAGTCGGTGTCTGCGTATTCAAAGAAGTTTTTGCCGTAGGTCGGATAGCGGTCAATGAGCTGGAAGTTGTGGCCATGCAAGTGGAAGGGATGAGCGCCGGTGTCGTTGTTATTGAGAATAACCTCCACTACCTGGTTGTGACCAAGGACATAGGGATGTGTGTCTGTTCCGTAAACCTCGGGATTGGTTGCAAGATCACCCGATGACAAGACCGAGTATAGGATGGGAACCTTGGGCTTCGTGTAGGAGATGTTGTTGAAGTAGGCATAGCCTTCACCATTGCTGGCTTCCTGCATAACTACATTGACAGTAATACTGATATCGGGCTCAGGGAGAAGCTCCACCTTGTCATATGCGTAGAGCTTCATATCATCAAATGGATAGAGGTCGGCTGAAGAGCTGACATTAAGCACAGCTTGAGGGTGAGGAGCTTTCGCGTTATACTGCAGCCAGTTGGTCTGGTTCAACTTTAGAGTGTCGGGGATAGAGTCAAGCAACTGTGCGTCGGCGACTGTGACGATAGGAAAGTTCTTGTCCGTGGTGCTCTTAGTGGTAACCAAAATGGAGTACCGCTGGGCGACGGCAATGTATAGCAGATTCGCCTCCGTAGGCTCGGTATACACACCATCAATTTCCACAATGCGGAAAGAGTGGCCTTCAATATAGAAATATTGGCTCATAAAGGCACCGGTATTGATAAGACGAATCATGTATGTCTTTCTAGGCTCAACAGGTATGCTTGTGCTAAGCGTGTCGTTGAATAGAAATGAGTTGGGAACAGGCTCGTCACCATCGGGATTCGTAGGCGATAGGAATGAATGGGAAAGTTCTTCTGTCATATTATGGTACCAGTCGCTCATAGTCACCACCATTTCATCATCAATATCATTTGCGAAGTATGCATCCTTGTCATGGACAATAAGCGCCTGGCGCTCTCCATCGGGATAGCACCAGTCGGTGTGGCAATGATACCAGTACGTGCCGACCTGGTTCACTGTGAAGTTGTATGAAAAGGAAGAACCAGGCAGAACAGGGCATTGAGTGACCATATAAGGCCCATCCATGTTGTTTGTCCCATTCTGGTACATGCCATGGAAGTGGATAGATGAGTTCTTATCCCCGAGGCCATTGTGCATGTTGACCACAAGCTGGTCACCCTTCTCAACTTCAATAACAGGCAACGGCCATTGCCCATTGACACCAAGCACTTTGCGCTCATGAAGACCGTCCGGATTGGCCGTCACCCAAGTAAGATTAAAATCATACGTGACAGTTTTGGCCTGGCTGAGCTGAAAGCAGAGCGCCACAGCAGCGATATCCAGAAGTCTCATGGTAAAAGCCATTACAAGGATTAACATACGAAATCCAGGGTGAAAAAGAACAACTTCGCCCAAATTTTAGAGAAGCAAGGAGCCAGGGGCTTTTTAAAGATCTCCCCGAGATAAATTTCGACGAAGCTCCACAATGTGGCCGACGTATTCCTGCCGTGGGTTATCTGATCGAGGAACTGCTTATGACTTGCCGATGGGAAATTATGGTCCCACAACTAATGGTATTCGATCAACCGTGTTTTTCAAGCAAATGGCAAGAAGGCAGAGAGATCGGCACTGAATTCCACCATTATAGGTATTCGGCATGCCGATCGGCGGAGCCGTGTGCCGTCGCAAAGACTTGAAACAAGTTCGAAGCTTTCCAGTACCGATACCATGTGGAGTACACACAATGCTTGACAACGCCACCAAGTTCTCGCTTCAATACTAGAAACCCTTGGAAAAGAATAGTTGTTGGCCCTAGAGCCCTTGTGATTTCACTATGTATGTCTATCCGAGGTCCTGCATTGTGCTGAAGTACGCAACCTTAAATCACCATGATGCTGCTTCTATATAATTCCCCTTGATCTTGATATTTTTGAATGAAATTTTAGATGAATAAAGCTTAGTTGAATTTCAAAAGTCAAGACATCTGACCACTTTCCTCTTCGGTATGTTCAACAGAGGAATTGAATTGCGGAGCGCGAATCGCGCACAGAGCGGATATTAGTGTCGTCGGGTAACTCGGTACTTCACCGGCTTTTGTGATACGATAATCCCAATGGATCAAGGATTTACATGGAATTGGCTTTGATTTCCAGAATTTAGATGGTTAACATAATAGGCTAATCTGAAAGTCTTGTCGGGAGTTTTCACCGCATGAAATAGATCAAGGTGGGGCCATGTCGTCACGGCTTGTACCTGCATTTACAATATGTGATGGAATTACCTTGTATGATTCACTAATCAAGGGAAGTGAAAGGAAGGAGGGGTCAAATGCGAGGAAATCCTAAGTGCATACTTCACTTAAATTCATTGATACCTAATTATGCCGACCGAACTCGGCCGCTATTCTTTGAAATAGCTGGGCCAGTAGGATATCCGTGAGCGAGGAGTTCCTCCAGGGACATAGGCTTAGGATTATGTCCTAGTACATCAGTGAGCTGAGGGCTACCTTCCAGATCGCTGCCGATTGAGAGGGGACAGAGGAAGTCAAAACAGCAGTGTGGGGGTGTCTTTTGGCCCATTCAACCGCAATCTGGCCCATCCGATCTCTGGTTTGAGGAGACTTCCCATATTGAGTCAGTTGCTTAATAAAGTCTTATAACCATCTTTCTGGTGCATACTAAAGGAGGATGCCTATGATCGCATATGGAAGTAATATTGATGGCTGCAATCTTGATGCATGGCATATTCGATCGCTAAGATACTGAAGAATTGCTAGACTGTCAGCCAGCCAGTGTAACACCGCACAATTCATTACTTGACCATGATCAGGGGACGTTTATTCATGGAATGAGTATATTCGTAGCAGCTTGATCCGACGGTTTATAGACCTTTATTATGTAAGCCTCGGCTTTCCCCGCATCTCGCTTTGCGTCGGCTCAAACGGACCTGTGCATCCCAAGACAAAAAGACCGGCCTTCTTCCCCGGCTCTTTCACTTTCTCTCTGAGTTCGATCACGATTATGTGCTGAGTCTCAGGAAACTAGCGGGTGACTTTCTTTAGCAGCGACACCAGCCGTTGCACCAAACAACCAACATGACCATCTCATCCCTTCTCCGCATTACTCCCCGCCTCGCCCCGACCGCGGCCCGCAGGACCGTCAGAGCTGTGTCTTCGGTATCTGGCACAAATGCCTCTCAGCAGAAGTCTTTGGACTCGATTTTAATTGCCAACAGAGGAGAAATTGCACTGTATGTATAGTCCACAATCTATTTACCCCCATTGGCACAGTCCAATCTACGAAGCTCTGAGACTTACTTCATACCAGACGCGTTGGGCGGACTGCTGCGGAACATGGAATTCGCGTGACCACTCTCTACACAGATCCGGATAGTCGATCACAGCACGCTTTAAGCTCGCCATTTGCATTCAATTTAGGTTCCGTTTCCGCTTATTTGGATGGGGACCGAATTATTGAGATTGCGAAAAAGGAAGGGTGTCGGGGGATACATCCTGGATATGGATTCGTGAGTAGTCCTCGTATCTAAATTGGGTCTGCAGCGACTCAGTGAACACTGACAATTCCTAGCTGAGTGAGAACTCTGCTTTTGCCAAAAAATGCACTGAAGCTGGACTTGTGTTTATCGGCCCCCCATGGAAAGCAATCGAGGAGATGGGCGACAAAAGGTATGTGGGCGCTTGCATGGATTGCTACACATCACTAACAGATGATGATTTGAAGTCGCTCTAAGGAGATCATGCTTGCTGCAGGTGTGCCCTGCGTCCCCGGGTACCACGGACACAACCAGGACCCCCAGTTCCTCGAAGCCGAAGCTGATAAGATCAAATACCCGGTCCTCATCAAAGCTATCAAAGGAGGCGGTGGAAAGGGAATGCGTATCGCCAGTTCCAAGGCAGAGTTTCAGGCGCAGCTTGAGTCAGCGAAATCAGAATCCATGAACTCTTTTGGAGATGACAACGTGTTGGTGGAGAAATACATTACCACTCCTCGGCATATTGAGGTCCAGGTATTTGCAGACAAGCATGGTAATAGCGTTGCATTGGGCGAAAGAGATTGCAGTATTCAGCGCAGACACCAAAAGATCTTGGAGGAGTCTCCTGCGCCGCATCTACCAGATGCAACTCGCAAAGATATCTGGGCTAAGGCTCGATCTGCCGCCCTAGCAGTCGGGTATGAAGGTGCAGGTACTGTGGAGTTCATCTTCGACAATGATACCGGCGAATTCTACTTTATGGAGATGAATACCCGACTCCAGGTCGAGCATCCTGTGACGGAGATGGTCACAGGACAGGACCTCGTACACTGGCAAATCATGGTAGCGGAGGGTGCTCCCCTTCCGCTCACACAGGAGCAAGTAGAAGAGCGGATTGCTCGCAGTGGCCACGGTATTGAAGCCCGTATCTACGCTGAGAACCCAGACCAGGGATTTGTCCCCGATTCTGGGCGCTTGGTTCATGTGCGAACACCTACTACGACAGATGATGTTCGCATTGATGCTGGTTTCGTTGAAGGAGACGACGTCTCTGCACACTACGACCCCATGATCTCCAAGCTGATCGTTCGCGGCGAAACGCGCGAGGAGGCCATTCGCAAACTGAGCGCTGCACTAGATCAGTACGAGGTTGCCGGACCCATCACCAATATCGAGTTCCTCAAGACTATCTGTCGCAGTCCAGATTTCATCGCTGGGAATGTTGAGACTGGCTATATTGAGAAGCACCGAGAGGAGCTATTCGCTCCAAAGCAGATTAAGGATGAGGTTCTTGCTCAAGTTGCGCTTGCATGCCTACACCGTGACGCCCATTCGACCATCAGGCCCTCTGACGGACTCGCCGGGTCGGCAGTCGGGTTTGCCCCAAGTTTCATGCAGCGACAACTATCATTCATCGAATCAACGGGAACTACTAGTGAAGGCACAACCCTCCATGTCCGCGTTCAGCAGACAGCCGATCACACATTTAACATCGAATCCGGAGATACAGTCTTCGAGCAAGTCGAGAGCCGCATGGATCCTGAAACACACGTTGTGACATCTTTCTTCCCACATACTCGACTTGACACCACGGTGGTACAGGACGAGGACACCATCATCGCGTTCCAGCGAGGTGTGCAATATCGCCTAGTCGTACCGAGAGCTAAGTGGATGGAGAAGGCGCTGGGCATGAAGGATGTCGCCAACAGCGTATTAGCCCCGATGCCGTGCAAGGTTCTTCGAGTGGAGGTTCAGGCTGGCGACGTGGTGGAGAAAGATCAGCCTTTGGTGGTCATTGAGAGTATGAAAATGGAAACAGTAATCCGCAGTCCACACCGAGGAACTATTTCACGCGTCGTCCACAAACAAGGAGTAAGTAATGTACCCTGTTCAAGGCCATGGGGGTCAATTACTGGATTCCAGCAGACCTATCGCTTGTCTTCAAATGATCAAGCAGCGCTAATTGTGCTTACAGGATCAATGCAAGAGCGGCACGCCCCTGGTCGAATTTGCCGAAGAGCAGGAATGAATGGGCGAGACGCGCAAGAGCGATTCTTCTTTGGGGGTTAATAGCACGTTACTTTATAGATACATTATTAGGTTATGACAGTGAGGCTGGGGGATGGAGTTTTCACAATTCATTTGTCTTTGCATAAATAGCCGTGGCCTCAATCCAAGCTTAAGCCTAGCAGAGATTCTTGACCTGAAGCCACCTGGACAAGGGCTCATTTGAAGTATTGTCTAGTGTGCTTATTTTAAGTAACCCTTAGTATACAGTATGTTTTACTATAGTATGTTCCAGCATGATCTACAGGCATGTCCTTGAACATATACCTGAGGAATCAGACATCATTTACCTGATTCTCATTTGCAACGATGTGCCCAATGAAGTTGGTGTGGCGTCGAACTAATAATCTCCAACCTTTCAATCGCGGCAAGCGAAACAAGTAGCCAGCGCTCAGATATTGATACTTGTAGCGTGGCGAAGCGTGCGGAGTACATGACGCTAAATGCGGTCAGCGTCATTCTTTCTCCGCGTAAAATAATATGTCCAGCATTAGAAGGACACAGCTTGGGCTGAAATGCCGATTCAGCATAACCTCAAACCTTCAAATACTCTGTACTTAGTAGCCTAGTATTCTATACAAGTTATAGTTTCCCGTAAACAAAGACAAAGACCAGACTCCATTGCTGGCCCCGCAGTGTAATTGCGGGAGCTTGGACGCAGCTGACATCATTACTCGCTCTATTTATTTTGCTTTATCATTTTATCTCGTGTTCATCCAATAAATAAATGGCCATCAATTTTTAACCTTTGGATACATCCATTTTCACCGTAATTCCTACGTGTCGTGCATTTCGTAGTTGCTTGACTCCAAGGTCCCTTTCCTCTTGGCCACACAACTTGCAGGGATCATATCAGCTGGTCTTTCCTCTTGTAGCACCCCCTCTCCAAGTTGTTTTTCTCATCTGAAGTACAATGGTCTAGCTTCCAATTTTCTTCTCCCAGGCATATTGCACGGATATATACTTTGTCGACGCCTCAACTTCAATTTTCATTCCTGGAAATTGTCCACCATGTTCAATCATATAGTTTTCCGCACCGTCAGGGACGTCAACACCTCTACCCCGCGAATTTTTGCAGCTGCGTCGAGGCCTGCAACGCGATGTCTTGTCCGACCACTATCCTTGACCGCAATGCGGCCCCAAAACAAAACTTACGATGATGATGATCCTAACACCGCGGCCACCACCGAGGCTCCCCAAGGCGCATCGGGAGAGCAAGAGGGCCAGTTTGCCCGCACAGATGAAAGGGTGCAGATTGAATACCCGCCGGATAGCGAGATGCCCGAACAGCCAATTGTGCAAGGTCGTGGAGGAATGCACTTCAAGCGTACCCTAGCCTCATTTTCGCTCGAGAATAAAGTTAGCATGGTGACGGGTGGGGCTCGCGGATTGGGACTAGTTATGGGGCAGGGCCTGGTTGCTTCAGGCTCAGACTTGGCCATAGTTGACTTGAACAGTAGGCTTTGATTCCTGGGCGTCTCGATTATATACACTAACTCCCAGGTAGAGGCAGAAGCTGAAGAGCAAGCAAGCAAGCTGATTGAGCAGTTCCGAAAGGAAAATCCCGGGATTGAACGGTATGTGCATACTTTTCTCGTTTGTAATCGATCCCATGCAGCTAAGGAGGGCAAATTCTATCCATGAGGGTGCAAGGCTAAATTTGGTCATTTAACAGAATGCCCAACATTACCGCACACTACGCCGACGTTGCAAATCCCGATTCCGTGAACGAAGCGCTAGCCGAGGTTTTAGCTAAACACCACCAGATTGACAACCTCGTCACCTCTGCAGGGTTTACCGAGAACTTCGATGCCATTAGCTACCCATTCGACCGCATGAAGAAACTCTGGGGTGTTAATGTGGATGGTACATATTTGTTTGCTATAGGAGTGGCCAAACATCTGATGGAGCGCAAGTCACCCGGTAGCATTGTCATGATTGGCTCCATGTCTGGCGCCATCGTGAATGTGCCCCAGCCTCAAGCCCCATATAATGCTGCCAAAGCAGCTGTGCGCCACTTGGCGGCTTCACTGGCTGTTGAATGGGCTGTCCATGGCATTCGGGTGAACTGCATTAGCCCTGGCTATATGCTGACCGCTCTGTAAGTTGTCTGCTTCGCAGTCTACAATGCTGTGTGTGGGAGTCCAGACATCTGATCTTTTTCTGCAGCACTCGTAAGATCCTTGATGAGAACCCCCAACTTCGCGATCAGTGGACCTCCCTCATTCCCGTCGGCAAGATGGGAGTGCCAGAAGACCTAATGGGTGCCGTGACCTTTTTGCTCAGTGATGCATCGAAGTATGTCACCGGCGCCGAGCTTCGTGTAGACGGTGGCTACACGGTGACCTGATTCTTTGTGATTTTCATTTCCATGGATCTATCTCCTATGATTCGATAACTCTTATGCAAGTACCGATACTCATTTTTCACTAATGAACATACAACGACTCCATTTTGGCTCTGTTCCACTCATTTACTACTTTCATTTTCTGTGGACATGATATCAAAAGTGTGTTTACAATGAATTACTGATTGATACAAACCTGATTCAACTCAAAACATCCCATATGTTGATTTTCCTTTCTCTTTCTTTCGGCCTATCCCACCAATGCCGACCAAAAGGTGGGCATGCGTAAGATCTCCACCATCGTCCCGCAGGCCAAGGCCAAATATCTCCGACAATATTGTATTGGCAATTGATTCTTGTCTAGACATTTATTAAGCCGCTCACTAATTACCGATTATTATGGAGTTGGAGCCTTCAAATGTTAATTACATATTTAAGCAATTACGCACCCCGTAGAAGAGCCCGAAAATGACCACTTCCTATTGCATGAAGCTGGTGTAGATCATCTCGTCCCTTGCAGCCTCCAGAGCTATGGGCCAAACGTACAGCACCAGCCACAGATGTCGGGTAATTGTGATGAATTTAGTACAGCCAGTACTCTCTTGGCATGAGACTCGACTAAAAAAAGGCCTCGAAAAGACGGATATTATGCCAAGCATCCAAGACATTAGCTTCCATTCACCTCCACATGCGTATGTTGATAGTTAAATTCAATTGGCATATCATGGTAACCGAACCGGGCGAGCATTGAGCAGGTATCACGCCACTCGAATAGAAAGGGTCAACATCGGTCCTCATTGCCCGTTTTCACCATGTTGATGATGATCCTCCGACCCGATGCCGATCCTTCTTTATCTCCGACAATCAGGAACAATCCTTTTGATGAACCACCCCACGGCTAAATTATTACGACAGAGACCAATCCCGCATGAAGCAATTAATAAGAAGCTTTCCCCCTCATTCCCGTTGTGTTCCTGATTGACGTGACGAATTCTTTAACCATGCGCTCTCCGTTCCTATTGGCCCTGGCGGCTACATCCGCCCTTGCAGTACACTCGAACACATTGTTCAATTTTACCAGTGGCATCGATATCGAGAACAGTGAGCTACGGCCCAATGGCCACCTACTTCTCACCACCTTTGAGAAAGGCCGTCTCTACAACCTGAATCCATACGCAAATAACCCCAAAGCGGAGCTCATCGCCTCGCTCCCGGGTGCTACTGCCCTTTGCGGGATCACAACAATCGCCTACGACAAGTATGCCGTTATAGGTGGTGTCCGCGGTAGCTATCACTATGACAACGAGACCATCTACGCAGTCGACCTCAGTCAAGGTGCCTCCCAGCCTATCATTCAGAAAGTCGCTCATCTCCCTGATGCAATCATGCTCAACGGCATGGCCGCACTACCCAAGCAGCCTCATGTCGTTCTTGTCGGCGACGCAGTCCTGGGAGTCTTGTTCCGCGTGGATACAACAACTGGAGCGTACAAGGTCGCATTTAACAATACTGCACTAGTCTCCCCATCGACATCATCACTGCCCATTGGGGTTAATGGACTAAAGATCGTCGAGAACGATGTTTATTTCACGAATAGCGCAGGCGGTACTTTTGCTAAGGTTCCTGTGAGCGATGATGGACAGACATTCGGTGCTGTGAAGGTCATTGCTACTATGGATACCAGCATTGGAGACTGGGATGACTTTATCGTGGATTCTAATGGCGTTGGCTATCTTGCTCAGCCTACCCTCGGTGTTGCACAGGTGTTCCCAAATGGTACTCACAGCATCTATGCTAGTGGTATCTCATCGGCTACTTCGGTCCAGATCTCGAAAGATGGATATGCGTATGTGACGCAGAGTACTGGGTTGGTTGATAGATTCAAGCTTCCATTGAACACCACCGTGGCAGAAGGCGAGGTCTGAGTGTGTTATATGAAGCATTGAACCTTGTGATTGATAATTCATCATATGTTAGATTGGTGTGAGTCGAATGTGATCTATTGCTATGAGATGAGATTTATTGAACAGGACTTTAGATGATATGAGAAAACACAGGAAGAATCTTCGAAATCTGATATATCATTTCTACATTTGCAACGGCTGAGCCCTATTCTAGTACAGATGTGTGGAATTTGCCCGATTTGACTTGCTTTAGACACTCGGTCCGCGACTACAAAGTTCACTACTGGAAGTTAGTGCCTGGAATATCTGGCAACAGACTCTCCAAGTGGGTCCTGGCGGAGGCCAAATCGGGGATATCAAGGGGCAAATCTCTCCTTTCCCGCAAACAAACAGCTTACGTTGACATTCCGCTCATGCACTACCTCGTCGAATGACTCGTCCATCTACCTGCGGTTAGATGCATTAGTCGTTTTCGCAAAGGGGAGTGAAACATGTTAGTCTCACATTTCGAACTCGCCCTGAACGCTTTTGCAATCTCTCCTCCAATCGACATTTTTCTAGATCGCTCTAGAATTTGTGACCACTTCTCTCAACCGTAAATCTCTACTTCAGTAAGCTGGGATCCGGTAAGACTGTGGGGCTACCCCAAGGTTGCAAAGGGGAGTGGAATGTGGGCTTGAAGGTGTGGAGGTGTGGAGGTCAGTGGAGATATCCAGGCATGCAGGCAATCAGGCGTTCTCAGTGTGAATGATTTGTCACAACTGCCAGCCTCTTTAAGGGTTCGTCGCTCAGGATCTAAGTGCTTAAGACCGGCCCAATCCCGGCCCGTCCCGACTGCCCCGAGCATCTATCGTCTCGTATTCAGCATGAGCTTGAAGTAAACATCATGAGAAATTTCCATGGATTATAGGTGGAGTGTGAACATCACCGTCAGCTTGGCCCATGGTTTGATCGCCGATCCCACCTTGGAGGTACGTTGATCTGGAGAATTTCTCCGGATTTGAATGTCTGAGCTTCACCCTTCCAATCCCTGTCCATATCTGGGGTTGAGATCCAGATCCTTGCAAACTTCCTAGCGCTGGGAATTTTCCACCGCTATCTTAGGTCTTTGTACCTATGACGCAGAGCTAACGCGTCTCAGCTCTGTCCTCCTTGCACTGCAGCTCATGCAACTCATGGTCTTTGACAGTATCTACCCCGCGTATAGCCTATCTTTGTCTGATTCTAAATGATTGTTACCCCACGACCAATATCGCCTATTCCTCACAAGTCATACCCTGGAACCTTTCTTGATCCACTGCTCTGATCCCATCGACGCCCGTTCAATCATCTATTTTTCAGACCCGCCTTACACCCTCCAGCCCATCTCGGATCATGCGTTAGCCCTCATCGGCAGCTTCGAACTTCATTCCGCCATTCTGGCAAGTGGACAACGCGTCCAAAACTTGACTTTTATCGGACTCACACCCTCTGCACTCCGCTATGTCACACAAGATTCCAGATAGCCTGGTGACGATTTCCCAGGTGCCTTGCCCTAGTGAGATTCATGGTGGAGAGAAGCTGGACAGAACACAGATCAAGGCGTTCTGGCAAGGTACTGGAACTGAGAATCTACCTGACTGTTGTTTCAAACCTTTTACTAATCGGAGCAATCACAAAAGCGTTCTCCACATCAAGCCAAGCCAGTGATCGCGAGATGGATCGCAGATTGGAGTACCTGTTCTGGCGGATCTGGAGCAGTAAAAATCTCCTGATTCACATGGATATCAAGTATCTGGATGATTTAGTGTCCCGCATCATGATTTCTGAACCCCTCGCTTCGTCAGCGCGGACATCAGAGCAAGTAGGTGTCTCCCACGTTTCATCTGTTTACACTTCTTCTCTTCCCTTGCCATCACACACACACTAACCACTAGTCACCTCTAGGCTAGACTTTCACTTCCGGATTCTAGAGTTTTTCCCCAAGCTGTTCCCGAGCCTGAATCCAAATCTATGCCTCAAAATGGAAGACCCAAGCCTCAGTGTGAGGTACCGGGTTCCACAGCTCTACACCCGATTCTCAAAAAGCCCAATACTCCCCACGGTGAATTATCGAAAATGACTCGCCTTGTCATCGATCAGCCCGATGGTGGAAGTATCACCCGCAGCCCATCTAACCCACCTACTCCAGGCGTGGTAGAGCCAAAAGAAATCTTTTCTGACCAACAGGGGCCTAGAAGATCATCACTAGCGGCCCCGTCACGTATCCAACGAGGTGGAAAACGTCGACCTTTGATGGTTGGACGTCGCAAGTCGTCGCAACCAGCCATCCCCAAGACTGCTTTAACCAACAAAAAACAAAACGCAGGTACCAAAGCCTCGGGGGCCATGGAGGAGATCTTCGATGCCGACGATGATATAACTCCAGAGCCAGCAACTCCAAAGAGCACCGCGCGTAAGACTCGTGATGCGACCTGGGCTGATCTAGACCATGATCAACCCTTCATAGATTTTCCAGTCACCCTTACCCCGGCAGCAGCCAGTATTTTGACCGACGGAAAACACCCAGCTAGTACCCCCTCCATCACCATCACTCCTGCCGGAGTACTCCCGATGTCCGAATCCCAGGACACTATGAAACCCCAAAGAATTCAGACAGTTAGTGATGAAACTCAATCCAACCAGATCAAAGACAGTCAAACTGAACCCATGGACAACAGTTCATCTGAAAACAGATCCGATTTTCGTCCCAAACCTGTACAAAGCACCCCCGTCCCCGGAAACAAAGACGCGTACACAGTTCCCATGGCCCACAAAACGATGGACGAACTCTTGGAGATAATCACCAATACCACGCCTCTGGATGTGCATAACTGTGCTCCAGATCTCCCACTGCATCTCTTCGACCATGCATGGCACCCGCTCCCGCGCCTCAATTACCCCTTCGACCACATGATCGAGGGCTCCCATGTTCTAAGCCGCGGCCGCCATTAGTGCCATTGGTTTCCAAGAACTTCCGCAAGGAGTGGATTGAAGTTATCAAGGAGGAGAATCGACTTATTGCTGAGCAAAAAGCGATGGAGGTAGAGGGGCAGGAATCTTTGACTTCTATCAAGCAGGGTCGTGAGCACCAGGGGACTGGAGAAGAATTTGATGACTCGGAGATTTCTTGGGGGCAACGGTCTCAGGAGCTCCATTCTCAGGAAACAGCGGAGCAGTCGGGGTATCGCTCGGATGATGAGCAAATTCTCCAGGAGCTACGGACTGAGCCTTCGGCCTTTTTAAGTTTCGATCCATGTTACGAACCAGCCAACGTTGGAAATTGAAGTCTTGCCCATGGTGTTGTTTTCGACGTTGCCTATGACCCCGATCATATAATTGGCCTATTTTTATCGAGTTGTTCAGCAATATCATCAAGTTCTTTAGTGCAAAAATACCTATGTCAGGAATTAACGGAGCTGACGAAGCAAAAGATAAGACCCTAAACAACCAAACCAATCAAACGGCAATCTGCCGAGCGTCGGTATTTTCCGAGTAAAGTTTCAGGGAATCTGGAATACCCTTTAATACTCAATGCCCACTCGGAAGCTATGTTCTTCGCACGTTGCCAGTCTCCATTTCCAATGTTGACTTAGACTTACCACCCACCTGCCGTTCAGCCCTCCGTTGAGCATTCGCATTGTCAAGAAGGATCTTCGCCGTCTGCCAAGATACTTCGTTTTTCTTGTGCAACGGTAGTTCTTTCAGATTCACGCAGATGCTTAAAAGAACACCATGTTCTTTGAGTACCAGAAAACGGGAACGGGCCGCGAGATGGCGTTTTTGTCTGCGGGGCTTTTGGATTCTGTTAATCAGGAGTGGGCTGAGTATTTCGGATACGAGGCAGAGTAAGCCTGGTGAGTTAACCCTGGATGTGGACCTTGATTTTGGCGTATGGATCGGTGTAACTGCCTCCGCGCCTGGAGAAGCAATATTATCGTTATGTATTTTGGTTTCCATCAAATGGAAATTGGGGATTGAGGTACTGTAGATGAACTCCAATGGAGGCAGTGTGAAAGGATACAAAACAGTAAAGCTGCAGGGGTATTTTCGAGGTATAGCTAGGTAGGCCATGGATGTTATGCATAAATCCATTGTTGGATTCCTTGAGGTTTGCAAGCAAAGAAGCGGGGACTGTCCAGCGAAGGACATAACGCTAAGCTCGACCAGGGAATGATCGCCCTACGTGAATCATGCTGTTCTGCAGAGATAATATGAGTAATATTGCGAATTAGACATCATATGTTCATATTTGCCCTTTTGAGAATATTTGTCTCTATCGTATAATACCGTGGGCTAGTTTAATGCGCCCTCGTGGTTGACAAGTCAAATGTCACCATTTCTGATCCTGGTACTCGACACTTCCTTCATTTTTACTGTGCAAATCGTGTACGGTGACCCAGTTCAGATATTCCGGAGTCGGTGAGAACCATACTTAGTGAAATCGTGACTCGGAAAGTATAAAAGGGGCATCCAGCTTAATGATGCTTCATTGTTGAGCGTTACCCACAGATTACCCTAAGGGGAGAGATATTGTTTTGAGACACAAGAGATTTGTTCATAATATTCTGACTATTCAGGTGGTTCATCCGAGTCAAGCAATATAATCTACCTTATTGATTGGTTCCAAGTGGGGCAAGACGTGATTGAGAGGGATATCTAATTCCAACGTACTATGTCTAGATAATATCAATGATTCCCACCTGGCCAGACAAAAGATTAAACACATGCGATTCTCAAATCCCGGCCCTTAATATACCACAACCGGCACCATGTCAAAGCCCAAACGTTCACCTCTTACTATATTAGAAACCTTATTCTCCGAGGATTAAGCGTGGACCGGACCCACTCTGGACTAGTCGAACCATGGAAATAACCAGGGGCACACGTTTCTACTCCCTCCCCACCTGTTTCGTTTCACACCTCACTGGTGGAAGATCGTGCCCCCTCACCAACAAGCCTCGCCGAGAAACCAGAATGTGCCGGATGATTACGCCCAGTAGGGCTTGTTCTGTGTCTTCTCCGAAGCTAAACCTGATTAATCAAAGTTTAATAAATCCCGGCGCTGGACGCGTCCGCACGGATCCAACAGATTACGGAGCCTTGCTGCAGAACGTTAAAACAACATGGCTGATTGTGTCTAGTCACTAGTCTGCAAGGCGCCATAGGTGGATAAAGGCTTGTGGCACCGGAGCTACTATCCGAATGAGGTCCGCTTTGTCGCGATCAGTTCGGACGCCTTCACTTCCGGCTTCAGGGGAGATTGTGGGAGGTATAAAAGAACGAGGGCAGGATCACCATTGATTCATCCAACCTACGTTCTTTTCTACTTTTTTTTTGGTCATTAATTTTCCAATTTTTCTATTCTTCCCTTCTTACTGTTGATCAGTAACCATGAAGTTCTGCATCGTCGCCTGTTTCGCGGCCTCCGTGCTGGCTGCCAGCCGCACCACCGCCCCCTCCGGATCAATCGTCGTGGCCAAGTCGGGTGGTGACTACAGTACCATCAGCGACGCCATTTCGGCCCTGGACACTGACTCCTCGGAGACCCAGACTATCTTCATCGAGGAAGGTACCTACGAGGAGCAGGTTTACATCCCCAAGCTTTCCGGAAAGCTCGTCATCTACGGCCAGACCGAGGAGTAAGTCCAATCCCATACGAAATCACGATACTCCATCTAATCAATCCTAGTGACACCACCTACTCCTCCAACACCGTCACCATCACCTCGGGGCTGGGCCTCGTGGATGTGAGCGACGACGACGAGACCGCCACCCTCCGTAACTATGCCGCGAAGTCTGCCGTCTACAACATTAACGTGGCAAACACCTACGGCGAGGGCTCCCAGGCTCTGGCGCTGAGCGCCTACAACACTGAACAGGGCTACTACGGCTGCCAGTTCACTGGATTCCAGGACACCGTCCTTGCTGAGACGGGCTACCAGGTCTACGGTACCTGCTACATCGAGGGTGCCATCGATTTCATCTTCGGCCAGACCGGTAACGCCTGGTTCGACAGCTGCAAGATCGGTGTCGTGAAGTACGGAGATGGTACCATCACCGCTCAGGGCCGTGACTCTAGCTCCGAGGAGGGATACTTCGTCATCAACGAGAGTACCATTGAGGCTGCGGATGGTGAGGATGTTGAAGAGGGTACTTACTACCTTGGTCGTCCATGGGAAGAGTATGCTCGCGTTGTCTTCCAGAAGACTGTTATGAGTGATGTGATTAACTCTGCTGGTTGGGTCGAGTGGTCTACCAGCGAGCCTAACACTGAGCACATCCTCTTCGGCGAGTATGATAACTCTGGTGACGGTGCTGAGGGTACTCGTGCTAGCTTTGCTGAGAAACTCTCTTCTGCTGTTGACATCACTACTATTTTGGGCAGTGACTACGCCGACTGGGTTGACACCAGCTACCTTGCTTAAGCGGGTCACCTAAGCTGTTGCTGCATTTTTGCTCTTTTCTTCTCTTTCCGGCAAGACAGTGCAAAGGAAATGTAAACTGAACTAGTTTATATACCGAAGTTCAAAGCCACAATCTGTCGAGGTCCGGAAGTCGGTGTTGCAATTCACTGAATTGATTCTCGAACTCTAGGAATTTATATCCAAAGACTTGCATAATTTAATTATCTGAACCCCATTTTTGGCTCAATTGACAGTTGGTAGCTTTGATAAAAGGTAAAGTAAAAAGCAGTAAACTCCACTTGAAAATCGGCAAACGCCTAACAGCATAGATACATGGCAACCTATTAGGAAATCAACCATACAACCAGCGCATGATTCATTCTAACCCTTTGACCTAGCCATAGAATACATGCAAATATTGCAAGACTCAACAGCATCACCCTGTCGAACTTAAATTTGAGATCCCTTCTCGGCATCAAGATCATCAGCCATAGCAGCCCGTCGACCCTTAAGCCAACGAAGCAACACCCAAGACGCAGTAAAAACCCACATCAACAAGTTCACAAGATCAATCCAAACAGCATGCCGCATGCGATTAATCTTCGACGCATCTCCCAGCACCGAAGTAGAACTGTCACTAGAGCTGGAGCTAGAGCTAGAGCTAGGGCTGGATGTCGAATCCCTCTTGCTGCTGCTGCTATCGGTAGGATAAACCCCAATATACATCTTCCCGAAGATGCCGAAAACCGTCAACCAGATAATACAAAGCACAGCCTCCCACACAAACTGCGGCAGATGCAACTTCGGATTGCTCGAGTTATTCACTCGCTTCTTGATGAACGGCAAAATCATATGGAAAGCCGCAGTGCTCGTCGCGAGGAATCCTACGACAAGCGCAAACACCCACTTCGAGTGGTACGTATCGTGATATTTGTGGTCATGGTGCACACATCTCCCGTAGAGGCCGATAACAGTGAGACCAAAGACAAATTGCAGGAAGCGTAGGATGGAGATCATCATCGAGACGAACTTTGCTCCTTTGCTCATAGGTGGTGCTGGTGGTTCGGGGGCGATGTATTGAGTGTTTGTGCCTGGCGTTACGCCAGGTGGGTATTCAGACATTGGGTAGGGGTTTGGATAGGTGTAATTTGGATGAGGCTGTTGGAACTGGGCCTCTTTGTTGGCCTTGCGCTTTTTTGCGTGGTCATAGCCCACTTTGAGGAGTTTTGCTGCGACGAACATGGTGGTTGTTGACCTCGGAAGGGTGTTGGTGGTATTAAATATCGACTTGTTTCTCGACTGTAAGGGCTATGCTCAAGGAGAGAAGCACGAAGGATATATGTCGTCAAGACGGTATATCACAGTAGTGAATGGTGATAGTGAATGAGGATGAATAGCAGCGTGTTGTCAATAAGAATAGAGAGCTCTAGAGGAGTCGGGTCATCAACCAGGATGATGCGACAAGTAAAGAGAATGACAGAGACCCAATTGTTTCAAAAGAGACGACACGGATAAAAGAGAAGAAAGAAATGGAGCTGAAGGAAAGAAACAAATGAAAGGCGTTGCTGTTGCTGGTTTCATAGGCATCCCGGGGAAGCTGTATGCTTTATAGATTCTAAAATAGGCCCAAATCCACCATACCGTCGGTCTCTTTTTGGAGAACACAAAGAGGAAGTGTTACAGGTAGCCATTGTTACTATTTTTTGGCTTGTCTAGTCTAGTATGAAACCATTCCCGCCTACATGATGAATGCCGAGCGGCTCCAGCTAAAAGCCCCACCACGTCGGTTGTCGCCTTGAATTCTCCGCCATTGAAGCTAAAGCCAAGTAAGATGATGAAACAAAGCAGTTCTTCAGGACAGAAATAGACTTGACCTGCAGGAAGGTAGCTAGAAGTGTATCCCGGTATTAGCACAGAGAGAAGGGTCTGGTGGGTCGGCGCTTCACTTCGCGCGCGCCAACAAGGATTGCCGTTTCAGCGCAAATGCGATCATCAACTATGAGCCAATCAATATGGCAACCCTAATCATTTAGAAGCCGCAGTTCATTGTTTCAGCCTTATGCCAATCCAGGCCACTGAAAATAGCCCGGTCATCGAACAAAGAACTGACCAACGTAACATGCCTGGGTCTACACCTACTCCTACGGCATCACCTCAACCTCAACCAAATGATTATGCACATTGCCCTTCATGGTTTGTCATTACAATTACAGACTGCTTGAGAATTATAATGATGATAATATCCTGCTCAAACCCAATGCTCGCCGTCCTAAAAATGCTTGAGGGGGAATTCCAATGCAAAACTCGTAACAGCTCGTTCCCAGACACCAAGAACCTTCCAAGAATCTCCTTACATGTAACACCTACACCGTACTTCAAGGTGGCCGCATGGTTCCGGCGTCTGCAGGACCCTTGGCAGCCCCCGCTGTTGCTAACTTGGGGTGATTGCCAGGCGGCAGAGGGGGTTTCAATTCGGTGGGTGATTCAGGATTAGGTGTCGGGAGCTCTGGTTCCTCGTCATACTCATGACCCAGGTAATCGTCATCATGAAGCCCCGATCCAGTCGCAGAGGAGTGATCGACCGAGGCGCGGTCGTAGCTTTGGTGGCCTGAGGCATTCTTTGCCGCATTCTTTGATGCCTTCTTTGTCTTGCGGCCCTTCATCTTGGCCTTCTCCAAAAGACGCTTCTTCTCAGCAAGTCGCTTTCGCTCCTTCCGGTCCTTGATCTCATATTGTCGTATCAGTGCCTCAGGCGGGCGGCCAAAGATGCTCTCATATTCACAAAATTCGCAAATCCAAATGTCTTCCAAGCTTGGAGGATGATGAATGTTGGTGTATTGCTGCTGAATTTTTCGCTGTCGTGCAGCCATAGCGTAGACGCTACCGGGAGATCGCTTCTTTTTGCGAGTGACAGGAGACTGATCTGACACGGGTGCATGCGATCCGGGTGGTATTTGTTGATTGATATTAGGGCTTGTCTGTGTACCTTGTGTGGAGAACCCTCGAGAGTTTCCAGTGGTAGCAGCAAGAGGGGAAGTGGGCGAACGATGAGGGACCGAATATGAACTTCGCTGCATAGCCATGCCTTTGGACGAATCAGACTCGCATGTGAAGGTGAATTGTGTCTTGGTCGGCGTAGTATTTTCCTGCTCCAGCAAGCTAACATTGCTAGGACCTCGGGTGGGTGAGGTGAGGGTAGCGGCATTTGCGATGGCCGTGGAAATAATTCCTTGATCGGATGAGTCACCTGAGAAGCAAGTCAGCTATATCGCATACTTTATTCGTTATTCAGGCACAGGCTGAGATACGAACCAGATGGCCCAGGGGATGACATCAGCCCATCCCGCCGACTCGGGGTCCGAGTGTTCATCCATGCGTTCTGAGCATTCGCAGACAGCGGGTTCCGTCCGCTGCTATTGCGGGGAGAACTGCGCCCAAGACGTCCTCTGCCCGAGCCAGAGATCCCACTGGCCAATGGAGAAGCTGGGTTCCCATTCCCATAGTACGTTCCAGGACCCATCCCATCACCGGCCACTGTTGGAGCGGGGTTGGCCAACCCCATGTTGGCAAACTCCGGTGATAAGGCCGAATGGTGACCAGGCATGTTGCCAGGCGTGGGGATTTTTCGCTTCTTCTTATTATTCGTGTTTTCGAATGCGTCATAACCGTCAGGACCCGCCGATGATTTTGAGACACCGCCTTTCCCAGATCCTGGGTGTAGGCTAGAAACCGGCGACAAGGAACCCCGAAATCCTGCACTGCGACGTACTACGACTGGCGCGTCTTCATCTCCACTTTCTAGCTCAACGGTTGTCTCAAAGCCGTGGTGGGAATCAGCCTCGGGGGTTAGCTCGTGTCGATCCGACTCGATAGTCTGCTGAACGTAGACCTTGGAGTCGTTCACCGCCTCTTCTGAGTCCCCAGACACTCCGTAAAAGATCTGTGATGCTGGGGGAGTTGGCGGGTAGAGAATCGTGTCGGCAGCGTCGGTAGACAGGCGGGAGCGCAGGGTCCGTTTAGGGAGAGGACGAATCAGACGATCGGGATAGACGGAGGAAGGTGTGTCAGGGGCCGAGTTGAACGTCCCGTCTACACGAGTGCAACACCACGTCAGTAACTGAGTAACCGGCAGATAGTTTGACTCGAGAAGGTTAGGGCCCTGCCGGATCACCTTACAAGGTGGCCAGACCGGGATGTCCCCTTACAAGCAAGACATACTCAGAGTCGCAGTCATCATGCAAGTTTCTCAACACTGGGCCTCCCCCACAACGGTTCATACGTGTGGAATGAGGTATGCCAGCCCGTTTCCTCTTTCCTTTTGTTTCCCCCTCCACCGAAGTTGTTTTAGGTAAGCCAGTTGGACCAAAGTTCGATTTCGTGATATTTCGGAGGGAATGATTTGGTTCGGCAGAAACGCTATTGATCCGACAAGTTAGTTACATCAAGAGACACATGTCAGTGGTAACATAGTCGTCCATGGACACCATAGATATAGGCAAGATATGTCTAGGAGGTCTCCGGTGGCCTCGGCGTTCCACAACCACGGAAGAGGAATATCATGAACATACCCACAAAGCGTGCTCTAAATCCTCAAAGTCCAAACTCTGATCAAGAAATACAAGAATTGGGCACGACAGAAAACCCGATCCGTTGGCTCTCGCAGGAAGGCGCTGTTCGAGCTTCAGGTATGATCTCGGAGAATAGCACGGAGGGGTTAGAGATGTGAAGCGAAATGAACAGCGAGTCACGGGAATTCGGAACACTGGGCGCTAACCGTATATGGTAACCCTGGGCACCCAACCGGGTCCTCTGGGGTAGATTGCATTACGCATCTTGTACTCAACTGGATTCCCTCTCATCTAAACTGGAAGCCCAGGTTTCCAAAGACTATCCCGCTGGATGTCTCGGTCTCACATCACATATCCATCCTCTACTCATGAATTCGCTGGGATTGGTATATTTATGCTGCACGGCTGCGTTCTCCGCACTGAACCAGCTGAGTACTAACAGGAAATGGAAACTTCACGGTGTGGTAAACGTTATCGACAGACTAATATACCTAGGTAGCATGTCAACAGGGGATGAGCAAGCTTGCTGCCCTTTGTACCTGCATGGTTGGCAGCGCGAGAAAAAATAAAATAAAAAATCAACCCCTCGAAGTGCCTTGCGTGCGGCTCGGACACCCCACCAGAAGCTTGAGATCGAGACTGAACAACCTTGCTCCGATTGAATATCCAATCCATTTCCTCTCAACGGATTCGACAAGCTTTGGCTTTCCACATCGCTACTCGTGACCTCGGTCACCAGGCATCGCGGACATGAGCGCTACGACATGGTCCTTGATGTTCTATACAATTGCAGAATAGCGCCGAGTATTCAACATGCACTGCATACCTTAGCGAAGATCCGCATTGATTTCACCGCATCAAGAGTCATGCAGCTCATCTCAACTCGCTTCCTGCTTGTAGACCCGGGTCCGTTCCTGTTGCGTTCACGTCCAATTCTCGCGTCTCGGAAGGATCAGAAAGGTTTACCATGGCCGTAAAGATGCAGGGGCCAATGTCTTTTCCGAGACCGAGCTAGACAATCACCTTGCCAGTAGTGGAAGGGGGACCGAAGAAAGGGTTTGCAGATTGAAGCGGGTGGGAGGGGGGCGGATTTCTGCCGAGCGCGTCATGGTTAATTTTCAACTCAGCACACACTTAGGGAGACAACAATAAAACAAAGAAATAGAAACAAGTCTGATGTAAGAAGTAAGAGGAAGCAAAGAAAAATGAACACGCACAGAAGAAAGTGGTTAAAGAGGTCGCGCGTCGAAAGAGGCGTCGAGAGCGGGGAAGGACGGGCGAAAGTGCTTTTGGAGTCCCGTTCCGGCGCTTTTCCTCCTTCTCTTTCTCTCTCTCTGCAACCCCCGCCAATCCTGCACCTCCTCAGACTATGTAGTCATCGGGCTCTCTTGTGAGCCTTGTGACGCCGTGCTTCAGATCCATCTACAATTCTCAATTGTCTCGCCCTCCTTTCGCTCAGAAGGAGCTTGCAATCGCGCGCAAGAGCTCCCTCGCAATCCGGTGCTGCTGGACGCAGTGGTCAACAACCTCGACACCGTTGCGAGAACTTGTTTTATCTTTTTAACCCACCTTGAAAACATTATATCTAAAAGCACTCGATCTCTACAAGCCATTTCGCCATCATGACACCTCGTCGCTCCTCTCGGGCTCGCACCACACAACCCTCCCCAGCCCTCCTTCAACACACCAACTCCTCTGGCTCCTCAGTTTCTACTACTCGCGAGAGGAGCACTCGATCAAACCATAAAAATAACTCTCCTCAAGGCTCCTCGGGCCATCGATCCCAATCCATCGATGATGGCGAAAATGGCTCGAGGACCGACCTCCCACAAACGCGCCAGCGTCAGCGCGCCCACGACGATGACGAGGATCCTCCCCGCGAGGAAGATGAAGATGATATAGAAGAGGAGGAAGAGGAGGAAATCACAAGGTGTCTGTGTGGGCAGCAGGATTATCCAGGCTTGCCCCCCTCTCGTCGCGAAGCTCTCGGTCGCAGCATCGTCAAGCCAGAATCGGCCCACCCACCTACTGATTCGTCCGATATGTTGCCCGATGATATTGGGAGTATGTTCATTCAGTGCGACACCTGCAAAGTTTGGCAACATGGTGGCTGTGTGGGAATCATGGACGAGGAAATGAGCCCCGATGAATATTTTTGCGAGGAGTGCCGGAAGGACTTGCACAGAATCCGAGGCGAAGCCAATGGGTATGTTCACAAAATAAGCTTTTCTATATCGTTTTTGGTTTCCATTTTATTGTCCCTGATGGTTGCGTTTCGAATATGCTCGTGGCTCGAACAGTCGTTCCAAGTCGTGGGCGGCTAGAGAGGCGAGTTGCCTTCCAAAGAGAACGCGACTAGAATTCCAACTTTTGAGGCCATTGCATCTACCCGTCCCCTTGTTTAGATATCTGGTTCATCATGGAGGGGTGTTTTTCTTTTGACGTCCACCATGCTAACGATTTCGCAGCCAGCGCTCCTCCACATACCTGCCTGTCGTACCGGTGTCATCGCCTGCACCTTCCTCTCGACCCGTCTCTCGGGCCTCCTCCCGAGAAACCACCTCTCGACGTTCCAGGGATCCCAAGTCAAGAACTAGCGAGGGTGACATGAACCCGAAGCGGCGGTCCACTATGAACAGCCGGGATGCCGCTTACGACGAGGAGGAACTGATTCGGCGAGCCATTGAGGAAAGTAAGGAAGATACGAAGAGCCTTCCCGACGACACATCTCTTCGGCGGGGCAAACGAAGTCGAAGTGCCAGTGAAGTGTGCGTGCTTTCTGTTCTTAATTCCAAATCTTTGGTTCAAACGTATAGCTGACGGCTTATTTCCAGAAACAGACCGGGTGCAAAGCGTCAACGAACCGCTTCGCCCTCTCCAGCTGCTGTCTCGAGCCACATAGCATCTCAACCTCCATCCGATGACGAGTCTAAGACCAAAGTCCTAGCCCTGAATGGCACTCGGAGACAGAGAGCTACTTCTCGGAGTCAACGTGACAAAGAGCCAAGCAAGGGTGCCGATGAGGGAGAACTGGAGGCTCCGGAGGCTCCGGAGAATTTGGCCCGTCGAAAAGAAAGAACAAACCGTCGCAAAGGTGAAGGTAAGTCTCCTGGGAACAAGCAGGCTTAATTGATTGCTGACAATAGAACCATAGAATCTGAGCATGAACCCGCATCTCCAACCAAGGCAGCCCCACCAGCTGAACCGGAGCCGGTCCAGGCAAGCCCTAATACACCTACTCCTCAAGAGCCGACGCCCGCTCGGCCATCCACTCGAAAATCAGGCCGCCCACCGGCTCGCCGAGGTCGTGTCGGGCGTAACCAATATACCAAGGATCGCGATACAAATGGCACTGGTACTGAATCACCCCGTCGTGGGCACTCTCTTGATATTGGAGGAGAATCGCCCAGAGTCGGGTACGGTGCCAATGGAGTACATATAAATGGAGGGGACACCGGGCGGCCAAGCAAACCCCGTCACATGCATCCACAACGCACGACTATGAACGAGATGAAAAGACGTGTGGCGGCCATCCTTGAGTTTATTTCACGAATGCAGGTGGAGATGGCCGTGGCCAGCGAGAACTCTTCCTCTCCCATTGGCAACGGTGACCAAACTCAAGGCCTCCTTTTGAAGAGCATGGTCGATCAGATCGACAGCATCATGCCCTCGACGACCAGTGATGGCGGCGGATCCGCGCCCACTGACGGCGGTGACATGGAGAAGCCCTTCAAGGACCTGAGCAGCGTGGAGATGATGGACGTTCTCACGCGTCACCTTCTCAAATGGCAACAAGAGTACGGCAAGTTCGGTGAGCGGTAGTCCTGCCGTGTCACCTGCACTTATGTCTCTGTCTGGCCTTTATCTGTTGGTGCTTCTCAATACGATACCCCTGTTTCAGCTGTTCCTGTCGGCGGTTGTAAAGTAGAACGTCTACTGGCGTTTAGTTTTTTTATTTTCATTTTCTCTGTTTTCTACTCATATCGGACTGGCGTCATGATCATCATTGGAAAATGAGGCTGGTAATGGTTACTTATTTTGCTACCTCCAAGCTGCTGTGTTTGTGGACTACCATCTCAATTCATGGTTTATTTATGTCCGTGTTCCTATACTTCTGTTTCTGGTCTTGGGCTGGTGTTCTGGAAAATCTACGTCATATATGGGTTCTCTTGTTTCTATCCAAATCACTGCTCTGCATTCTACTTTTACAATGTACTATTCTTGATCGTGGCCATTCCTTCAATCTGTTCGATTTTTACTTCCATGTTACTACACCTGGGCCCTCTTCAGTAGCCTCAATTGCCGTTAACTAGTCCTGGTTCCAATCAATGCCTACAATTACCTACATAGGTATATACACTTCAGATGCAAGGTCTTGGGCTACCTCTACCCCAAATCATGAGACTAAAGCTACTCCAATGTCAGATATTACATCTTGATACATCGACAAGATTGCGAGATCGCCTGTGCCGGTACAGGTATATCATTAGCAGCAAAAATAGATAATCCTCAAATGGTGTCTCGATGGGGTTCTTGCCCACGGGACCTAGGAAGCCCTTAGCCCTGCACCGTCCCATTCTTGATTGATGTGATTCCAACTATAAATCCATTCACATCTAACACGAGGGGCATTCTAGCACATCAAAGCCAATCTACGTGTTGGACTTTTGGTCATAGGTGAGATGTCTTCACTGAGCCTTATTGTGACGACTTGGCGGCATTCCCTTTTCCGAAAAGCCAAAAATTGCAAGTTGTTCGCCATACGAGTTCCATATATATGCCTTCCGGGTTGAAGCTATATAATTCTCCTGATATACTAGATGAATCAACAGAGTCTATTTATTTGAGAGGCCAAGGAAGCATATAGATCCAATTGTTTGCGTCATCTTGGCTGAGATGTATTTATTTACTATATTAGCAGGAACACAATTGATGACTAGAAGATCGGGAGATCCATGGATCCAGACAGGACTTGAGATCCGGTGGGTTCTATTCATCGATGGTGGACCCCACAAGGGTTCCAAGGTTCAAGTTGCGCCCTGTCTGGGGAACTATAGACAAATAGGTAAGGCGGGGACAAGGGTCATGTAGAACGCCACCACTTTTGATTGTCACCTGGAACTGCCGCATTCTGGAACTCTAGCTAATGTGATGATAATATCTCTTCTATTGGTATTGTACGTTTATTCGGGCTTAGAAGTGGCAGTTCCCGTATTCCTGGCAGTCGCCCAAATTGGAGATTCCATGATTATATATTCCGGCAGCCATAAGATATATTTTGCGGCAGTATTCAGCGAAATTCCCAAATGATAAGCCAAGTTAAAGAATCCAAGCTTTTTGATTGTAATGTACAAAATGTACAAGTCTCTTTCGCAAATACACGAGGTAGTAGTATAGGCATGACGCTGCTACTCGGTAGGGACTCAAAGTGGAGAGGGCGGGAAGAGGCATTAAAAGCAATGCTAGTTGTGAGACATTAATTCTCAGGGTCGATCAGGGTCCAGGTCAAAATTACAATCAATAAGGACCTCGGCATATCTGACTCATTTTAGCAGTTCTCGTGCATCGTTTCCTGAACAACCATACTCTCATCACATCCACTGCCAAGGCGCCTACGATAATAAACAAACAAGCTGGTAAACAGGGAATATTCTGCCGATCCCAAGACACGTCTCGTACGAACTTAGCTTACGGGGAAAACAATGATTAGAGAGCCCTGATTTATTTGTATTAAGATCGCTTAGATACATGGAAAACCAGCGTGAGCCAGCAGATACAAAAGTGAATCCCATCACATTTTCAGCAAGGCAATAGATAGTAACCGTCATTGAAACAGATCATCAGACAAAGGAAAGAGAAAATAAAATCACAAAAAGAAAAGTTCATCACAAGACACCATAAGCTTCAATCAACTCCCAGGAGATTAATATCTAGAGAGTAAGAATTTACAGGCGGGAGCCGTGGATGACCTTGAAGTCAACAACGAGCTCACGGCCACCGTCGTTGATGACAAGGGCACGGACGGAGCCACGGCCGTTGGCAAAGGCATCGCCGATGCGCTTGGACAGACCACCCTGGGTGATAACGGGGAGGGCCTGCTTGATGTCACCGGACTCGGTCATGGCGGTGAGGGTACCGTCACCGTTGACGTCGAGGATACGGTAGGTCTTGAAGACGGGGCCGAGCATGGTCTGGACAACCACGGAAGGCGAGGGGTTGGAGACGAAGCTCGACTCCTCCTGCAGCTGGCGGGTGAAGAGGTCAACACCGAGGTAACGGTGCTGGCCAGTCTGGGAAGAGACCGAGATGCGGATCACCTGGCAAGGACGGCCCTGGAGGATCAGGATGTCGCCGATGCGAACGAAGTGGCAGGGGATGGAGACAGTCTCGCCGGGAGTGCCACGGTTGCGGGGCTCAATGACACGGACAGTCTCACGGGGAGCATCGTAACGGGGACCGGCCTCAACGACCTCATCGCGACCTTCAAAGGGGTGAGCGAGGTGGTGGGCAACACGCTCCACGCCGCGGCGGAAGGAGTGGTACTGACCCTCGTCGTCGTAGTAACCCATCTTGCGAGCTTGCTTGGGAGCGGGAGCGGGAATGGGAGCAGGAGCAGGGGCTTGAGAGCGAGCAGGAATGTCTCGGACGGTAGTCTGAGAGTACTGAACGTCGACAGGGGCGTAACGAGAAGGCTTCTCAACCTCGATCTCGCGACGAGTATAGTCTTCGCCTTGGTAAACGCCGGTGGGGTAACCCTGGTTGGCGCGGTCGTACGAGTAATCGGAAACAGGGCCCGACTGCTGGTACTGGAAAGGTTCTACGGGGTAACGACTCTGGTAAGAGGCGTTGACGTCGTAGTTGGGAGAGGTACGCTGACGGTAGTCTCTCTCAGTGATGTCGAGTTGGGTATCGACGACGGGCTGATCGTAGATCTGGGGACGTTCCTCGAAACGAACAGAAGATTGTTGGCTGGGGTAGCTAAAGAGAAGAAATGGAAAAGGAAATTAGCTTGGGGGGAACTCCAGTAAAAAAAAAGCATGCACATATATAAACAAATAACACGAGCCGTGGTCACCGCTCATTGGAGCCGGACTCCACCTCAGCGAGTGGAGTCGTTTTTGTGTGACACGTAATTTAGTCTGGGGCTAAACCCGTAATCATTCTAGACCGGGATAGGGTATCCGACAATAAATAGTCGGTCTCCACACGCAAGAGAGGGGGCAAAAAGTGGGCAATTGTGATGTAAGTGGGTTTTTGGGGTGCAATTGGGCTCCAAAATCAAAACAATCAACAGATCAACAATTGACAAACGTACCGTTCACGAGTTAACTCAACGTTAGCAGCGTAGCGAGAAGGGGCTGGACGCTCTTCCTGAACTCGAAAGTCGACTTCTTCCTTTCCGTAGACACGAGGGTCGGGGAGAGGGGCCTGTCGAGTATCTTCCCGTTCGACGTGCGAAGTGCGATCGAGTTGAACTTCTCCCTCTACTCTCGTCTGAGTAGTTTCAGAGACAGCGTCACTCCGGTACGACGACGGGAAGACACTGAAGGGGATTGGGACGCGGGCGTCAAAGTCCAGATTGACGGACTTGAATCGTCTTTTCTCGAATGCCTTTCGAACTGAAAGAACGAAAGACTAGACAAGAAAAGACTTGAGGGGAAGAAGTCTTTCTCGAAAGAATTGAAAGAAAAGAGTCTGGGGTAATCAGATCTTTGAAGATTGGAAGAATGTGGGAAGGATGCTAGAGGCCAAAGGGATGAAAGAGGAAGAGGAAGAGGGGGAGTGGATGGTCTTGCACTGCGGTTTATTTATGAAGCGCGCACTGCTGTTTGTTTACGACGCTTGACCCGATTGGTGCTCGATCGGCTCCCGAGGTTCAGATGAACGCGAATGGGTTTTACATTCTAGGCTTCTAATTACACCCTCTTGACACATTCCTAGCATCGGAATGTGACACCCACATGGGGAGATCTTTCCTGCTCCTTGATTAGTTGGACCTAAAGTCCCATTGATACTATACAGTGTATCTGTATACGTGGTATAGCGACTCTGTATTGCATCACATCACATGGAGGCTGGCCAGCCCCCGTCTCCATAGCAACCACCGGGTCCAATCGGGGTTTGCCGATCACTGGATCACGTCGATTCAGAGCTTGGGACGCGATCGATGCACCCGGATACCAGTCCCTTTATATCGTCCACGTTGCAGTGATGGTATAAAAATGATTACCCGGTTTCACCAATTGCGGATCTCTGGCTCTGCATGAGGAGACCACGCAATACAGACGCACACCAATTGGCAGAATATGATACATCCAAGTCTCCCTGGCGTGTTCCACTTGGTGTCGCCCAATCCCAACCCAATCAATTAATAGGTGGTTGGGTGCTGCTCCAGCTCATCCTGCAGGTGTCTAGACTCTCTGGGCGCGTACAGTTGTTGTTTTTCCTTACGAGGACCCTCCGTAAAGACCTGTAATTGACCTGTATTACCGAGGCTGGGGGGAGTCACACAGGCCAGCTGAAGTGGCCGGGACACGCTAGGATCCACTTGGTTACAGCAGATGCCCGCCCCCTCTCCGCCATCTGATGGCTGGTGTGATTTCCAACGGAATTAGCCTTTCGCGCTTGTGATGAGCACCTAGGGATACGCAATTGATCTTACGAAGCTACGACAATAAGAAATTCTGCTTGGTCCACCCCAATGATCTTATGATTTGCAAAATACATCTATCAAAAAAACAATTGTCTAGAGAAGAAAAGAAAAAGGGGGTCAAAAACGACGCGGCATCCATGCATGGGCTCGCCTGGCCACTGCAAATCAAGAACATCAGGGAAACAGTCGTATACAAGGTGTGAGAAGTAACGAGGGTATCAAAGTGTATATAGTACGACAAACCCACACCGCAATGAGAGAATGAAGTGAAAGATGAGACAAACGCCGATTGAGGATCCAGTAGGGCCTCCAGGACAAGAAAGAGTGTATGCTCGGACAGGGATACAAGACACAGGGGTGGATATGGCGCATTAAAGATTAGATCCACGCGGAAAATATCAAAGCCGTCCCCAAGATGACCGTAGGCCATGACAAAAGGGTGCTTCCCCTTTGAAAAATAAATCACAGAGAAAGAAAAGGTCGGTCATTAAACGTGTAGAGCAGAAAGATGCCAATCTTTATGCGGGGGAAAATGATAGTAAAAAAACAACTTTCAGATAATCAGACACTGGTATCAAGCTCGTAGACCAAAGGCCTTACGGAGCATGGGGAATCGCTTCTTTCGTCCCGAGCCGACAATCATCACATCTCGCGCCATGGGTCCATTTTCATCAGTGCTCATGGTGATGTCCGAGGCAGCATCGTCGTTCACAGGACCGGCACGAGAGGCTTGGGGTGATTCGGGCGCTTTGGTAGTTCCTACTCCCCCTCCATTTGTTGTAGCAGTTCCATTGGGCCCCGCGTCCTCAAGGGCTGGCTTTTGTGTCCTCAATGGAGAGGAGGGAGCGCTGGCACTTTGTTCAGGGATTGATTGAGGCCTAGCGTCAGAGCGGAACGACCAAGGCTCTCCACCCATGGTATAACGTTTGGCGTCCTTCTTCGTAAGTTTTTGAGGGGACGAAGGCGACTGCGACTGATTGGCAGTCACAGTAGTCACAGTGGTAGGAGCGCCATTCAAGGCCGCACCACGGACCTGCTCACGTTCCAGCTGCGATCGCTCTAAATGAGTATCTCTCCGAGAAGGGCTCTCCGCATCCGCTTTGCGAATGCGGTTCTGCGGATTCTTCGACTTCTTGAGACCAAGGCGGGTGAGGAGTCCTTGCTTGCGAGGTTGCATGATGAATTCTTCTAGTTCCTGCTGCGTCATGCCTCGCTGCCGAGCCACGGCGGCTAGGCCAGACATGTTCGGAGCATTTTTGTCGCGAGAAGCGGGCGGAGTGGGATTAACCCGAGGATCAACCGCTACAGGCCGAGATTGCTGCCGACGCTCCCCTTCAGAGCTATCTTCCAGATCGGTGGAATCCCCATCGTGGGCACCATGGCGACGGGGAATACCACGGACAGGCCGCATAGAGTTGGAACCCTGCTCTTCATCGCTAGAATCCACAAAACGGCTATGGAAAAACTGTTGCTGACCCTCGTCTTCCCCGTCCGAGTCTATGAATCGAGAGCTTGTAGACTTGGGAGGCTTTGAAGATCGGGCTCGAGGGGCGGGGGCAGCTTTTTTGTTGGTCGAAAAGAATGAATATCGCTCGTTTCCACCGCTTTGCGGGCCTCGAAGTGTTTTGCGCATGGTCCCTGGTCCCTGTGAGGAACCCGAAGACATTGGCCGCCGGTCAGTGGGAGAGTCTGTTCGGTCTGAGGGAGGTCCCCGAATGCTTGCACCGGCTCTCATTGTGCGACGCATGGCGCGGGATCCATCATTCCGAGGCGAATGACTGGCTCGCTTAAAGCTGCTGGAGGAGTCGCTGCCACTGGACCGGGTTCGACGAAGGGAACTAGGGAATCCTGCCCCTCCTGGTCCTCCCGTTCGCTGGAAGGCTGGCCCTAGTGACAAAGTTCGTGTTTTGCCATTACCAGTACCTGCAGAGGGGGCGGCACTGGAGTATCGGGGGTCGTTCAAGCTTGAGGTACCATAAGCGTCCACGGAAATAGGCCGCTTCTGCTGATTTGGCCTTGACTGTATACTCCCATTTGGAATCTCTTGAGCTTGAGATTTGAGAGGCAAAGTAGGACTTGGTGGCTCAGCCTCTTCTTGCACCTCACGATTGACAGAATCTTGAGTGGGGGTCACACGACCGTCATCTGCAGCCTGCTCTGTGATATCTTGGGATGCATCATCAATAACTGAAGTTCGACCCACCGGTCTGGGAGTTGGATCGCGATCTTCGCTGACTGTCTCTAGAGGGGCCGAAGACCTAGGAATTGAACGGCTATCGACGATGGCATTAATAGATCCAAAGCCATCCCCATCAAAGCCTTCTTCAGCATCACTGTAGATACTGTCACCAGATTCTCCTTCGGTATCCACGTCATCCACGTGCTTTGGAACGGCACTGGCCACAGGCTGGGGCTTCGTGGATTCAGCTGTAGATCTGAGGTTGCGGTCTGAGGCCGAGGGTGGGAAGCCACCCGGGATATGGTAGTTCTCAAGACTTGACCGACTCAAGCGCTGTAGCTCACGGCTAGGTCGGTCGCTATCGATTGGAGGTGTAGCGGGCTCCACTGCAATCGAAGGTGGGGGTACGTTTAAAGTCCCATGGTTAAAGGGCGGTTGTTTAGTGATACCACCAACGGCCACGCCATCCAGTCTCTTGTCAGTTGCAGCCTGTGGCTGAGATAGACTACTCTCTCCACTGACTGACAATTGCTCCACAGAGTTCACATTGCGGGTGTCCTGAGATCGGACCTTGGGAAGGACTCCTCCAATGGCATGGTCATTCGATAAGGAAACCGGGGTGGCCACCACCTCATCATCAGACGAACTGCTGGAATCATTATCACTGTATTCAGGAATTGCAGGCTCTTGGGAACCACCATCCCGAGTCCCTCGTACGCTGCCAAAGGAAGGGAGCATTGGCCGGGGCTTCAAGACTGCACCGAAATCATCATCACCTGTGGTCAAGTCCGATGCTCCTTGCTTCTTCTTACCAACACCAAGCCAACTCATGCGAGACTTGGTTTTGGGTGGTGAACCCGGGGTATATTCTTCGGGAGAGGTGGGAGGGCTTGCAGCAACACCGACAATCTCAGCCTCGTCTTCGAAGCTCACCCTAGGGGCCCGTTTCTTGGCGACATTGAGCCGGAATCCATCATCGGATGCTACTGACGTGCCATCGGATATCTCACCAGGTGGGTGAACAGGCACCCCGGTGAGTGACATCTTTCTATCCGGAGACAGAGAGCTTCCACGAGGATGCTTCAAGGCCGACTTGACAGGTGACACAGATCTCGCCGGGGGTTGGTGAATCTGATCTCCTGAACTGCTCACAGAAAGCCATTTGGAAAAACGGGCTGACCGGCCAGGGCTGTTTGACTGGTGAGGAAGTACTTCTTGATCTCTTAATCCCTTCGCAGCGGAAGGAGATGACTGGGGAGTCACTATCGAGTCAGCGCGGTCGGATGATGGAGATGCAGCTGCTAGTCGATTTCCAGGATCCTGACGTCGAGGGGCTTCAATTTCCGCATTTTCCTCCGGTTCGATTTCGCGGACAACCGCGGGCCATCTCTCAGGACCAGTTCGTGAGGGCGGATGTTCGTTGTCTGGACTGCTAGTAGATGGAGGGTCGCGCTCTAGGCTTTCAACCCTTGCGGCGTGAGAGGGGTCCGCGCGAGGACTGCTTTTTTGCGTGCTAATTGCTTGAGCAGCCGCAGCCGCAGCAGTACCCACAGAAGGTCCCGCAGACTTGCTCGCGTGGCTCCCATCTGCAACCTGCACTTTAGGCCTCGTGGCGGTTGGTTTCTCAGGTGTAGATTGCTGAGTATCGGTCCCTTGTGCTCCATCACTATCTACAACTGCCCCTAAGCTGATGGACTGATTCTCGGGAATCGAGGGAGTTAAGGGCGGCGAATTTGGCCGGCTGCCCCTTGGATACGAAAAATTGACCGAATTTCGGCTTCCTGGTCGCTCTATCTCAGGCACCGTGCTCAAGCTGCTGACCCGGTTATGCAAAGGAGAGCTCGCGCCCCCTCGATCAGAACTCACTCCTCGTGTAGAGATCCGTGGCGGAGATGCCGGAGGCGATCGCATCGATGGTTCAAGGCTCACCGCGCGACGGGAAGCTTCTTTTCGCTGGGCATATTGTGCAGGCAAGCTTGGCAACGGGGGTTCAACGGGTCGTTGTACAGGAACGGGGCCAGAGCTTGTCGATGGGCGATGAGGCGATGGCTCCCGAAATGTTCTTGCCGTCATCGAGCTCGAGCTATTCGATCGACGCAGAGGCCCGCTGACACTGGCTGAGCGACGGGACGTCATTGTGTTGCGCGGCGAATGAGTCGAGGCCGCTCGTTGGACCATGCGCTTGGTCTGGACATTTTCCACGGACGTTGGAGTTGGCGTGCGATTTCGCAGCGCGGCCGCGGCGGCCGCGGACGACAGGCTACTTGTGGAAGGTTGGGACTTTAGGAAAGCATGGCTGGCGGCAGACTGCGCTGATTGGGACGCAGATGTGGGGAGTGGCTAGAGCAGATATGAATGTTAGCGCCATATTTTAAACAATTACAAGCTCCCTATATCGCAATCGATAGAGCAGGGTTGTTCCGAAGTCGATGGTCGAAGCGGAGCCTACCTGATGGTGAGAAGAGCTTCTCTTGCGGCGGCCGAACATGATTGCTCAAGCTCCTGGAGCTCAGCGCGATGGCTAACGGGTAGCCGACCGGACACTGCACAGAGCAGCGCCGGGGTTGATCCGAAATATTGAGACGGAAGACTCGGATGTTGTGTGTAATGATTCGATGTAGAAAGAAAACCCAAAATGCAGATGCGATGATAGAGAACGTGACGAGCGATCCGTGCGGGGGGAAAACGCGCAATGGGAAAGAAATTGACGGATCAAAGAACGAAAACCAGTGAGAATTGAAGGAAATGGTGCCGAATGGATTTTTTGAAACCCCCGAGTTTCAGTGATGAGAGAGATGTTACATAGGGAATCGAGAAGTCGAGAGGGAAACTTGCGTCATGACTTCCAAGGAACGGGTCAGGCACCTAGCAAACCTTAAGAAACAGGATGTTTCCCCCCAGGCAAGGTAATTGGTATAAATGCATAGCGGCTGTCATTCCAAAGAAATAAAGGAGCAATATATACAAAGTCAAGTCTTTTAATAATGTCTCTAGCTATACCTCCCTCGTTGCCCCTCCCCAGGGGTGTCTCTAGTCGTTATGTCGTAACCCCCGAGCTTACCTTCCACACTCTTGAGGCCGGAGCTACTCCTGGTCGGGATCGCCCCTTAATTGTCTTACTGCATGGATTTCCTGAGATCGCCTACTCCTGGCGACGGATTCTGCCCCAAATAGCAGACGCAGGCTTCTATGCCATCGCTCCGGATCAGCGCGGGTTCGGCCGCACCACAGGATGGGACACCCGACCCTTTGACGAGGTCGATCTAGCTAGTTTTTCATTGACTAACCTAGTCCGCGATGTGGTGATCCTGGTCCATGCACTAGGATATCGATCGGTCCACTGCGTTGTCGGCCACGATTGCGGTGCCATCACCGCCTCCATGTGCGCGCTCATGCGGCCAGACTTCTTTCACAGCGTGGTGCTGATGAGCCACCCCTTCAACGGGAGTCCAACGCTGCCTTTCAACACTGCCAATGAAAGCAAAGATGAAAACGCGACGGCGGCTGATCGGGGTGGCGGTGGTGGAGCTGAGGGTTCTGCTGCTGCTTTAGGAATCCATCAGGCACTGGCACAAGCTGGTCGCAAGCACTATAAACGGTACTATTCAACGGCCCGAGCAAATGGGGATATGTCTCTGGCTCCACATGATCTACACCGCTTCCTGCGTGGTTATTTCCACCTTAAGAGTGGATCGTGGCCGGGCAACCAGCCACGTCGGCTGAATGGATGGACGGCCGAAGAAGTTGTACAGATGCCGTTTTATTACATCATGCCGTTGAATGCCACGATGCCCGAGGCAGTGGAAGCGCATATGGTTGACGAACCGTCGGGTGGACAGACTTCCCATTCGTGGCTTCCGGATGACGAGCTTGCGGTCTATGTAGCGGAGTATGCTCGCACCGGTTTCCAAGGGGGATTGAACTGGTACCGTGTTCGCACAGCTGGTGGTGGTCAGTACACGAAGGACTATGACCTTTTTGCGGGGAAGAAAATTGAGCCGCCCTGTTCTTTCATTTCAGGAGAGAAAGATTGGGGGACATACCAGGAGCCCGGTGCTCTGGAAAAGATGACCAGTGGTGCCGTATGCTCTGATTTCAGATCGCTCAAAGTCCTTAAAGGGGTAGGACATTGGATCCCTCAGGAGGCTCCAGATGAGGTGGTGCAGACCATCATGGAGTTGACCAAGGGCCTGAGTGTCTAAGCTATATGTCTTCCGGACTGGCGACGCTATGTGGTCTTAGTTGGGCTTGCAAACATAACGATCGTGAAAGAATTCCGATAATATAATGAAAAATTCAAGCCAAAGTGGCTCTTTCCAATTTAGAGCGCATATGTAAGTCTTTGATATAGGTATGCTCTATGCTCAAAATTTGCTGAACGCCTTGCAAGGTCCCAAAATTCCATAGTACCTATACCCCTTTATAAGGAGTATCAAACGTCTAAAAAAAAGTCAGCCCCAGCCCCAACTAAGCACCCATAAACAACCCGGAACATACCTTAGCCAACCTTGGTTCTATGAAAAGTGCATTTGCCTCCACCAACAATCCGGCTCCATCCTCTTCTCCCGGAGACAATTTCTCGATTTTCGCCTCAACCCAAGCCTTCCGCCCCTCGACCTTCGTAGTCTTTGCCCTCAGCACAACGTACGAATTGGCCATAGCCGGCGCTCTATAATTGATATTCAGATTCGCCGTGACGCCCACTTTATTTGGCAACAAGCGGAAACAGCATCGTGCAAGGCCCTCATCCATTAGCGTTGCGAGGATTCCGCCGTGAACGATTCCCGGGTGTCCGCAGATACCGCTACCCAGATACATGAACATGACGATGCTGTTTTCGGATTCGTTTCTGAGTAGAAAAGGTGCCATGACTAGTTTTTTGGGACCAGCGAGGGCACCTGTGATTAGGTTGTTGCTGCGGAGGTTTTCCGAGATTGTGTCATTGTCAAAGGCTGTTTCTTCAAAGTCGGGATCATTGAAAAGGCTTATTGTTGTTGGATGGTTGCGGATGAAGTCCACGATATGTTTGTCTTGGTTATCATCTTGTAGGTCGTGGAGGTTGACTGTGATGGAGCCCATCTTTAGGTTATTTAGGATGGTTGAATGGTCCAGGTAAGGGTATGTGTAAGATATGGAAGAGGCCAATTGATGAAGAATGTTGGACCGAAAGTAATCAGAACAGTGCAAATCGATTGTCATCCGAAGTGATACCCTAAGTAGCCCCACTGGCCCCCATAACCTCAAATAATGGCAATATTTAGCACCAGCGCAAGATGGGGGTCTCCGGTGCAGATAAAACCGTGAAAATTAACTTCCGGTAAAATTCGGCAATCAACACTTCCGCTTACCCGGCCACGATCTACGGTGAGATCTATTGAATTCATCTACACAAGATCCAAATCAGCCATCAAGGTTGTTCATTGATATAGATAGGTGGATATATTCAACACCACATCATTGAAAAGAAACCCAAAACACCAAGGAACACCAGAGACAGGTGAGAGAATGTTGACATAGCGCTGCAAAACACAGGGCAAGCAAGCCATGGTCATCGAGATCAATAATTTTAGACATATCGCAGATTAAAAGGAAAGGGTATGATTGTCATAAACATAGACGCGCGCAAATGCAGTTTGAACAAGCAAAAAAAAAAAAAAAAGGGTCAAAAACTCTACACGAAGCTGCCCAAGACGGCCGCCAACAGGAGCGGTCCGAGGGCAAGCAGTGTATGAGGCTTCAGACTCGGGGCCGCGTTGATTCCACCTGTTGTGTACATGTACTGGAATGTAAGGTCGGTAGAGTTGAAACAGTTGTCCCGAGTGACACTTTCAATCTCGGGGTCATGAACATCGGCGAAGGTAATGTCGACACACTGCAAAGAAATTAGTTGAAGAAGTATTGTCGGGGCTAGGACGAACATACGTTGTATAGTGCGGCACCGTGCTTTGCAGTCTCAACCACTTGGATAGTGGCATTGTCACCAACCTTGACGCTGACGTTCGCAGGCAAGGGAACCTGTGGCAGACAGAAGGTACCCGGGTAGGGATTGTTGGTCGGGCCGGTGATCTGGAAGGGAGAGACGACCGGGTGGCTCATGTTCTCAGGGATCGTGCCGAGACCAATGTTGACATAGATCAGGGCAGTCGAATGGCCGGGGAACCAACCAGGCTGGACCGCAACGGCACCTCCCAGGACGGGCCATTTAGTACGGTTGGTTGATCGGGGCATACCACCGCCTATAGCAGTTCGTTAGTTCAGACTTATTGCAGGTCGGAGCATCAACGGTTTTCCTTACAGGGATAAATCCACTCCATGCCATACGGGTAGATGTATGAGCCATTTTCGTAAGCAACACCCAGACCCTCAGATTCAGCGACGGTACCATTGGTGTGAAGGTTGTTTCCTCGGTATCCGGGGTATGTGATGACAGTGTGGGCATTCGCCAGGCCCACGCACAGCAGGACCAGAAGGGAAGCCCATCGAGATGTCGAGAACTGAGCCATGATGATAATTATGTGAGATGAGCGTTAAAGAAGGCTCAAGATGAAACAAAAGTCTAAAAGCGACACGACAGGTGGGAAGCGAAGGCAATGGAACCGGTCCAGTTATTCGCAATATGAAACCTGAAGTAGGCTGGTAAATGCAAAGATGAACGTCAATCCAGCAGACAAATTCTCACAAAGCCAAGGAAGATTTTCGAGGGCTGATCGGTCTCTTTTTGAGGGGCATTGCTCCTAGTGCAGACATGGCTGCCGCCGACGAGTGAGGATGCAGGATCCAGGTGTGACTGCTACTGCAGCTTGCACGACCCGTGAATGGTTCTAACTGGTCCAGTGGAGCAGGGCTGCTGAGGATCATCACGGGCCTGCTGCAAGTGCCATCACTTGAAGGGTATTGGAGCGCTCTGATTGGCGGAGAGGCTACAGCTCGAAGCGCCGAGGGGAGACGCTAACGGGTTTCCTGAGGGGTTGGCCTGTGGATGCTCGGCGCTTACAGGGCACATATGTGATGGAATTGTTGGGGGTTTATTATCACAGACAAGCACTTTTAGCACTTTTATTCTTGCGGATGCAGCTCGGTTCGGTTCATGGGATCCGCAATGATCAGTGTCGACCAACCCCAAGTTTGCTAAAAGTGGGTTGCGGGCAGACTAAATGCGACCGATGCATATTAAACGTCTGTTCCCAGGGGCAATTTTGGGATATTTAGGCCAGTCACAATCACAAACCTCAGATGTCGCAGGAAGTTCAAAGCGGAGTAATTGGGAAACTGCATAAGGGCAATTATCTTAGCCCTAGGATTCAACCGGAGGTCGATTTCCAAGATTCCAAGGTGATGAGACGCATTAGTGCTTGAGAGAACACCAGAGCTCAGAACTTGGGTTATCACACAATATCGGAATCACTTAGGCCCCTACTCAATCGTCTCCAGCCAGGTCTTAAGGTTTCAAGTCATCAGAGACAAGGAAAGCATACCACCCCGCCTTTCCTCCCGCTTAACCTTCAAATGTGACCTGATGCTCAAGCTTTGGATCAGCAGCTATATTTGGATTCTAAGTATTCCTCTGGTGGGGCTTCCTATCCGAGTCTATGGTCACTGTTATTAGAGTTCTATGGTTCTCGTTTTCGACCTATACTTTTTGAACAGCTTGCTCCAGTCTAATATATTGAACGGAGCCATTGCATTGAGGACTGACCTCCAAGATTAAAACCAAGCAATGGTAGAGAAAACCCTGGGCTTGATATCTAGATGTTCATACGCAGCACCCGCTGGAGGCAGTGGAGAACACCTAAACTCATTGTCGATTCAGTTCAAGGCAAGGGCATGAGATTTCTGCATGTAGTAAGAATAAGCTCTTCGTGAGTATTAGAATACTCTCGACGTTTACCCACATGCACGATGGAAGTGAGTCATCTTGTAGTTCAATTCGTGCATCATCCCAACCTTGGAAATTATCCCCGCTTAGTCATCCACTTTTCGGTCAATCTTCAATTCGGATCGAATAATCGTAAATCACCATGTACCTAAATGAGATACGATCAAACCTCGTCAAATTCCAAATCTTACTAGAGCCGACTCCTCAAAACCCCTACTTCCTATCTCGGACCCAAACCGCCCACAATGCCGCATTCCACGCGCACAAAACGTCAGAACCCACTTACACAAAAACGTCTGCAAGTCACCGACGACGATGGCTGGACCCACGTTACGACGGGAGGCAACGCACGGCGCACAATGCGCGGGACAAAAGGGCCGAAGAAAGGTACTTCAAGCTCAGATCGCACCGGCGCCACAACGGCAGCACAAGATATCGAGTCGGGGCCTGTACTGAGCCCCGCCGAAGCTCCTGGTCGACTAACCTTGGAGGCCTTGCAGGCGCAATACGCTACGCATCGAGATACGTGGACTGGATCGGAGACCTGGAACAAATTGGAGAAATTCTTGGATGAACGCGTCCAATCAGCGCAGGATGAATTTTCTGGTCTTGGTGCCGTGGATAGAATTGTATGCATTGGACTTGGGAGTCCGAGTGGGTTCCTCCGGGATGGGTGGGTGGATCGACGAAGTGTGTCGATGTACCAGCTTGCTGCGCTGGAGAGGATTAAGAAGAGACTTGGCTGTGAGTGTTTGATTCCTTTCAGTCTACTTCTGACGTTCATCCGAGCTGACTGAAATCCCAGCTTCTGTTCCGGTCTATGCGCAAGACCCCGTTTTCAATAAATTGGACTGCGCTCTTTTGGATTACATGGGGATCACTGTTGTTGAGCACCCCGTTGGCTTTGAAAATGTCACGCGTAACACGCTGCTCTTCTGTCCTGGCGCAGAGAGAAAGCATCTTGAGTTGGTTCTCCCGTCTAATCCAGGGTTCGTATTTGGTGGACCTCTGGAGAATACGGAGTCAGAAATTATTCAAACTTTTGTTGGAAAGATGAGCTCGAGGGCTTTGGAGCCCTTCGCCAGCAATGAGCATGCTTTTTGGATGACGAGGTTTTATTTCCGAGAGGAAGAGGAGAATGATGAGGTGGAGTCATGATGTTTGTTTGTGGCTCCAGTTGGGTGATTGCACATGGCATTTCATTGGGTATGCATTGTATGGGAGTTTTTGGAGGGATTGTTTGGCTTATTGCATCGCACCACATTGACGGGTGGAGGTACGGTTATAACTGCATCGTTGGCATTCAAAAGCATTGATTGAGCATGGAATGAGTCTTGGCATTTATGAATGTTTATGAGTCTCGAGGGTATTAAAATACTACATGAATTACTTTTACAGTTTAGGAATTTGCGTATTCGAACTCAAATCAATCGAATTCGAAAGACAAGTGTCAAGATTAATCGCAGTATGTACATTGACCCTGCCCAAGCGTCACAAACCCATTAACGAAACCCAAACACGACATAATTGAATATTGACTATTGATATTCCATGAAGATTCCTCCGAAAAGACAACAAGTCAACCTCATACGATAGCATGGAATGCAAGAACGCCGGGCATCAAATATGAAATGGCGCAAAAAAAGGTGAGAATGCAGCAAGTAGAAATAACATTTCCCCCCAAAGAACAAGAACTCGCCAGGAAAGGCGGAGTCAATAGAAGTTGCATGACTGCTGAACACCGACGCAAATGATAAGAAGAGGCGTATATGCATGCAAGTGTTTCATTAACATCAGAGAATAACACACGAGGTGTAGGCATTAAGAAGCGGTCTTGCCTCCGCAATCGGGGATCTTAAGACCAGGTTTGATCTTGCGCGCCGAGTCCATGAGACCCCATTTGTCTTCCCACTCTTTACCAGGGGTGTTAAACTGGATCTTCCACGGCTCGTCAAAGGCCTCAAACCAAAAGTAGTTGGTGCCGTTGTCCAAAGCCTGGCAGACCCAGTCAGACATGAATGTGTTCATGTTATCAATGCTCGCGACAGATCCCGGGGTGTCGGAATTGCAGGTCGGGCTTTCTCCGCAATCTTTGCCTCCATCACTGGGCCAGCCTACTTCCGAGATAATTTGTTTCTTCTTTGTGCCCTTGGTGAGTGATACATCGTGAGTCTGCCAGAAACTCCAGGTCCAAGCAGCGGCAACGTCGACATTGACACCCGCGAAGAAAGGATGCACATTGGACATGACAACATCAACGGCGCTCACCAGCTGGGCATTCCAGTTGTCACCAAGGTCGGAAGTGGCGATTAGCATATCGGTGCTGCGTTTCTTAACCTCGTCTCGCACATCAGTGATATAGCTGATGAGGTTCTTTTCAGCCGATGTCTTATCTGTACCGGCGCGGTACAGCGCCTCATTGCCAACAATCACGCCGTTGAATATAGAGGTATCCTTGGTGTCATCCAAGATGTCATACAACTGATTGAGCTGGCGCTTAGTTGTCGTGGTATTTGAGTCGATCCACACTCCAAGCCAAACTTTCATGTCAGTCAACCCAAGTTTGTCAATTGCCGCCAGAGTCATCTCCGTCTGATTGCAGTCCGTGCCGTACAAGCGGACGTTGTTGGTCAACTGAGACAGCACCGCGAGGTCGCGGGTGACGTTGTTCTGAGAAGGCGGATATTTCAGACAAAGTGGATATTGTACACCCCAAGGCGTGTAGTCCATGCCAGGGAAAACCTTGTGCAGATTCTTGTTTTTCAAAAGCGCCTTGATCTCAGCTGAGTCCTTGGTCAGATCTCCATTGTCTTTCTCATCGTCGGATGCTGACTCCCCGCTCGAAGACTTCTCGGCATGTCGACTTCCAAGCGTGCCACCAACAGCACCACCTATAATAGCGGCGAGAATAATCAAACCAAGCACCGCACCAACAATCAACCCCCGCTTTTTCCGTCCTTCCATACCAAGCGTCTTTTTCCCACTCCGTCCAGCCTCCAATCCACCCCCAGGTACAGCATCATAAGAAACACCTGCACCCTTCTCCATCCCAAAGAACCCCCCAAAGAAGCCGCCATGTCCTCCAGCGCTAGCCCCAGCACCACCGGCTCCGGTTGCCATAGCCCTAGGCCCAGATACAAACTCATCATCCCCATCATCGGCAATTTCATCGGGATTAATGTCAACTGGCAGACTCATCGCCCCAGCGCTGTACTGCGATGACCTCTGATAAGGTCCATCACCAACAATCCCCCCAGGCCCCCCATAAGGCGCTGGTACACTCGCACTCGTTCCTTTAATAGACCCTTCATAAAAGCTGCGCCGCGCCTCACTCAAATGCACACTGGACTGTTGCGGCGTCTGCATAGCTGGCGGTGCACCGGCATTGCCAAGTCCCAACCCCGACCCAAACGGATACTGCTGCAATTCCGTGCGAAACGATTCAGCACTTCCATACCCCGCTCCGGAGGTAGGCGATACAGGTACATAGGGATTATCCGAGCCGGTAGTGTGAAAGCCTCGTTCTGCAGGACCGGTGTATCCATCGTGCTGGTAATCCATACCCACACCGCGGACCGCGTCGATACCGCTCTGGCGATCGTGCGTATTTGCGATTCCGAGTGCTATACCGCTGATTCCGCCGCCTATGGAGTTAGGACCGAGGTTATCGACGCCTGGTGTTACGGAGGAGTCCTGTCGGTCTGGTTGGGAATACCTGCGAGGAGGCTCAGGGATGTCTGAGTTGGAGCGATCCATTTTGGGTTTGTTGTGACAGGTTGTGGATTTTGGTGGATGTAAGCTGCAAGGGATTTGAGGCTGAGGCTGAGTTCGATATGATGTGGGTGTAAATGCCGATGGTTTGTGTGATTATGATCGTAGAAAGAACCTTTGTACGCGAGACCTCGAATCGTCTAGTGGTCAGGGAGAGGTTGGTGAGCGGGATTGTTCCGGGACAGAAAGAGACGATTAGACAGGCATCGCCTGCTGAAGGCAGGATCCACGGTTCACCGAATGAGGGCAGTGCGGTGTTAGGCCCGACTGGTAGGCTGTGGTGTGACAGGTAAGACTTTAGAAGGCCGGATCGTAGAAAGAAAAACAAAGGTTCAGGAATCCAAGATTCTCCAAGTGTCCAAGTGGGGAGAAAGGGTCTACAGAAATAAAGTTGTCAACAAGCGCGTGGTGACCCGGACAACGGATACAACGCCCCGCTATCACTTGAAGCGTAGCACAGCGATGATGGCACTGGAGAATCGGAAATGAATAGAAAGAGAAGAGAAATTGACGAAGGTTACGGAGAATTCATTTTACAATAATTCCACGATTCTATGCCAAACTAGGGACTCAGGGTCCTGCATTCATAAGGGTCCTGTCAATGTGGAACTGCGGGTCAGTGGGTCCGAGTCCCTTTTCCTATTTTTGGTGCACACTGCTTATGTCTAAGCTTAGTCGAATTGGTATATCTGGAATAATCCTCGGGTGAGAATCCCCTAACGATCGTGGCAAGGAAAATAAGACAGGAGGAAAGAAAGACATAAAATTGCCGTGATCTCGTTAATCCATGACCGTGGACCCAATCCCTGCGCCGTGCAAATCCATTCCAGTCCCAACCCTTGTTTTCGTGTTTTGCACCCTTCATAACTGGGACACATCAAGTCATAAAGAACAGTCGCCAAAGAGATTAGACAATAAAGAATAATGAATAAAAAATAGAGAATAATAAATCCCAAGAGCTAACCCTCCACTTCCTCTGCACTGCACTGTGCAGCGGACGGCGCATCACTTTCCGTCTGACGGGCCCGTTCTAAGAACCGACGTTTTCCTCGACGAGTATCGAAATGCCTGGGAATCTCCGAAGGCTCTTGGCCAGCGGCAATCATACTCGTGCGCATTTTATTGCGATAGGCATCCACTTTCAAAAATCGTTAGTCTTGAGAACGATCGAGTCCAAGTGGACATTGTTTCCGGGGTTCCAGTGAGACAGTGTTTTAGCCACCGGCACGTGGGCGAACCCGCACCAGCAAAAGAATGTACACATCTGGTCTTTCGTATTCCGTAAAACGAACAAACTAAAAAAAGGGGAAGAACTTACACGATCGCTGCAAGAATAGCATTCGCCCCGCAAAAACACGGCTCTGGCTCCAACTCAACCGGTACGCGAGGTCATTCAGCATGACCTCTTTCCGGTGGCGCCGGCGAGACAGTCTGGGTACTTCGATACCTCTCTCGCCATCCAGTGAAGGTGCGGGGACGGTCGTGCGGCCGATAGTTGAGTCTTCCGAGTCACCCGTGTGCTCGATATCGTCGGCAAAGAAGCGTTTGCTTGGATCGACGAGCAGAGGCGCATCTTTCATTTGAGTTGGGAAGTACGTGCGCGGGTAGACGGCGTTATTCTTGCGGTAAGAATCTGGAATTTCATCCATCTTGACTTTATCCAAGCCGACCTTGACGCGCACGCGAGAGCCGCGCTGTGGATCCTCGACTAGGATGAAGGTGCGGCGCTTGCCGTCTGGTAGCTGGCCGAAAAGGTCCTCGTTCGTGGGACTTTGATCATCGAGGTCCTGGGCTGTGGCCATCCGGCTCGAAGTCGCTATGGTTGGATGACGGCTGAGAGAGCCGAGGCCACTGTCGCGCAGAAGAGGCGCCATGGAGGGGCTGGCGCTGGTGGCTGATGGGATGGTGTGAGCATCATGAAAGACCTGAGCTGGTCGAATATCGGTGGCACCTAGTGGTGCGGGCAGGCGGCCTGTATCAATGGAGCGCTGGGATCCGATGTAGTCTGTGGTGCCTATAGAACGGGGGGAAAGAACAAGTGGAGATATTAGCCTACGCTGTACTGCATGCAGGGAAGGGTTTCTCAAGTCCCAAAGAAAGAAGACAAAGCAAGCGGCGCGGCGGCATCAAATGATAAGCAAAAAGACACAAGGGTATGGAATAACAAGAAAAGGAAAGAAAAGAGAAACCAATCAAAGCAGATCCAGATCCTGACCAAACTGGTACAACAATCCCAGAACAACTCTCGTACAGCAACCAGTATGCAAATTCAACACATGACTCCCAAATAGACACACATACAATCATATTTCAATAGGCAGGCTCCGTCAAGCTCCGTCAAGCTCCAAGAAGTGAAGAAGAAAGGGGGAAAAAGAAAAGAAAATACAAGTAAAACCCAAAACCTCGCCGCGCGTGCTGCAAAAGAAACATCGACAACGGAACAATTCGCATCAGATCTGGTGAAACATACCGCTGACTTCCTCCATCTTTGGGCTGTCGTCCGGTTGAGCATGATGATGTGTCATAGGCGGACCCATCAAAGGTCCAATACTAGCGCGCTGGCCGGAGTTGGCACCCGACATTCCATGGCCAACAGGCCCAGCAGGAGGCATATGGGGAGTAGCAGGCTGCACCGACTGCCGACGATGCTGCTTATGCTGACGGCGCACTCGTCTGCTGCGCAACCGAGGATCTTGGTTGCTATTCCGCCAACTATCCACGGCCCGCTGGATAAGGCCTCGTTTTCCTCTCAATGCGGGGTTCAACTCGGCTAATGCCCAACCAACGGCATTGCATTCGGTCTCGTAGACCAGTCGATTCCCACGGTATTGGTCTTTGCTGCAGCATGCGCGGGGGTAGACACAGTTCTCAGTTTTGAAGTCTTGGCTGAGGTCATCCACGATCACGGATTCCACGTCACAGCGGATCGTGTATTCCATCTTGACCCGGTCTCGGCTGTACTCGAATGCTATCCACTGGACTCCGTTGCTGTCCTGTCGTACAACAAGCGGGGTGGTGGCGGGAATGGGGCCTGGTGCTGCGGTCGAGCTTGTTCCGAGGGCCGGTGCCTGATGAGTTCCTGCTGAAACGCCTGTACTGGTGGCGTTAGGGTTTATCATTGTTCGTTGGGAAGGTGCTGGCTGTGGAGCCGAATCCATCTTCATGACCGGGCTGCTGGATAAAGCTGTATTGGGAGTATGTGATGGTTGATGAGGAGACATCTGTGCGGTACTCGTCTGAGGAGGCATCATCATAGACCCTGATGTGATCGTGTGTGACTGCGGTGATGGGTGAGTCGCATACGACGGTTGGACGGGGTTCATTGGAGAGTATTGCTGATATCCGTACATCTGTGGCGGCATTTGAGGCGACTGTGTGTAGATGTTGCGGCCATGCTGATCATGCGGCTGTGACGCTACAGAAGCTGGGGAGTTGGATTGAGGAGTGTGATACATTGGAGGGTAAGGAGGTCTCTGCATTTGAGCGGTGGTTGCCATGAGGTCAGATGGCCCTATATCTCACAGATCAGCCGGGAGTCCGTAGTAATCCAGGCGGCAGCTAGCCCGAGGACGCTCCGGCCACGCGTGAGATCGACCAGCACTCAGACACAACCTAGAAAACACTCGTTGCTTACCACTGGAAGAATACTGCGCGGGAGCAGTTGCTGTTGTATATAAAGACGGGTGGGTGGTATAATACGGCGATTCCTGGGTTGGGGGCCCGTAGGAGCTGTGAGAGTGCAGGATGCCGTTTCCCAGAGAGTGAGGCGGAGGATATGTGCTTGTGGGCAGAGAAATAGTCGTCTGTGCAGGCGAGACTGGGTCTTGTTTCAGTGACAATGGCGCTAGATCTGACCTGGATGCTTGCACCGGATGGTGCTGAGATAGATGCGCCTGGTTGCTGTGTCGAAACTGTAAAGGGCGATATCAGTGACTGGGTAGGCATGAATATCCCAAAGCTGCGAGAAGTGTTCGAGCAAGCGGGTTGTACAACGACCTAAGAACGTGGAAGAACAGAAGGAAGTCTTGAGAACACAGCCAGATCGTCCGGACAAAGTGACGACATATGCGCGGGGATTTGAATCACTCCAAAGGGTCAGAGGCTCCTTGGTCATAGAAGAGAGGGAGGGGAAAGTTGCCACGGATGAACGATGCCTGGAGCAGGGATGGGCTCAGGTGCGTAACAAATGGCCAGGGTTGAACCAGGATGAGCTCGTCCAGGGCCAAAGAAAACCACGGTTCTGTGTAGCGCTGGGGCTGGCTTGACACTGCCAGTGGTTCATTTCTTCCGAGGATCAATGCACTCCAGCCTCGTTGTTTTTCCATGTAAATGGTGCTTTGCCGCTACACGGACTCGGCGATGTGGCTTTCATAGTGCTGAGAAGAGGCGTTTCGATTTATTTTTCTTGTTCCACGAGCTTCGCCCCCTTCTGCAGAAAAATCCCGTGGCATCAGATTCTCTGATGGGCTGCCTCATACAGCTACCAAGATAGTCAAATCTCTCGGCTTTCTCTCACAAGACTCAATTCAGCCGTATTGGTCATATTAATGTCATCGCGTCAGATGGCAGCCTCGAGTCTGATCATCGGAAACTTCTTTGACGATTTCTGAGCCCCATCAAGGCAAGCTCTTGACCCGGGTGAATTGTTGAATATGCGGTCTGTCATGGTGGGAGGCCCTTCCCCGTGTCCAGGTGTGAAGTTCGCAGCATGACGGCAATATCAAAAGAAAGAAAAGAAAAGTGCCAGAAAAGATCGGAATGATATTGAAGTAAAAAGGAAAGCCAGCAAAAGAAGGTGTAGCTCCAATGCACTCTACAACCGGGGTTGCGACAAGAAAGAAAGTTAACCAGTCGAGTACTTACAGGATCATCAACCGGCTCTTCCTTGTATTTTGACACCGGGGGACCTCGGTCAGTCTGTACCATGCCGGTCACGAAAAGACCTCTCTGATGGTCTGGGATATGAAGCCAATGCAGCGAGACAATAAGCGGGAGGAGGACTGTCAGACAAGCGGAAAAGAAAAGAGCTAGGATGTGAGGGTTTGGCGCGCGAGGGAAGAAACGCGCGGAGAGATGTCAATTGAGAAAAGGCGGGATATGGTAGATCCCGAGGGCCTGAGGCTAAAACGGTCTGCGCGACACACGGCTAGTAGCCTCTTGACTGGGGTGGGGTTCAGGGCACGATGTTGAACGATGCTGGGTTTGGAGTGGTAACGAGGGTCCAGGGTCGTTTATTTAGCTGTACCCATAAGGCCCCATCCTTGGGGATCAGGTAGCGTCTTCTAAATTAAACCCACGAAGAGATAAATCGAAAATGGATAATAAATGGAAAATAATACTGTAAAACAAAACTAGAAAAAAGGGAAAAAGAAAAAAGAAAAAAAGATATAGAAAAGAAGAAAAAAAAAAACAAAAAACAAAAAAAATCAGATCGTTTTACCTGTGGAGATAGAGAGCAACCATGGACCAGAAGGTATCAGAATGGGCTTGTCACTAGCGGGAACGTGGTGTAATAATGACTAGGGTGGTTGCAGGAGGGAGATTAAGAGACTCGAGAGACTCCGGTAAACATCCGAGCCTCAGTTGAAATTAAATATCATTAGACTAGCCGAGATGAGAAGCAGATTTAAACGCCATAAAGAAAAAAATCAAAAAGAATAATGGGAAGGGGGAATGATATGCAGTATGCAGTATACCGTAGAGGGTAGGGAGTGCGTGGAGACAGTGTTTTCTCTCTGTTCTATCAATTAATTTTGATTTTAATTTTCATTTTCGATATTTTGGGGGCTACAAAAGGTATTATTACCCAATTATGTATGTTTGAACAACATCCTAATGTCACCTAGTGCGTGGGCAGTGGGCTTGGTGGGGACAGGAAGAAGCAGAATGACTGCATATCTCTTTCATGATGGATCCACGGCATTTCTTTGATCTAATGTATCGCCTGGATTTTCCAACGGTCAAGATATCGCCCCTCTTGCTATTTTCATCAATCTATGATTTCCTGGTCAAGAACGGTTCCTCGGAAGGGGAGGAGACATCATGATACGTCCATGAATTAAAACAAAGAACCGCATCTTGATTGTCACACAGTCATGATTGGCTGTCATGGGGAGGGGCTAACATGATGAGAGCAACGCTGAACAAAGACCGAGTGACGTTATTCCCTCGAGTTCTGATTATTCCTCGGAGAGAGGGGAAGAGATTGCGAACTGGATTTTCCGGCACAGGATTCGCCTAGCTGCTCCGTTCCGCGGTTTTACTGGTTTTGGTGCAATACCGATGGAGAAAGCAAATAAGGAAACAAGTGGAAATAACAAAAAGAACTTTACTTAGGCATTACATGAGAAAACTAACAGATCTTCCAGAATTTAAACTCCACTATAGCAAAATTGACCAAGGGGAAGGCAAATAGTTTACATACATGTAACAAGGTGGATGTACAGTAGGGCCTGTTTGTGGGTATGACGTTAGGAAGGGAGGGGCAGATCGAACGGCCAACGGGCTTAAAAAAAAAAAAAAAAGGGAAAAAAAAAAAAAAAAAAAAAGAAAAGAAGGAAAAGGAAAAAAAAACCGCGGTCTAGAAGATGAAGATTAGGTGGAGACAGAGAGAAGCCTGACGTTGCCCGGATCGTGCAGAGACCAGTTTCAGGTACTGGGCTGAGCGATTTACTCGGGGGGCTCGGAGTATATCGAAGGGAGATCGACGGGGAGATTGCTAAATTGGAACTAACAGAGGTTACACACACGATCTGACTGGAGAAGCGCATCAGCCTTTGTTTCCACGGCCCAATCTTGCCTTGTCTCCCCCCCACTTCCCCTTCAAATGAGATCCAGATTCCCGACTCCCTCGGCGGACCCGTCTAAATAAACTCGAAACACCCTAACGGCCGCCCATCACCCTTTGCGTTCGTGGAGGTGTAACGAAGACCTTCGTTTCTTTGTCTTTTGATGACGATTGCCATTATTTTTTTTTTTCCACATTTTTTTCCATTTCCTTTTTTCAGCCTAACCAACAACAGCCGCTGATCATCCGGCGAACCAACATTTGGTTCATCACGGGCAGTTGCATGGCCCCCATATGCTAACGCGCGCATTTCTGGGCTAAGCGAATTTCCCGCACCACAGGGGCAAAAATCAGAAGTAAGACTAAAAGAAAAGAAAAAGAAAAAAAATAAAGAAAACCAAAAAGGCCATCAGTCCAAGTCAAAGCTGCACCAATGAAACCTTACGGCCTCCACGCTTCCCCCGATGCGGGCCTCCACCCGGGTTCGCCCCTAAACCTATACTGTATTAGCCTTCCCTCGTAGTGGCTCTTGGCACTTGGTCAAGTAGTTCGAGGGGAGGGAGAAAAAAAAAAAAAACGATGAAGCAATTTGTAAAGCCATTCTCCAGCCCCGACGGTCTATAATCGGCACGTTGACGCACGACACCTGAGAACCTTCACCATGGTGACATCTGGACCATGCGACAGACTGGAAGAACTAAGACCTAACCAAACCACATGCAGACACAACGAAAAGCTTCCCTGGTGGACGGGAGGTGTGGAGCCCATGATGGCTCGCCATTTCAGGATTCACATTTAATTTTTCTTCTTAATTACATATTACGATCATTATCATCAAATGATGCTCAGATATACGGCCGTACCTGTCGGATTAGTTCACCAAGTTCTATCAGCCCGATGGGGGGGGGGACAAGTAGCAAATCTTTAATCTTACTAGTCCCGGTCCATTCTCTAGTGGCTAGTCTGGCCAGGCCTCTAAGCGGATAATCGGCTTCTGAGGCTCAAGGTGGACCGAACAGGAAGTCCAGCATGCCGATGATCTCTCTGGTCGCGCATTGCGCAGCCACTGTGCATTGCATTCGAAAAGTGACGGAGCACATCGGCCGAGGAGGGGCTTGGTTTCATTTGTTTCGAGGTGGTAGCTAAGGGCTTCCAGAACCAGGTTAGCTTTCGGATGTGTCGTAATCGCAGCCATTCAAAGCTAAGGGTAGTTAGTGGGTTTCTACACTTCGTCCAATGATGGTCACTCAATCGCGGCCTAGTAATGTGCTCGCGGGGACTTGACTCGTGCTGTTTAGTCTGGAGAGCTATGGCCAGGAACTCAAGGGCTGAAGGTTGGGGCTAAACTAGCCCGGGTGCATGACCCAGCCTCCCTTTTTTTCTGTTCGTTTCTTTTTACTTTTTCTTATTTTTTTTTCGTTCTGTTTTTCTTTTCCCATTGAATTTTCTTCTTCTTCCCCTGTAGCCGTGGGCCGGAGGGAGACGGTGCCATTTGAAGTCGGTGTCGTCATTGGTATTCACCTGTGATCGATGCAGGGCGCTGGAGTCCGCGACTGTCCGCGGTAAGTTTGTACCCGCTTCGGTCCCACTCAGTACACAGCTCTAGAATTTCATGGCCTTGAAAATGAGATCATTACGGGAGTGTATTTTCTATTTAATTATTTATTTTTGCGAATCTCCCCTGGAGACGATCTTGTTATACTAGTGGAATGATCATCCTAGCCTCGGGTGGAGGGAAATTGTGATAGAAAACCGCCCCACCACGCGTCCTTCAACGGGTTACCCGATAAAGTATACGGTGGAACAAAACGATGCCATTAATGAGAAACAGTGCGAAAAGCCAGTCGCAGAGATGCCCGCGCAAGGGAAAGATACCCGTCCGAGTCTTACTGTAGCACATGCTCACTCTTGTCGTACGGTTCCAGAAAACGTCGTACGGGAACATCGGCGAACTATGATAGACGAGCGGGGGGGGGGGGGGGGGGGGGGGAAAGACTCCCGTACCACCAAAGCACCCCTGAGCTGATCAACCGAGATCCAGCTCCTCGATTCGCACTGCTAAGGGTGCCACTACCGGTCCCCGGATCGACTGGTAAGAGACGTTGGTCCATCGTAAGCAGAGAGTGGACTAAGCCAGGGTCGGCATTAGCTCAGCCTGCTTGACAATACGTCGCCCCTACTTCCCTCGCTTTCAACCATGTGCCGATGAAAGAAAAACTCAAACTAAAAAGTTAAAGCTAAAACCAAAGCCAAAGCCAAAGCGAAAAGCCAATTTCCAAAGTGAAAAGTGAAACTCAAGTCTAGAAACCTTGGAAACATCCATGGATGTCCCGAACGGAGCAGGTTGTACCGGATCCTCCGTATAAAGATAAAACATCACAAAACGATCGGCATTCTCTCACGACGACCCATAAATACTAATACGTCATGTAACAAACCAAAACAGCCACCAAAGACCACAAATGGCCTGTGCGCACCGTAGCACCGTTTGAATATGGGTCTTTCTATCGGGGCCACTTTGGCGCAAGCCAGTATCAGCTCTAGTCCTGTACGGACCTGCACCCCCCATAAAGCAGCAACGCTAGATTCCACAATGTACAAGATGAGTACTAAAAAAACGCGCAGTCAACAGCCAACAGCCAACAATAAAAGCCACTAGCGGGGACCGGGGCGTCCGCGACGCCACCGTTTCTTCATTTAAGGATCGACTCTTTCCTAGAAGGGGAACCGTCGGAGAAAGCAAAAGCAAACAGAAAAAAGAAAAAAAAAATAGAGAAAAAGCAGTGCAGTGTCGAACGGTCTCGCAAGCTTTGGTGATAACGGGGATGTACTCCGCGATCTTTTGGTATTGGCCCCCGTTATGGGCTCCCGGGCCCTTAGCTTCTACGATGTGATTTCTTGAATCTCCTCTGCCCTGCATCTCCACTTGGCAAATCATTTTACTCCGTTTGATGTTTGATTGACTCTGGGTTTTTGATTCAGACTCGGACTCAGATTCAGATTTTGACTTTTGACTTTTCGATGCACATCCAGTTCCCACAGCGGAAACACGGGCCACGTTGAACTAGGGGGCCCGGGACCCGCCCTTGCTGCGTGCAGATCGTGGCTTTGGAGCTGTACCGTATGGACGACTTGACAG